AGTTATAGATATCCGCGTCTTGGATACCATGTTTTGTAATTGCCGCTGCAACTTGGCAAAACCACGCGTGATACACGTCTGGATCTTTATTCAAGACCCTCTGGTAGTCCATCCTCCAATAAAAACGCGTCCGGAGGCCTGGTGTGCGTTTAATGAAATTCCGCGTTTAGTTCTTTCCAACGCGTCCATCCCCATGCGCTGCCAATAATTGATTCGCTATATTTTCAACATAACTGTGCCGGTGTAGAAATGCTCAAGTATCCAGGTCAAGAATGAAGGAAAGAATGGCATTCTCTTTGGAAACCGTAATTTTCAAAGTATTGGGTATGCTATCGCGTCGTGATAATCGGCCGGCAATTCTAGCCTTCAAGGTATTATATAGGACATAGAAAGTCTTAAAAAGCTTGCTAATGGTAATATGAGAGTCGCGTCGCTTAGTTTGGACAGCAAGCTGTAAGTCTGATTCACTATAACACAATGTCATTATTGTTGGTTGATCAATTAGGAGCCTTGATTGAAAGGTTAGGTGGCTGGTGAAAAGTTGCCGTTCGCTTGTAATTGCCACTCGCTTGTTATATACGTTATACGTACATTAATTTTCTTTTTCTTTTATTATTTCACTTATACGTTTTATACTTTATGTTATTTACCTTCATATATTATTAAAACTTCTTAATAAAATAATCGTGTGGAATATAGCTGAGTTTTGAAATTAATAAAGATAATAATAAGCGGTGTATAAAGGTATACCCCGCTATTAGTACTAGTTATATATAAATGTGATTCAAACTAATTAAAATTATATAAAACTAATATCAAAGAATTATTAGATAAAATAAATTAAAACTCCTTACATTACCTTATTAAACAGTTATTTAAGTTACTAGCTATTTAAATGTATATTTATTTCGACTTTGAGACTAACAAATATAATAGTTCCTAATTATTTATAAGGTTATTTTTTTATTGAATAATATATTAATATTTCTATTATTGAACTGATCGTTATCATAATTAATAAATATGAAAACCTTTATATAACTATATTTAAGGTTTAAATAAAAAGAGATTTATATATTCTCGTCGTGGGACTATATTATTAATTCGTATATTAAATCAAAATTTAACGTGTAGAATTTAACGGGCTTGAATAAAATAAACGGAAAATCGTTCAAATCAAAGGATATGTTCTACGAAAAATACATGCGATTTAGAAAAAAAAAATTTAGAAGTTTAAAGATGTTGGAACAGGCTTGAACGATCAATCATAATACTCGAGTATGGGGTCAAGGTCATGATGTTGCTGATAGTTGGATTGAGAGAAATCTAGCTGGACTCGAAGGTCTGGCCAAGTGCCCTCTCAATCCACTATATTATCTTATCTAATCATACATGTGGGTCCTGGTATAGATGGTTTGCAGTCTGGAATTGCATGGATCTAACAAAAGATATATTATAATAAACTTCTTGTTTCTTACATCAAATATTAGAGAAATAATGTTAAATGTAACATACATTTAAAATATTTATACTTATATATCTACTTCATAAATTCATTTAGTCAATTAGCGTGTTTATAACATGTACTATTAATTCTTTTATCTTTATAATAATATACCGTACGACAATATTATTAAACCTTTTAAAAACTAGGTTAAATATTAAATAAATAATATTGATAGTTGAATTTAGATAATTAAAGTTAATAAAAATAAAAATAATAAAAGGCTTTAAAGATCGTAATTATTGCTAAAAAGACATTTTTTTTAAATAATAACAAAAAGCTATACAAATATCAACTTATTAGCGATGAAAAAAGAAAAAATCATCATACTTCATATATTTAAAATATTATCAATATGAATTATATATTCGTGTAATCTTATGGCATTAATTAAAACACTTTATTGAATTTTAAATAATAACTTTTATAGTTATCGTTCTTTGAGTCAATACCGCGTAAATTAAACCTTATACTACCGGTAAATAACTACAAGAATATAAAATATTATAGTTTTGATTTGGTATTCAACTGATTACTTTCTAGAATTCAAAAACTAATAAATTAAATAACTACATTTATATATTATTAACTAAATAAGCATTTTTTACATGGATTTTATATAACATATTATCTTATCATAAAGCTTATATTTAAACTTTTATATTAATTATTGGTTTTTATGCTACACGTTTGTTAATATTATAAGAAGCACGTATTATAAGTAGTAGTATTTAATAAAAGGTTATTGAATAAGTAAAAAGTGTATATAAAGTTATTATATATTTAAATTTTGATACTAGGAAAATCATTTATATATAACACCGTACGTAATATATTAAATTATAAGGCTTCTGTATAATTATAAAAGCCTCGTATAAAAGCTTTTAACTAAAAATCTAATTAAAATAGTAATATTGTGAGAACAGGCTTGAACGATCAATTTCAATACTCGAGTATTGGGTCAAGGTAATGATGTTGCTGATGGTTGGATTGGGAGGTCTAGCTGGACTCGCTGGTCTGGCTAAGTGACCTCACAATCCGGTATCTAATCTCTTATCTAATCATACATGGGGGTTCGGTATAGATGGTTTGACTGTGGAATCACATGGATACAACAAATATATTATATAACTATTATAACCATGCTATAAATATTAAAGTAATTAATTATATATATCTCTAAGTTGAAGTATTGATAATAACGTTAAAGCTTTATTGAAAAATTAAACACTTATTTTAAGAATTATATTATATAAATCCCTTTTTAATGACTTTTCAAATAAATAACACGTAGTTATTAAATATAATATAATTAAAAAAAAAGTTTTTTTTAATAATATAATCGATTTATTTTTTAAATTTTCATTTGTTTTATGTTTAAAGTATAAAAGGTTGCTTCTTATACTTATTCATTTATTAGCTTTTCTTAGTTTGAAGCCTAATTAATTCTATAACTTAATTTGTTTTTCTTTAATAAACATTGGTAAGCTTAATAAAGAAAAGATTGAATCTTAATATTAAAATAATTATAATGATAAACAGTATAAGTTGATATATAAACCATTTTTATTTTCTTTATATTGATATATTAACTCAGCTATACTAAAAGGTTTAAAGCGGGCTTTAAAAATAAGGTCGCGTTAACTTTACTTTTTTTATAAGTAGGCGAAAACTTTATCTTATTAATGATAAATACTATAATAAAACAGTAAATATGTAGTATTATCAGTTTAATATATTTAATAACAATGATATTATTATTATTATTATTATTATTATTAATCAGTCAAATCGATAAAACTCGAATAGATTAAATACTATTCAACTAAAAAAATGCTATAACTTTAAAAAAACTTATTAAAATTATTAGCAACATAATAAACTTAATATCGTTATAAAATATGTATTAAATCGTTAAAAAACTATGAATGTATTTAAAGTAAAAATTATTTAAGAAATAATTTATCTTTGAATTTAAGCCTTGCGTTTTTTTATATGTAATAAATTATAACCAGGGTTTAAAAAGAGCTTTTAATACTAATAGTGTTTTTTAAGTTGTTTTAATTAAAGTGTAAATACTTCATAGCTTAACTTTTTTATTTTATAAGTAATTTTAAAAGATGTATTGAGCTTTAAATATAAAATATAATCGGTATTAAATTTATCGATACGGCTTTATACTATTAAAAATAAAAATAAAAACCCCTGAGAAACTCTTACTAATTAAATCCTTAATATTTCGCTTAAATTACGCTAATTCTACTCGATATTAAGGTATTTAATACGATATACGCTTAAGTACTAATAGTTTAAACGTGCGGATAACAAATATGAAAGAAGGTGATAAAACGAATAGGGGGGCGGGGGGCGATTGAGTAAGAATCAAAGGCTCGCACATAACAAAATCACCCCCCACCCATCCGGCCGACCGTCCTAGCATCCATCCCTCTCCAAACCCTTGCCCACACCAACTAACACTAACACAGTGGCCAGCCTGCCTTCGACAGACATCCCGCAACGGCTTCATGAACAACGCCGCCTGCCGCTCACCCACCCACCTCCGCCGCCCGTCTCCATGTGGTCGGGCGGCTTGTGCGTAATAGGCACCTAGTCCAGACGTAGGCAGCTAACTAACTAGCCAGTTGCTTACATTACACCGGTACGGTAGTTAGCAGCAGAGAGCGCGGGCGTGAGGTGGAGGTGGCGTGGCACGCATCCTGCCTGCCTACCTGCCTGCCTGCTTGCTGTGATCTACCTGGTGGTCTGGATGTCGTTCTTTAGGGTCCTCAGTCTGCACCAGTTCTGCGTAATGCATGCACAGGCGGCACCGCGCCGCGGACGGGGACGTAGACGTGGTAGTTCCGGCGGTGCTGCTGATAGGCATTGCGTCCGTGTGTGCATCTGGGAGTGTAATTTATGTGGTGTGCTTTGGTGTGTGGCCTGAGACGAATAGGAAAGGGGGAGTGAGAGGCGTGGATCTACGCGTGGACTGTAGCTCCTTATCTATATACGGCAGTCTCGGCATCATGACACGGTCACCGTCCGGTAGCAAATTGGCCTCTCGATAGTAAGTCATACTAACTTGCTCTTTTAATACTGCGATTTGTTTGGGGATATTTGTTTGCACGATCTAAGCTCTTCCGTGGTCACGGCCAACCCCTTTCATGGCCACCAGCTGCGCCGGCCCGAAGACTCGAGTGCGTAGCAACTACCCAGTCTTCCGAGCAAGACCCTGACTATGTGTCGGGGTGTTCTGCTCCCAACCCCATGAGCATCATCTAACTAGAGTATCTACCTACCTATGACATGGACCCAAGCATCTGCTTCGCCAGCACCATCATACCCAAGCACCATGATCTCGGTTACGGCAACGAAGATTCCGACTCTATAGGACTTGAACACAGCGTGAAAGCCTGCTCACTGGCCTCTATTAACGGCGCTTAGGTTTCCGTAGCGGAATGCCTCCCAGGCCTGACTCCAAGTCAGGACCAGACTTCTAGCTATCACTGCCATTGGGGGCTGCTATGGCGGCTTGCTGATTCTGCGCAAGCGTCATACTTGCGGCTTGGGCAGCTTGGGCATTCTGCTCAGCCACCTGAATGGCAGACTGAACGACCCCTTGCTCATCAGCAGAGAGATGTGAGGTGAGGCTGGTGTAGTATTGGGGGTTTTCTTGTTGCATCTCTGGTGGTGGCAGGTCAGCGGTTAGAATCAGACGGGCTATGCTGGCGTATGAACTTACTCATAAGCACACCCCTGAACAGTTGATATGGCTCAATCTTGTCCAGCGGAGACTCGAGCAGGACGCTATCCTCCCCAAGTTCGTCATCAGAGTCGTCATTGTTGAACGTGTTCTCAATCTGAGTGAACTTCTGAGCTTCCTCGTTGAGAAACTCCAGATAGGCAGTACTCTCATCACGGGCGTCAGTTGGTTCCTCCTCTGGGGCATCCTCAGCATTCCAGTTGGCCTCGTCATCGCCCCATTCGTCATCGTCGTCGTATTCGTAGTTACCAGAATCAAACGTGTAGTCCTCCTTAAGGGCTTCCTGGCGATTCAACATGGCGTTAGGCAGAGTCTTAAAGAGAGAAGTAATTCCCTGGAGAAGTCGTGGCCAGCCAGTAGAGACGCTCGCGGGTATCTGGTCAGGGTTGAGGTTGAGAAGAGACGCAATGGCCACAATACAAAGTTTCTTGTCGTGAACACGGCTGAAGGAGTCCATGTTACCAAACCAGAGGCTAAAGAACTTGTTAGTCCACCCTTTGGTCTCCAGAACCGCAAGCGTCAGCAGAGGGTTGTAGTAGATGGCATTGATGACCATCTCCATCAGGTGGATCTTGTACGATTTGACCTTGACTTCGTGCCCGTTAAGCACCGTCATGGCCATCGCGATGAATCCGGTGACAGATTGGTCGATGTGGTCCCGCAGACTCAACATCATGGCCTCAGCAAGCTTGCAGGCACAGATGCGGTCAACGCCACCAACCTTTTGGTCCGAAAACATGTCCTGGACCATCGAGTACAGAGCCGCAACGTACTCGGGCTTTTGGGCCAATTGCGGGGCGCCGTACTGGACGAAGTTGTCTAGCGCAGGAAGCATATCCTCGAGGTACAGCTCGGCTCCAGACTTGAAAGTAGCATGTATGAGCTCAAATGCCTGCCACATGGTAGGCGAGATCCCCTTGGCCGCGAATGTGCAGCTGTCGATGATCTCAAACACTTCGTTGTAAAGATCTTCGTCTGACAATCAGCATATCATCCCCAAGGAGGTTTTAGAAATACTCACCGTATAGCTTGTTCTGAAGAGTCACTTGGATGACTGGCATCAAGACGGCCTCAATATGTAGCAGGACATCTGGAGTACTCTCGAGGGTAAGGATCAGGGTCCCGATTGTTTGAAGAACGCCAAGCGCCGTGATGCTCTTGTCATCCAAATAATCACCGTAGTCTCCGTCATCGTTGTTTCGGTTGTCATTCTTATCCAACAGCTCACGCACGATCCTTAAGTAAGTGTCCCGTAGCTGTTCACTCAGAGCGACGGCGAAAGGAGTAAGTTCGGCCGCGAAAACCTCGACAAAGTCCTCCATAACATTCGCGAGTGCATCGATGTCACACTCGTTGGCCAGCTTCAATAACTGCTGCATGATGGTGGGGATACTCTGCTGCATGCTGACGCGAATAGCGTCATGTCGAATGAGAGGCTGCAGAGCCAACGCCGCCGTCACTCGAACGGGTAGATCAGTGTCGGCCATGCAATCCAGGATGTGGCGGTAGATGACGAGCAGATTATTCTGATCCTTGAAGTTGAGCTGCTCAAATTTCTCGATCGTGTCGCAAGCACGGGCACGCAGGAACCCCTGAGAACTCTTGAAGTCAGGGAAAACGTAACGGACAAGGAAGTATTCGACCTCGTCCGCAATCGGGCTCTTCTTGCCCAGAAGCACCGGCGCCAATGTCGCAATCATCCTCAAGGCGCCCTCCTTGGCTCTGTGGTTTTTGTTCTCGTCCGGCGCCTGCTCGTACTCGTTGACGACCCCATTAACGAATTGGAGCAGTTCGAAAGTCTGCTTTCTTCGAGCTTTGGTCAGAGTAACGAGGAAGTTGGTGGCGGCAACATCGGGCGCGGAAACTTCTTCGTAGAAGTTGAGTTTCCGATGAAGATACTCCTCTGGTTCGTCTTCGAATTTTTCCACGTCGTCATCACTGAGACACATAACAGGGAAGACAAGGTGCCTGACCAGGTTGTTCAGATGCGGTTTCATGAGATTCCACATGGACTTGGGGCGGCAACATTCGTCGAGGAAGACCAGGGTGTAGGACAAACAGGGTTTGCTCAGCCAAACAGTGTTCGAAACCCATTTCTCGATCTCGGATAGGTAGTGTTTCAGTATCTCGGGGGCGATTGTGGTCTCGAAGTCCTTTGCAAAACTGACTGCCGCATCGTCCTTGGTCGTGATGGCTGCGGGATTGCCTTGTCTAGCAGAAGTTAGTTCTCTCAGGCTCGGCGAAGCATCGACTCGGACTCTTGAATTTGCTAACCTGACCCATAGCCTGTTGAGGTTGAAATACGCCCACTTCTTGGACTTCCACCAATGATGCCTTTCCCGTTCCTCGATATCCTCTAGCATGGCAGAGGCTGGTATCGCCTTTGAAACGGTCTGCAAGAAAATGGTACACCATCCGATGTTGACATCGTGTTGTCTCAGGAATGTACTAAGCTCGAGCTGTCGAGTTGTTAGATGCATACGTTCCGGACCCCAGTGCGACAGTCTCAATGAACACCTACCCAGGTTGCGTGTTTGTAGGCCTTCAGGGCGATATGCAGCATCTCTCCAGCCTCGTCGCTTTCTTGGTTGACCAACTCGTTGCAGACCTGCAGAAGCCTTGGGAAGCTGGCCTCGACAATCTTGTCGAACTCGACTCGTCCACCATCTTGAGCGCCCTTGAATCGATAGGCGCGGCATGTGACAAGAAGACATTGCAGCCCGGCAAGGACAGAGGGGGCATCATTCGAGTGCAGCAGCTGCAGGGTGACATCCATGAAGGTGGGCCATTTTCCGGGGAAGTCGAAGTGCAAGATGCGCTGGATCAACTGTAGGAGCTGCTGTCGAACCGGGCCACGCGAGGCGGCGAGGATGGGCAGGATGCGATCGCGGAAGCGTTGTTTCTCATTCTCTTCTATGAGTGTCTCATCTGGGTAATGGTCGGTCTTGGCCCAGCCTCGATTCGTCCGGTTCTTCAGGTAGATGGTGGCTGCAGACAACAATCAGATTAGCGATGGCGACATGGAACTCGGGAGGTCATCTCGGATCTCGAGATGAAGTAGTCGGGTAGACGTACTCGATAGCCGGACGGAGTCGTCTGGCTCGCTGGACAGAATATCGAGGAGGACGTCGGTGAAGCCTGCATGCCCCTCGGCCTAGATTCAGGGATGACGGGTGAGCGAACGCAACGACAGCGAGCGAATCACACGATGGGCGCATCGCATAGCACGCACGGCACGGCATGGCATAACACAGCCTAACGGGTGCTTACCTGCTTGAGCTCGAGCTCGGCGGACCGTCGCACGTTCGTATCGGGGGAGAGCGTGGCGACGACGCGACTCCTGATGGCTTCGGCGTTCATGGCGGGCAGGTTTGTTGATTACCTAGGAGATGCAGGGTGGAGCTGCGGTTGGTGCGATGGGATGTTGGTTTGGAAGAGGGTTCCAAGTCAAGATCATGCCCGCCACCCGGGTCGAATCGAGGTAAGGGAGAGGCAGACGGGGCAGTCGAGATGACAGTGTTGTTGTTGTTGATGGACTAGACAGCCTCGAAGAAGGTAATAACGAGTGCGTCGGCCATAAAAATTATTAGAATGAATCGGTGTATGAAGATGGAGGGGCACACAGGCACACAGGCACACACAGGCACACCAGACTGGAGGAGACTTGGACCTGGACCCTTCAAACTTCACCCACTAGACGTCGACTCGCCCTCGCTGTGGCGTGTGTGGGTCCTGGGAAGCGGTCGCCAAGGGGAAGGTTATGGATGCAATCAGTGGACGATGGCGGGTGCTGATAGGCCAGGTGCAGGGCCTGCAGGGCGCCCGGCTGGCTCGTGGCAGGCCCACCGCTCGCGGGCTGGCAGGCTGGCAGCAGCGGGCAGCAATTTCAAGGTAGCAAAATCCACCAGGACCTGAATGCGGTCAGGTCAGGCCCCCCTTTTTACCCTGAACTCGCACATAGGTCGTAAAGCATGTAGAATCTCAAGTGCCATCGGTTTCGCTCAAAGCATCATACCTTGGCACTTACAAACTTCGCAGAGTCCGTAAGTTTGTCACATCTAACAATGCAACGGATAAATATGTCTTCTAGGTACTATAATCAATTACCTAGGTACTTGGCACAAACGGCGAATCCTTCCAAGGCAGGGGACCGTGTCAACCTCCGCCAACCAAACCCGGCGAGGACCTGCTTAAACATATTATGCTCGAACACCGAGAATCAGTATCATTGTGAAGCGGCCCTAAAGGACGGTCGCTTGTCTACGACCATCCAGGTCTTACCTTAATTGAGGTGGGAAGTCATTCATATCCCAGGTCTACGTACCAAATCAGCAGATTCGTATCGACGTCGCCTGAGCTCACCACCACCACGTTTGCCTCCCCTTGCGTGCTACTACCTTCAAGGTTACGCCCATATGCCAACGGCGACACTGATCTGGGTCGGTGGCAGGACCCTGAAAATGCGCCGCCAGCACTTCCAAGTTCCTATTAATAGTCGTATGCAGTGGGCATGTTTCTGGCACCGTGGCAGTTTCAAATCTCCGGATGGCCACGAGCTTAGGTACCTGCAGAAATTGGTGACAAATGCAGCTGAGCGTAACGGTAAGGACTTGAGAGTGAGGTATGTTGCATGCATTCATCATGTTTGCATGTGCATCTTCGACAGACTGTTCGACGAACTGCGGGGGTGACCATTCCGATCTGCTTCGCGTTCATGCCGCTGTCGTTTCGAGGTTGCAGTTTGCAAACCACAGCACAGTAAGTACCTAGCATCTTGGGTTCCTGCTTTTGGATCCCGCATGCGCGAGCGAGTGAACTGAACGCGCAGCAAATCGCCAGCGCTTCCATCCAATAGGATTCGCCCCGGACGTCTCGCCGCCGTTCATGGGCCGAGTTTACACAGCAGCTTCAAACACATGGCGGCTCATATGATGCCACGAGTCGCAACCCACGGAACTAATCGCTTGTCCATCTTGTTTGCTTGCTATTTGGGAATATAGGTCAGCTGCAAAAGCTTTGCTCTACTGGTATCGCGTACAGCTGATCGAGAGCATAGAAGAAAGTGTTGTTTATTCTAGGATCTATCTGAAATGGAGCTGAGGAGCTCTCCCTTATCATATATGGCGAGCTGCGCAGGGACGAACCCCTGTGCCTGGTCACGTGTATACCTTGCGACAACTGGGAAAGACGGCAATAAATCATGTCATGCGGGTGTGTGAGGTAAGCACATGTCACCATACTGGAGCCAGATCTAAATACGTAGTTGTCGGTATTCGCAGCAGATTGGTACTACTCGTAGTCAACTCTACCGAAACCCACTCACCCACCCATAACTTCATGATACAAATGCTCTTGAATCCTTGACTGGAAAAGGAGCTTAGTAGGGCTTGAAACAGTGTGGCTTACCAGTCAGTCGACTGAGAAGCTTACGCATAGGACAGGATGACCATAAATTACCGTTCCGGCGAGAACAGGATGCCACAGGTTTTCCGCTTCCAGGTACACGAACTCGGCACGGTGATCATGTCCGCCAACTCGACATCGCGCAGGTAAAAGTGTCCGATCGGGTGGGTTGGGTGTGATACACCGAAGACGGATACATAAAATCAAATGCCCTCTGAAACACATGAGCACAGTTGTCAGTGGTTGTCAAACATGCCATCGCGACAAGAGGAAAGCGCAGTTGGCCCTATCAACAACCCAGCACAAGGTTTGGACTCCCCCAGCCAGAGAACCCTCTCTTGCCCCTTACCACGGCATCGGGATACATACTCCTGAACCTCAGTCAGAAAGACGCAGACGCCATCATCCGTCTCCGGCAGTGTGAACAACATGATAAAGGAAACACTCAAGCCAGGAACGCCCTAGTCTATATGATCTAGAAGCCGAGAGCTCTCGAGACAGTACCGTCATGCGCAGCGCCGTCACGTTGGTCCATTACGCTACTCAGCAAGGAACCACCACGAAAAGCGCACACCAGACCTCGTGTCCATGATCGAGACCACGTCCCCAGTTGAGAACACCAAATACCATATCAGCGTCGCACGAGCCCACCAAGGGTGAACTGCCGGGACATCAAGCACAACGAGCAGCACGTCACCGCGAAGGCAAGATGAGCAAGAGGGTCTCTCAATAAGCCACAAGCAAATACATCCAGTCCACATATATTCGCACCATCAACAACCTCTGCCAGGCTCCAGACGACCTGATACAACGCGTGATCAATCACCAGCCGACCTATCCCCAGCCTGCACCCCCCAACTGGAAACAGTCAACCCATCGCCAACCTATGCTGCCGTCACATGACATGACTGGTACATCCGCCACAGCGTATACCCAGAACATCGACATGTTCAGACTCCCAAGGCCCCAGAGTACATATCCACCACGACCACCACAATACCACCCAGAACCGCCCAGGATGACGCGACGCCGTGGCCATTCTCCATCGCCAGCGTGTACCCACACCGAGCAGGCCACCTATCAATAGCGTGCGCCAGCCCCTGTGCTTCCTACTATAGTCAGCCCCCACCGCGCTTCATTCCGAGCAGTCTCCCGAGCAATCCAATCGTGGGTATATCCGTGAAGGCTGGAGAGGAAACCTGGGGAGAGAGCAATGCAGAAGACGAATACAAGGCGCCACGGAGTGCGAACGGCGTAAACACAACCATTAACAACGAGCAAAGCTGACTCCGAGGGTAGTTCGGCCCAGCGTATATTCCTGCAGTATCCTTTGGCTTCCATGTAAGGCACGGCATCTTGAGCTGGTTTCCTTTAGTGTCATTGAATGAATCCGGTCTCCAGATATATGGCAAAAAGGGAGCTGAAGCAAGTTGCTCCATCCGGCTTTGTCCCCCGGCAGATGTAATGCATAGTCGAGTCCTCTCTTGTCCGCTGGCAGAATCACGAAAGAATATTGTAAGGTAGGGATCCCAGTCATGTTGATGATGATACCAGATCCAGCGGTAGTATCCCAAAGTATAGAGTGGCATCCTTGGTAGTCAGTCGTCTGGCAAGATAAAGTCTAGACCTGAATAGCTGCAAAGCTTAGTTGAAACCAATGTGTTATATTTCTCAAGTCCTCGGATGCTCTGAAAAAAATGTCATGGAGACCCAGGGTGATTGATATTGAGATGCCTTGTGTAGAAAATGGGACATCCCTGTATTGAAACCAAAGGGTACATATCTTACCAACATTGCGTTTGGTCTGTCAGGACCAGCATTCTTGGTGATCTTGTTCAGATCCATGATCCAACGCAGGCGCGCTCAAGGTCTTCCACGGGTTGGGATTTCCAGTGGTGTCATACATCCAGATAAATATCCAGTGGTATCCGCAAACTGTTACTGTCTCCATTGTGATGATCCATGTCCAGATTGTGGGTTTCCATGTGGTTTCCATCAGATGTCCATGGGTGATGATCCAATGGGAGAGGTGATGGTCAGATGATCTAGGAGTGAGCTATATGTAAGTGTCAAGCACGAGAAGGTAGAGAAATCCAGGGGGCAGTGGTGCCAGGCAACAAGGATATTGGGAGACGAGAAAATCCTTCAAAGAGGTTGGCATATATATACAATGCGTCCTGTGCTCACCTTGCTGTCCGGATTGCGAGCCCTGTCTATTAGCAACATCATCCCAGCATCTCACCAGTATGCTCATCCGTGACCGGTCATGGAACCTGAAAACACCGAGGAAATTTTGAACACAAACAGCCTCCAACCGGCGGGCTGAATCCGGACAGCAGTGTGGACGCGGCATGATCCATGAACGATACTAACCAAGGAAAATTGATCTCATTTCCTGTGTCAACCAAAGTCTGGAAGGTATGCAGCAAGCACCGATCTTCGCTTGCGCCATCGCAGGAACAGAGTTCAATCGTAAGGCCCAATGGCATGCAGGTCGTAGCAGGTCCCCTTAGCAATGCGCCATATCCATTCTGGAAGAAGCAAAATCATCGGCGTGGTATTCGTAAAGGTGTTCCAATGTGGAGATATGAAAAGTCCAGGTCATGAGGTCCAGCGGCATTATTCAAAAAGCCACGAACTTGCAACTCTGCAAGGCTGAGCGTCCGGGAAATTGAGACCGGGTCTATCCTCTGGATGATAAAAAGCATTCCGGGTGCAGTCCATGGCGCTTTGTTGGAATCCAAATCCTTGGGTATGAAACAAATCTGAGGAATCACAACGAAAAAATGGTGGTCTTCCAAATCTAGAACTCCAGACGGGCGCCTTGTCAAATGGATTACCGGCCAGAGTGGTGTGAACGATGGCCATGTCTTGAACTGGCGTGGCGGTCGTCCCGGTCACGATGTCTTGAAGATGATCCACTAGCTGGTACTTGGGTACTGGAAGTCGTTGCCGAAGGCCGTGAGGGGGCAGGGGTGCCCTCATACTGGACAGCAGGTGCTGGACTGTAGGAGGCTGTGCCTGCTGGAGACGCTACACAATCAGAAAAAGCCGTTAGACGGAAGAAGAGGACTTTTAGTGTACGCACCACGTCCGTAGAACGCATCCATGGGCTGGGCGCCAGCTCCGAATTGAGGGTTGGACGTCGAAGAGCTCTGGGGGTAGTAGCTGCTGGATCCCGAGGCTGGATAACCCTGCGTCCCCGCCGAAGGACCTGCAGTGGTATAAGTAGTCCTACTGGATGACATGGTAGTCACGGGCACTCTGGGATCTCTGTGATCTCTCGGGTCTCCCCTTGGGTCCCTCGAGTCCCTCGAGGCATACGAGTCATTGCTATACGGGTCCGCCGCCCGTACAGCGGAATGAGCACCAACAACCTGGTAAGGGGGCTCCTGGCCGGCCTGGCCAAATCCTGATCCTGTCATGGGATGTCCCGGTGCAAAAGAAGACACATTTGCAGCTTGCGCTGCGAACTGCGATGGCTGGGTGGTGTACCCTGCCTGGGCAACATACCCACTCTGATTTGCATATTGTTGGGCACCAGAAAAGCCAGCGGCTCCTGTATAACCTTGGGTACCAGTGCCTGGGTATCTCGGCGTAGAATCACCATAAGGATCCCTGCTTGTATCCGCGGATGTGATCTCTGTTGGTCCATAGTACTGGCGCGACTGATGTGTATCCGAGTTGCGGTACTGGACTGCAGGGGAGTTAGAGGATTTGATAAACACGACGTTCGAGTCTCTCGAGGCAATAGTACCTCCGGCGGTGTTATTACGACTCGCCGATTGATGCCGCCTTTCTTGTTCCCATCGCGCAGAATCGGCTTTCAAGTCTTCGATCATTGCCTGCAGAGCGAAGGTAGTCAGCAGGAGTGCGTCGAATAATGACGAGGACTGGGCGAGTGACTGGGCCAGAGCGACTTACTGTTGTTAGATTGCGGTAGGCATTGATGTAGTAGCCTTGTATTATTTGTCCAGTTTGCGGGTTCTGCAACGGGGCCGTTCGTCAGCGATGATCCGACATGTCTCAAGTGTAGACAAGCCATACCTCGTAGTTGCCAGGCCGTACTAGAGCATCGTTACCAAGATAACGGCAAATGTCGGCGGTAATTACTTCGCGATCGATGCCGTCTCTTGGTACGAAATACTCGTTCTGGCGGTTCTGGTTCTGTTGAGGCAGAACGGAGCTGCTGGATGGTGGCGGCCTTCTGGACATGTTTGGGCGTGTGTAGGGGATGAAGCTCTCCAAGGAAAGCAGTGATTAGGTAAAGAGGAGGAAAGGGTCGGCGGGAGGGAGAACGGCAGCGGTGGATGAACGGTAGAAGACGAGGGCCCGGGAGGTGTCGAGGACTCAGGAGGGTGGGTGGAGGGGAGAGAAAAGGGCTGACGGGCTGCGCAGTGGCAGAGTGGGCGTGGCCGTGAGTGCGCTGGCTGGCCTGGCTGGCAGCGGCGGTTTGAGGTGGGCCTGAAATGGGGTCCGCGGCAGCACGCTGTCCTATCCAGATCCGCCTGCAGATTTCAGTCAGTCCCCGGTGTCGCCCAGTAGCGCTAGAGCGGCCTCTCCAGGGGTTTCAGGCAACCGACAAGCAGGGTGGCAGGCCTGCCGACAAGGCACAATGGAGCAATCGCGCCACTCAGCTGGCCGAGCAGGGATGGTGGCTTGCGTCACAGCGTTGGAAGAATCCAATCCTTAACGGGTGGCGATGTGACCTACAGGTGACAGGGTCGCGGACAGCTACCTACTGGTAGAGCGACAGGGAGGTAGAGGTAGGTTGGCAACTGGCAACTGGCAACTAGCTGGTCCTGTCCTCGGTAAGGCAGGCAGGCAGGCAGGTAGGCAGGTAGGCAGGTAGGGGGTGATGACAGCCCTTCCTCGGTTCGGCGGCGTTGGTGCCGTTGTACTTAAGGTAGATATGTATGGTGGTATGGCCGCGAACTGTTGGGACAGCCTCTGTCCAATGTCGAGCTTGAAGAACACACAGAGTGTCAGGTGAGGTTAGAGACTTCGGTCGTCGAGGACGGGCGGGCCAATGGACAGACTGTGCGCCAAGGCAGCGAAGCGGTATCACTGTATCGAAGAGGTGCGTGGGAGCGCGTGGTTGGTTGGAAACGTCCGTTATGCGAGGGCAATGGGCAATATGACGAGAGCGAATCGAGTCGCACACAGCAGCAGGAACCTGGCAAAGGTAGCACAAGAGAGCAGAGCGCAGGCAGACGGGACAGACAGGCTGCAGACCGCTGGCACTGGATCTATATGCAAGAGGGTCTGATCAGCTGCAGAGTAGGCTGTGGCTTGATAGAAGAGGAAGCGACAGAGCAGATCTGGGAGGCGAGAAGCCCAACGAGGAGACAGTACAGACGGCACGGGCAGGAGAGGTCCAAGAAGCTGGGAATGATCGTCGTCCGTGTAAGAGAACGAGGGCTGGAGGGGTCGATGCAGGTGGTGGAGGGATGGGAGTTGTTGACAGGCCTGGTTCAAGTTGTTGAACCGTTGCGAGTTTGTTTCCTTTTCGATGGGCTGGCGGGCTGGACCCGGTGGTGCGACAAGCCTCAAGCAGCCAGGACTTGGTGGAGGTACTTGTACTCAGACAAGTTTAGACTCCACAACATCAACATCATGGCTGGTCAATTTGGTTCGTTTCAGACTCCAGGAGGAACGACGTGGCTGAAGATGGACGTCAAAGTGGCTGATGGTTCTAGGCTGAGGCTAGCTGCCCAATCTGTCAACTGGGCAAGATTGTGAAGCTCCCGTCTCTTTACTTGAACTTCATCCTTTCACAATTGATGCCTTTCACGATGTCACACTCGCTTCGTTGGGCTGGCGGCGATCGGTCATACACACAGACCAGAAACAGAGGGCGATACTGTACTGCTGAGAGTGAACCCTGGGTATCTAGTCCCCTGTATTCAGAGCTGATCGAGGAGAGGCTGTTTGTAGGTACCTTGTACAGTACATGTATGGTGAGGTAAGCAATCCCCCTTCGGTGAACCTATTGGGTAGGTTCAAGGTTGGGAGCAGGAAGTCCTCACAAATGACGTTGATGAGGCTTGGCCCGCACACATGCAAGCTTCTCGAAGACCAAAAAATAGCTTCAGACCCGGAAAGCAAGCGGCACAAGAGTATCAAGGACTTCCAAATACACCAAGCTCTTCTGCATGACTTCGTCTGAACATCAACCCACTTGATAATCGATTGTAGTCCAGAGAAACGGCATGGCAACTTGCAAGGCACGGCAGGACTTCCTGTTCAATCGGTTTGTTTCCACCTTGATACCCTATCGACCAAGGACTTCCCTGGAGCAAAAGAGGGTACCACTCGGAAGTTTGGACGAAGAAGCAACAGACGCGGCACCGGTCAAAAAAGGAAGTGAAAGGGCAGCGAGGCGAGGCGAGGTTGGGTATCAATGCGCCAGGGCCCGACAGCAAGCTCTGGGCAAGTAGCGGCATCTGTAGCGGCATCTGTAGCGGCATTTCCACCACGTTGGGTGCCCAACCTAGCCGACCTCAAAACTTCATCGGGCTGGCCAATCATCTCCTCCCGCACTGGGCTCCTCTTCTCGTGACATGACGACAAAGCAGCCACTGAGATATTGCAATGTGAGACCACGAGACAGTCGCCTGGTTTGGTTTGTTGGATAGGATAGGCTTTCGCTTTGGGAAAATGTAGCTCCTTATGGTGTATGTCGTACCTGTCAAACTGCATCCAGGAATGCAGGAAAGGGGAGGCGACGGCACATTCTGATCGTCCTATTTTACCCATCCATGCATTCTTCATTATTCATTGTTCACCACATATATCCAGCCAGCCATATCCAACACAACCCTAACCCGCGTATCTTCCATCGTAGCGAGGAATCGCGCGCGTAGCACAAGCAGGCCAGAGCCTATGCAGGCTTTCGCATATGCGCTCGTGAGACTGACGGTGAACCTACTTTGGAACCGGCCTGTTTCGGACTGGACACCCGTAGTGTAACCCGGGCGCCGACAATGTGCCTTCTGCCGCCGTAGAAGAATCCCCGTGTAAGGCGACGACAGCATACAACTGGCTGCACCCACGGGCCGGACGCAACCTGGACATCCGCATCTAATAGAATATGCGGTATCTGCCTGTACCTCGGTGCTCCCGCAGACCAAGCATTCGCATGGTTGGTTCCTGAAATATCTGCCCGGGCCGCCTTTCGCGATTTCCAGTCCTCGATATCTAGGCCGCAGGATCATCACCGCTAATCTGCTCGGCGCAGATCCGGCTTCCCCGGGCTCTTATAGGTATCGTCTATTATGCATGGAAGACGCAGAGTAGCGCCAGCTGTCTCGAGATATCGTTCGATTCTCGCAGCTTGTCCATGCATGTCCTGCATGTCCTTCGTAGGAAGACCGTCTGGTAGGAAGAACGGAGGCTGACTGACAAAGAGCAACGCAGATAACGCTCACTTTGGACGCGTGATTCATCCAAACTTCAGCTTGCTCTGCCCGTACTCCAGTTTACTGCTGCCGCCCCTTGAAGGCTTCTTCGACGACGATGCACACGTACTCTTCTGGCCGCGCGGAGCAGATGCCGGCTTACTGGCAAATGCAGGCTTGCCACGTTCCTCGTCCTGGAGGTCTTTGGCGAAATGCCAGTCGAGGTGGCTCTGTAATGCTTCGGCGTCCTCGAGCCCTGCATTGCAGCGGGAGCACATGTAATCCGTGATTGGTGTCTGCTGGCTCCGCGAGTCCGTGGTTGGACGGCCGCTCGTGTCATCTCGGGGGTGCCCTGTATCTTCACTGCCGTCGAGGTCCCCCTCGCCATCCCCGCCTGAAGAGGTTTCCCGTTTTGGAAAGAACCGCTGGATGCTGGGGTTATCCGTGCGGCGCTTCTTCTCTGGCGGTTCATTCGCAGAGGATTCCATTGACGACTCGCGGGGGGTTGTCTTGGATCCACGTGCTTCGTCTCCTTTCAACAAGAATCCGCCTATCCCCATGTTGCCCGTGACACCATCTTCAAACCCTGCGACGGCCAAACTAAGATTGGCACACGGCCATACTCTCCCTTCTAGAATGATCTGATTGAGAAGATGCTTGGCGAGGTCAAACAAGGTCCTTTCATCGAGTGTTTTGCCCATGGGGATACCAGAGGATCGTGACCGGGTCTGGCCACCATGCCGGTGATGTAGGTTCATGGTTTTGGGCCGCCGTTTATTCTCGAGGACACCCTCCTCGAGCAATCGTGAGAATATGTCTGCCGTGAATATCCTCAACCATTTGATGGCCTGATCTAGATTGTTTATGCTCGGCCGGAAGGATTTGGCCGAGAGCATGGATTTGATTTGGGTTCTGGAGTTGACCTCACTCGAATCGATGCCACGAATAGTATTATAGAGCCAGACTCCCGTGTCATCGCCCAGCTTCGACTTCAGCTGCTCCACTGGCACCAGAAGCAAATCCTTGATTGTCTCGGTGCCAAAAGTCGATGTAACCTGGTCGCCAAGCTTGCCCCCGAGGTTTCGAATCTTGGTGAACTTCATGTCAGACAGGAAGTGTTGGGCCGCCCGGTTCCGAATGACGGTTTGCTGGTTAGGCTTTTTGTATGCCGAGCCCAACTTACTGAGCATTTTATTACTCGCTATTCCCGCTGAACAGGTGTAGTGTAGCTGCCGACGAATCTCAGCCCGCACATCCCGAACTATTTCTGATCCAATGAGGATAGCCACGTCATCCCAGTCGGGGTCGTCAGCTTCGGCCTCGGTATCGTCAAGGTCGACCAGCGCATCAGCTTGCCAGTCGAGGGCAGTCACTGGGGGCAGCGGCAGCTTCTCTGTCGGATCATCGTAGGGTGGAGGGTTAGTAAGTTCCGGAAATCTCTCCAGGAGAATTGAGTGGATCTGAGCAGATAGGTCAACGAAGACCTCATCTATGCTCGCCTTCTCGACCTTCTGGAGGTTTTGCGGTAGACACTCCTTGATCAGCGCCAAGATTCTCCTCGACTGGAGTCGGTAGGGGTCCAGTGAGACCTTGTGTGTGCCGATGTGCGATGGTGCATCGTTGTGATACGCCCATTTCTCATCACCTTCCTTCCACGTCGCAACGTGTTGGGCGATGAGGTTCGGGCAGAGTTTCTTTGCATCAGTCACAGTACAATGCCGACTGATGTCGAACTTGCGTGCAGGATAATTGATAGCAATCAGTCCTTCCCTATGAGGTGCGTCAGCCAATGGTGATCAGGCGGTAGTGCAGGGGAAGAGCCAGTAATGGGGGAGTTACCATTGCCGAACGGCCAGAGGTTGATCCTCGGCAATGCCCAGACGCACCATCTCACACTGGGCATAGAAGGCATCGAGATCGATGTGAGCAATGACACGCAACGCTGATGAAGTTGAGTATGAGGCCAATAAGCTCAATTGGCGGTAGGTAAAATGCGACTTCTGCCGTCCCGTGCCGTGCACCGGTGACGACATTTGATAAGGCGGTGATGAGGACGGCATGATGAGTGTTTAGGAGAGAGGGTTCGCGGGACGGAGGGGCCGAGATGCTCGGTCAGCGGTGCTCGACCAGAGTCATGATTGGGGATTCGAATCCGAGAAACGACCAGGGTAGCATCGGCCCGGCGATGATGAGCACGTGGATAGAAACGGGGTGACAAGAGGAGGCATTCACCCACTCGCATAGATGCTGAAGGGTTGGACGGAGACGAGGGACACGCGCCTTTGACGCGATCTTTCGCGGACGTGGACGTCTTCGGAATAAAAGTGGAGCATACACTACGTCAGCCCGCGTTGGCAGTTGCCCCCCTAAGGTTGTGGCTGCTATGGCCTCATCACCAGACCTCCTTCTCGCTAAGTGCTGAATAATAACAGATAACACGAAACTGGGCTGTCACAGGTATCAACATTCGAATCTTTTTGGCTAGTTCTGCAGAGTTGTAAATGTCTGACATACACATGCAGCAAGTCGATGGCTAATTATGTTGAGCCGCAATACGTGTGCGGATGACCTCTTCAACTAGAAAAGAAAATAAACCCAGACACTTTATTAGTATAAAGCATCTTTCTATGTTGGTCGTCACCCACTCTACGCGCAGCTTTATGCAGTTGGTGCCGACCCATCACGAGGTGACCCTCGAGCACCAACTCGTCACGCACAGGCTGCGTCGCGTCGGGGTTTTCTCCAGAGGATCTACCAATCACTCGAATCCCACACATCCAGTCAGAAGGCCAAGAATAGAGGATAACGATGGCTTGTTGTTCTGCAGGGAGCTGCAGCGCTGGTCAGACGTGGAACACCTGTATATGTACATAGATACGTTCCTTGTCCCTTCCATGCTCCCTACACATCCACCAGTCCCTCGAATAAGTGCAGATCCCAAGCAGCGTAGCGACCCCCCACGGTAAGCTCTTCAACGTCTAAAAGAGGACCAAGTCTCCTCGGTCTGTCTGCTCGTCGGGGATGCCGACTGGACCAGTCCTCTCCTCTGCCCCATCCCTTGCGAGACCTTCATCTCACCTACAGCTGGTTGTGCCGTCTAGGATGCTCCTCCGAGTATATTAATTGCTTACCTCATGTCAGCCGCGTAGGATTCCGTACCACCCTTCTTTCGCGACGAGATATGCCTTTTGTGCCCCTGAGGTGCCTGGCGATGAGCTCAGGGAAATACCGGGAGCTGCGCGGTACTTCTCATGGGATCTGTGCCTCATATTTGCAGATGGGGAGGCTCTGTTTCCAAACGGGGAGGCTCTAGGGAGACGACATGCTTGCCTCGGGGGCGTTCCTCCATCCGTAGAACCCGCCACTTCGGAGACACTGCCGAGGTGGTAGTTACCTTCCACTGGGGCACTATCGTAATGGAGGGGCGGAACATATATTCGGCCGCATGATGGTTGGCCTGCGGGGAACGCTCGCTAGAGGGTATCATTGTCCTCGTGGCCTTCTGAAATGATACAATATACTTGTTGGAGATTATGGGGTGGTACTTGGGAATACTACCGATTTGTCCCGTCGCTGACCATAGCGACAGATAGGGCCATCACGACGGGCAGATGATTCAAGCCATCATCAAGATGATAGGGGCCCCAATGCATTCGCTCGACAGAGTGTCGAGATTCTTTGAGTTGTTGGGGGTGCCACGGGGGCTTTCCGTTCTTCCAAGGCGACCAATGACTGCGAAAATTCAGGAAGTACTTCCTACGCTGCATCCCTGACACACGTCTAGTGGAGGGTATTGGAGTCACATCCAGGCCTGCTGACTGGTGTCACAATGGAATATTAGATGCTTCCAGTGAGTAGCACGGCGTGTGCTTCGATGCCAAGATGTCAGTCGTTGGAAATATTATTCAACTTCAAAGTCCGCTGCGGCAGAAGTCGATGCGGTTTGGTCAAGCTTGTACTCCACAAACCAACTACGGTCGACGCTGCTCTTGTTGTTACACCTTATTTGCCATCATTCTCGGCGGATTATGTTCATGGTCATAGCCTTACAGGTAAGGCCCGTACCTGATCCAGAGCCTCGTGGTGGCCTGCTTTGCGATCCCGCCACCTGCAGGACCAGATGGCATGACATTGGACAGCAGCCCGGATTTATGCGTATGCTAATCTCTTCGCCATGTCGGCATGGTTTTAAATAGCCTTGTTGGACCTGTGTGACTGAATGGTTACTCCGCTCTGTGGACTTGTCAGGTTCAACACATGGAATGTTTTCACTCTTAGGGACAATTCTGTGCTGCGGTGCGGTTCGTATCCATGGACAATCATTAGATAATTAGCATAGCTGGAGTCCTTTTCAACCCTATCTACAAATAATTCGGTATGAGGATACAATGCCACAGCGCCCCCAAGGGTGAATCGAGAGAGGCCCCAGCCGACCAAACGAGGCTCTGTCCAAACACAGACCTGTACGTTGCTTCCTTAGCCCTTCCCACTCCTCAATAAAGGTGCAATTCGAACGTGGTGATGTTCATGTGGCAGTCAATCTGGATCTAGGAAAGCCAGATGGCAGTGAACTAGTTGCCGCTGTCAGAAGGCCAACCATAAAGAGGGGTAAAAGACTTATTGTTCTGTAGGGAGCTATAGTACTAATCAGGCATGAAAGCCTTGTATATGTACACGAAAGGTTCCTTTGTTTCTGACACACTTCCAGACAGCCGCAGTACAAGGGGCACAGGTTCGTCGTCCGGAATGAGCTCTTGGCTTCAGTTACACCGCCCAAGTCTCCATCACAAACGTCGATGCCATGTTTCAGTGTAACTCGGCGAATGAGAACCCCGAAATGATACAGGCTACCATTGCTACCCGCTCACGGGATCCTTCGGACATGTACTCCGCTCATTATCTCAGCATCTAGGACTGATATAGGGGTGAAACCGACCCCCAAGGGCGGTGTGACCTGACCAAGTCTCTATGAATCCTCCGCGGCATGGTAATGGTTTGGCAGGCGCCTTAATTTGCCTTGTCAGGGTGCAGACTGACGTGCATGAAGCCGAGATTCGCCGCAACGACCTGCCCTTTACGCTCGTTCGGTCTAGCCCATGGCCTGAGAATGATATCATACCCAGAATGCTGGATCCAGCATGATGGCATTCCAAGCTCGAATTTGTCAATCGATGCCGCTAAAGGTTGCCCACGTGGTGCGGTGAGCCCCAGGCGAAGACAGGGTACCCCTTTCCAGCCCTGCTCTCCATAAATCCCGAGAATGTGGGCAGAACGTGGCATCGCCAGGGGTCAAATTCGTTGACAGGTCCGTGACTGCATCTTCTGAGCAAGCATTTGACGGAGTTCTTTTACGCTTCTCACCGGTCTGCTCCTTGATCCTTCTGCACGTCGGAAATGTCCGATTGTGTTTCGGATGTCCATTCACATCGTCCCCAGCGACGGTTCAGCCTCGCGACCAAGGCGCATGTGAGCTGTTCAAGGAGTGTCAGACGAGGGAGACAATACTCCTGAAGATATCTCATTGGCCCCCAAATCGCGTAAGACATTTCTGAAGGAACACTCAGAATGGGAGGTACGGTGCGCCAAGCCCCAGCGGCCACCGGTGAAAGGAGTCGAATCTAATTGGCATTATCTGTTAATTGTCACCTTGTGTCATACAGTGTCTATCGAGAGGGACATCTTGGAGCAAAGCTTGCGGCTCTGCGAAATGTTTGTGGTTTCGGCGGGCGGCCCCCCGAAAATGTTCTCGAAAAGGGTCTGCGTACGGGAACCCACTGCCTCTTGCGCCGAAGTACATCACGTCCTACGTCCGTAGTCTTTAATGCTTATAAAGACGCCAAGTGACTCCCCAGAAGAACCGAGTTTTCACAGATCAGTCCAGAAGTCAAGATACAAACTTACCTCCGTCGTGTCACGACCGTCCTGTTCTCCAAAAAGACAGATTCATAACGCCTTGGCCGGTCCGCTATTAGGCTCAAGAAACAGACTGTAGTCGATTTTTCCGAAGATGTATGAAATCCCGTCCTCCTCGTAGCCTTCTTTCTAACCATACTACTAGGTCCGACGAAGATCGCAGTCCATCCCCTGAATCCGGAGACGACGGAACCACCCCAGACAACGTCCCACGGGCCACCGACAACATGATAAAATGCTCCGGGTGCGGCAAAGAAGACTACTTCAACATTTCCACCGACGAAGAGAATGCAGACTGCAAAAATTGTGGGCATGTTGTGTGTGACGACTGCGAGAAGCAGTGACGCTTGGCGATCGAACGATTGGAATATTCATGGGCGCCGACGACTTCGATCAACGCCATCCTCGGCGCCCTGAACACGGCCGGGCTTAGGAGAGAGGGGTGGGAGGTACACACCACCAAGTTTGCTTCGCTGGATATGTAATTAACATAGATCGCCACGTTTCGAATCGGCCTGGGTATGAGGTAGCTGTATGTTGTCCCATCAATACAGTTGCAGCTGGCTCTCCACTAAGGGAGAAGTTGACTATTTGCTCCAAATGTCATTGAGGATTTGGAAGTGGTGTTCCTCACAGTAGAATTCATAGTCGGGACCATTTACTGCATGTACCTGGGTACTCAGGTACACCTATCCCTTCGCGGTAGTGCCGCCGTTGAAGCTGCACTTGTCGGCCATAATTATCGAACAATGCCAGTCGCTGAAAGATCACGCATCATGGAGGAAATGGACTCGTCAACGATCATAACTATCACTCCAGGTAGGTAGTACGCTGGTTGAGGTTCGTAGTGGGCTACGGGCAGCAATCTTATAGAAGGGACGTAGTCGTTTTAAGGGGCTGGCTCCGATGTGGAGCCTGTGAGCATCGCCGCTCGTGGCGTCTTGACCGATGGTCGGGTGGTAAGCGAGCATGTGATCAGAGGGAATAAGTGACAAGCTCATTTTCTGGAAATGCCATATGCATAAATTCGCTTTGGGAACTGGCACACCAAAATCGGCCGTGGAAAGGGGGCGTAGTGGGCAGTACGGAAGTGGCCAATTCTCATCTAAAGACTTGCTCAACATCCACAAGATGAGATCCGTCTGGATTATTCATTACCATAACTATTTCTACTCATCTAATTCCAAATCCGGTATGTATGCTATCCGCTGCTAAAAAACTATTATGTAAGATGTCATGCTCTCGTTCGCCATAACGCCAATGTCCAAGGGGTATCATCATCTGCACGTCAGGTCCTGTTGCTGGAAGGGAGATCCTTCAGCTCAAACCCATTACTGTGATCAACTGGGTCGCGGGGAAGACCGTATCGGACGCGGACATCTTTCAGCGCATTGCCCATCGGGTAGAAGCTTTCTTGCGTCTCGTGGTTGACACAAGGCGATTTTCGAATAGGTAGTAGCCAATCCAGTGGATTCGATCCCATAATCGTCTGCCAGTTCTTCCACGTACTCAGGTGCCACGGATTCTCCCCAGGCTCTGTTTTGAGAATCGCGAATGTCCGTGTCGCTAGATCATCGCGGGTAGTCGGACGCGAGCCATTTGTTTTTCCATAAGCTCCCTCGAGCGTTGGAGTTCTGCTGGAATAGCCGTTCGTTTCCTGGCCTGGCTTTGGGAGCGGATAAGTCACCACGATGAATTTATCTGAAGACCTCGTCCCGCGGGGCACTTGAACAGCCAACTGATAGACCTTCGAATGAGCTCCTAGCATATCGACATTCGTCATGTTGAGGATTATGTATCGCAGGGAAGTCACAGTCATCAAGAAGGTAAACAGCCCAAAGAATGCGGCCAGTACGAGCGCAGCAAGTACCCAGGGGTCCAAGCCAGAGCCCTCTTCAATCTTCTTGCGAAGGGTGAAGGCCGTTGCTCCGAGCACGACAGCGCAATAACAAGCAGTATACGTAGTAAACTGGGTGAAGAACTTGAAGGCTAGGATTGACTGTTAGCACTTCCGAATCTCCCTGGAGGGTATTCCCCGGCGGCTTACAATTTTCTCCAATCATACCCCCTACCCATGGGCAATAATGATCCATACGATAGACGCACCGTCCAAGCTCGCTGCTGTGGTGGACACGGTCTGCCTTCCAATTGCAGCATGTAGAGCACCATTTAGGCCGGCCGTCGCTGTCGCAAACGAATACCTCTCTCGCATAGAACTGCTCCAAGCCCGGGCTGTCAGGATTGAGATCTGGTCCAGCATAGTAAGCCTGACTCTCCAGATCCTGCTGGGCACCTGTCTTGGTTCGTTTGCGTTCGCGACTATTGCGTTCGACAGCTAGCGGACCGAGCGGGACGAGGCCGGGGTCGGTATTGGCAACGGCAATGGTTCTCGCATAGGTAGTGACCATCAAAAGAAAGAAGAGGAGATAAAGAACGAGGATGACTATCGCGGCGCCATATCGCCGGTGGGTGTCGATGAGGTAGCTGGCTGGAGACAGATCATCGTCAGAACTTATGGTATATCAGATCAAGTTGGGGACGCCGGCCCTGGACTCACAGCAGACACGAACGACGACGGCATAGGTCGCAACTCCAACAGCGGCAGCGAGAACGAACGGGATTATGCGGGTGGTCCATCGTGTTGCAGCCCGGGTACTCTCGATGACGGGCATTTCCAACACACCAGCATCCTGTGACAGGATATCGTCGCAGGTGGAAGTAGCCCGGGAGCTGGTGAGAGAGTATGGGATGGGTAGCTGAGCACTTGATCAACACACCAGACCTGCAGATGTCTGTGAGCTGCTGTCGAGGCCGCGTTGGTGGCTGCTGCGTGTAGTCGTGGATTGCGCCGGATGGGCGGTAAGTTGGAGATGACGGATCGTGACGCCAGCTAAAAATACATGATCATTTGAAATACTAACAAAGGTCGAAACCAGGGTGGCCCGTGCACCGTAGCTTCCTTCGCAATCAACCCTGTCTCACCTTCAATGTTCTCACCCAATCGTCGTCTCGTCTTGCCTTGATGTTTGCCACGAACAGCATTCCAGCGTCTTGGTGATGTCTGCGATGAGGAACATCACACTCGCAAACCTCCGGGTGTTAGTGGCACTGAAGTCGGGAAAGATGACAGATTGCCCCTGAGCAGTGCTCTGTACCGACAGGACAGCCCAGTCGCTAGATCCCAGGCCAGGTTTGTCCACGACCACAGCAAACGAGCTCAGTCCACGTCAGTTGGCCGTTCACATAGTGCCATGTCACTCATTGTCCGGTTTCCCAGACCCTGAGACATAAGGGGGCAGCGTTGACCTACGAAGAGAACTGCCCGACCAAGGCATATCTACTACAATCGACATACGACAGCTAAGGACGCATTTCTCGTGTTGTCAATCTGCACCGGCAGACTCCGACGCCAGCGCGCCTCTAGCAATTCTTGTCACGTTCTCGTCATCTCAGATGATGGAACATAACCAAGTTGTCGAGAATATGCATGTTCATCCAACAGACCCCTTTTTCTCCCCAGGGCACATCAGACATCAGACCTCCGCGCCCTGAATATAAGACCGTCTAAAGTCTAGCAGCGCAGAGGCAGTCCTCAAGGATACAGACGACACCGACTGTGCCGCTCCATACCCGTTATGGGATCCATTCGCCGGTATCCGGCGATTCTCTTGACAAATTCGCGTCAATTCCAATCACCGAGGCTACTTGAGCCAAATCGGTTACCAAAGATTCTGCTCTAGAGCCTCGAAGTTCTGTGAAGCTCGGGGGCATTTGCCATGCACAGATTGCAGAAAATAAAGCCTTGAGAGGGAAACTAGGACACTTTTTCGGTCTCTTCTCCATGTCTTCGCCCAGCCTGCAACCAGCTTTATCCTCTTCCGAACAGGCTGTGGGCAAACTCCTCTGTCCAATATCGGTGGAGATAATGAGGCTCAAATCATCAATCAACAGTTGACAACAAACCTGTACCAGACGTACAAGTATCTCGGTATATCAAGGAGCCTTCCCGTCCTTACTCTCGTATGTTTGCCGCAGACTTCCTGGCGGGATCCGTTCGGGGTAACCGATCCTGTCATATAATGCGCCCCTGCAACTGCCTTCCCTCTGATCGATTCGGGGATCCAGCAGCATTGTCGGCAATGGTGAGGGATTCCGAGTTTCTCCCTCCGCGGTGATACGGGGCCACCGGGACATTATTGCTTATCCCTCCAAGATGGACAGCTGAAAGAGAATTCTGAGCTGGAAACTATCCGGCAAGACAGCTTACGTGCCTGGATCGGGAGGTCTGTCCGTCTGACGCCGCAGATGCCCTTGTGATGGGAGGTCCTCAGGTCCTGGACATTAGGCGACCAACTTCCGACAGCCGTCCATAAGAAGTCGATCTCCCCGACATGTTGACCATTCGTCGTCTCAACTCAAGCACAAGCTCACTTCGGCACCAGATACTCTCGAGTGCGAGAGCGCGTGCGGGTCCAGAGAAGTGTCACTGGGACCAGTATTAATTTACCATCACAGTCTCGGACCGTTTCAAAGGACGAAATGAATCGCCAGGTTACGTATGTGTATGTTCTGGAATTGGCTTGAGCATGGTACACATCCGTTCTGGACACGAATAAGCCGCCAGTGGCTCGACAACACTCTCGCCTCAAAGGAAGCAACGTGCAGCTCATTTGTGTTTGGTTTGGGCAATGGGTCCGCACTGTTCCTCTACTGGCCTATCGCTATCCGTCGACACTTTCCGGAATCCCATGAATGGGGATGGTCAACGACCGTGTCCAGCATTCACTTTAGGCAGACACAGGCGGCTTTACGTCGGGAAGGACACTATCCTACGCCGTGGGCGAACTGCCAGGCCCCCGGGATTCGGCTCGATGCCTGGGCTGGGCCAACACGCGCGTCATGTGTGTCAAGGCTTTGCTGGACTCTATGCCACGCACGGCGGCTCTTTGGCATTGTGGCTGTCTGCTTCTACACCATCGGTATCATTTCCCGGATCTTCGACCACAGTGTCATCCAGCCATGTCCCTACGAGAGGCGCAGCGACTCTCATGTGCGACCGGGTACATTATCAGTTGAGAATCACGCCCTCTATTGGAGGCCGGGACTCTGGAAAGACTATTGGTCAGGATACGAGATCCATATGACGCTCACAAAGCCCGCAAGGCTGGCGTGGGTGGGGTGCAGCTCACATGACGGGTTTTGGGGTTGCTCCGCCCATACGTCGCCCGACAGGACCGTTGACACTCACCGGCGCTTACCGGGGCGTGCCTCGAGCCTTGCAGTGCGAACTTGCGGCAAATAGTGTCCAACTGTTCCACAATTGCTTTACTAATGGTTTTGGAAGGACTATTCGGCTCCCGGCCAGGGAAATGGCGGCCGAGGTACAGGCCGGGCCGGAAGAATATGCGAAGATGTTCGGGCGAGTTTTGTCAGTGGAAGCCTGGAGGATCGAACGCTCTCAACCAAAGCCTTCGCAAATGCTACTTCCTATCCGATTAGAGGCGATTGTTTGTCAGGGAATGCAGTTGAACTGCTTAGGCAATAGCCCTATATTCACATGGCGGTATACTTTGGCCGCTGGACATTCATTGGTCTTCACGTCGCCCTCGCCCGGTCATCGGTGGGAGTCGGTACTTGACCACCCGCGCATGCTCTGCAACAACCCCGAAGCAAAAGGATGGCCCCGTTCACGTTACACCTGTCTATTGACCTCCGCAGAACAGATTGGCTGGCCTCACCGTGGTGCTGCGGCAACACGACTCGCAGCTCGCCCCCTATCAGGTTTACCATTGTGGAGGATGGCGAAGTCGCGCAACGAGGGCCAACGGACTCCTCTGGCTCGACGACTATCTCCGCGACTCATATTTCAACTCAGCTGCTCACCAACCAGATTCGTGATGCTCTCACCGAATTTTCGTTTAACTCGCCCCACACGCCGGCCCTTCAAGTTCCAAGAGTTGTCCTTCCTGACGGCTTTCTGGAAAGCCCAGCAGCACGATTTCCAATCGCTGGTGTCCGCCTTAAGGATGGATCCACTGTATTCGAGGCATTGCCAGTTGTTGACGCATCGCGGTTCGATCATGGAGATTGGCCCGTTTCCACTGGGACTGGCAGTTCAATACTATGGATATATTGCGAGTCGATGGATATAAGACCATCAGGGCCTCCCGTGTTGAGTATCGTGATCTCATCCAACCAAGAAAACGAAGCTTTCAAAGTCCTTTGCTCGCCCCAGTCTTATATATAACCTGTCCCACGACTATCGATTACCACCAGTTATACCTTTCACGCAACTCAATCTCCAAGATGCCCAGGTATACATACACCGATGTTTGGTACTGCGTAAGCTCTTGATTCCTGCCAATAACTCCGAAGCAATACTGACAGACCCAAAGTGCCAGTGTGGGTCTGGTCCCATGGGAGTAGCCACCCAACCCTCTTGCTATAATTGCAATTACGCGAAATGCAGCGATTGCACCGTCGAGACGGTGAAGGTCAAGAGCGGCCGCTAAAGGCGGAACCTTTCGCATTTCAGGAGACTCGGCTTTCCGTCCGCAACCACGCACGACGACCATGGGACACATCGGGGTTTCACTTTCGATTCTTCCTACGATACTCTCGCCTATCACTGTCGACATCCGAATACAAGACACATCGAAATCGACAGCCAGCTCTTCGACAGGCACGATGAGACCACCTGCCGGCCTGGACTTCTTCTACGGCAGCAGAACCTTCTCGGGTATATACTGGTCACGTCTTTGGGAGGCTATAGAAATCTTTAGGCTATAGAGATCTTTCTGCTCTGGAGTTATCACGGACTGGTGATATGGGATTTGGTATAGACGGCATGTTTCTTGGGTGGGATAGAGGGGACTGGGAGGGCTTCGTCATTTGTGTCTCTTTGATCATGATACCTTTTCTCTTATGGACTGGGTTACATTTATAGGCGCATCATAAATAGAACTGCTACTTTCTAACAACACCCCGTTTGCCAAACAAAGTGCCAATCCCCCCAGATCAATCATCAGCAGTCACCCTTTTAAGGGTCTCTGAAGGAATTGGTCCCTTGAGTTAAACACGCTTTTTCGGTACAGCGATTGCCTGTGTCTCTTCCACATAAGGTCTTCGCAAGGTAGCCAATCGCTGGAGAAGTCACAGTCCCTGTGTCGCAATTAGGGGGTTAGGGAATGTGGTTCAAGGGAGGCGATACCCCTGGCGAGTACCCACAAAAATTTCGGTGTAAGAGCCGCTAATCAGTGGACTCGGGTAACTGCCAGTCTCTGGACCTCTCTTCTTCCGTCTGCGGCTTCATTTCCAGATCAAAAACCTGATCGCTCACAAGATCCAGTTCGTCTCATCTCTGTCCGACGCCCAGCCACGATTTGCGGGTGGCACACGTTCATCTGTACATACATACTGAGTTGCCGCTGGCCCTTTTCATGCGAAGCTGGCAGCCCGGCGGCCCATGGCATCCTGCCCCAGTGGAGCATTGCGCCCTTCAAAGGACTGCCCGTGAGGACATCACCGGTGAGGCGGCGTGGCGATGCGCAGCGACAAGTCTTCATTTCGGCCTCAATCCCCCAATATCCACCACTGCGACGAATTGTAGACGACTTAACCACATGCGCCCTCGTCGTACGAGCCTCATTTAGCCTCAAGGCTCATCACTTGACCCACGGTTCATGTCGCTAAATGCCAGGTCGTTAGCTGGGACGAACCCGGCTCAACCTGCATGATCGTAGATTGAGGCGCGCTCAGCCACTTGTCGCCTCGCAATCCCTCGTGGCACGCCCTGCCGTTCGGGGTTTTGTGTGACGCCATCACACACAACCTACATGTGAAACCGCCCTGAGCTGAGGTCCCGAGGCCAAAGGGGCCCAAAAGCAGCCGGGTGTTCCTCATCAGGGGCCGGGTCCTTTGATTTGGATAGGCGGGCAGACTGACAGATGGGCGGCCGAAAAAGGCGTCGCTGTCTGGGCTGTCTGCATGGTACTTTCTGCATCTACAATGCCCAATTCGCCCTACCACCACCATCGCCGACGCCCTGGGGCCCGGGACGTGGTCGCGTGGTTGGGTGCCACGGATCATGAATGGGATCTCACTTGTCTGACCTTCTAGAAGGCTGCCGTATTCGACAGTTCGAGGCGAGGATACCTAGAACCCCAACCCATCAAATGACCCCAGGCTGCATGCCATTGCATCAGCCTCCGGCTCTCTCCTTACCTGGCTGTCGGACTTAGGCGAGTGCCGGTTGGTGAATGCCTACACCGAAATGCAGTCGGGTGCTGTGCGAAGAATGGATGGCCGTTCTACGAATCCTCTCTCCCTTTTCACTTGATTTCCACTTCTAGGCATACACTGTCTGTGTAATGGCCTGTGACGCCTTCAACGAACTATTTCCAAATTGCCCCCTGTTGATGGCTCGAGGAAGCAAGAGGAGATGACGATGCCACCTGCGGAACGTTCAACCCAATGCCTCTTGACAGGACAATCCAATCTGCGACAACACTTGCCCATTCTAGCGTCGCCATTCCGATGACTTGCCCCCAGGGGCTTTTTTGCAACGTCGACTTTTGCCACTAGGCGGAGTGGGAACGAGGACATGTCATAGTTCGCACGGACGGGGTTCCACGATGCGAGGAGAGCCCACCTCGCCGCCTTCACTTTCGCATTGTCTGCATGTTGTCAACCTATTTGCCAACTTGCGACTACATCTCCTGTCAAGATACGGGCCTTATCTGCTATATCCAGCTGTGGCATAGACCCCGACGTCCCCAGCGCACGCAAGCCGGATGGCAACAGTCTCAGACCGCTAGAGGCGGACTGGATCAGCACCTTCTGGCTTTTCCTCAACCGAGTACCTACCTAGGTAGGTAACGTACTTGGAAGCGTATACTTCAGTCATATAAGCCAGCGGCACCAGGAGAGTCGCTACCGGGTCGTCGCCTTCTCTCAGAGTCTTCGGGCCATGGCGCTGCTGATAGTGATGCACAGGAGGTATCACAAGCTGACAGCGACGTTGAGGATGACGAGGAGGCTGCGTCGCCTGCATGCCTGTAAGTCGAAGCTGGCGACGCACTCGAAGGCTCTTCAAGACAGTCAAGTGTTACATTGACCGCGGATATAATGGAAGTATCCAACGGCAATGCATCGGAGCCAGAGGATGAAGGAAGCTTCGACGTAATACGAGAAGCAATCTTTGCGGCTCTGTCGGCATTGCCAGACGTGGATTTCCCGATGGATCAACCAGCGACACCTGTCGAGGATGTACCGATGGACCAACCAGAGACAACTGTCGACCAAGAGGAAGACATGCCAATGGAAGAAGCCGAGGCCCAGCCAGACGTTCCTGAGGAGCCGGTTACACAGGTTGATTCTGAGCCCGCTGAGGCTGTTTCACCGGAGGAAGACTTGCCCGTCATTCATGTTAGAGGGGCGACACCGCTGGAAGAAGCTGAACCTCTACCGTGTGATGCTCGTGAGTCCCCTCTTGAGACCCCTTGGGCCCCAACCGGAGCCAGAAGAGGCAGTACTCGATAGCAATGACAGCACCTCCACGGTCACTGCGGTCGTGAACGGGTTGTCTTCTCTCCAGTTGTAGGCGGCCGTGGTTGATACAGGTATGTCCTTCGCAGAGCCGGCATACCGCGTCCTCCCCTCGTTCTCCGACTTGACTTCGACCACTTCAAGACCTCAGCAGCTCCTCCCTTAGCACGTCCCCGCTCCTTTGCCTGTCTTTGAGTTCGGTAAGACTCTTCACCCAGTTGGAAAACACAGCCGGCCACAACAGGTAAGTCAACACCAGGTGGGAGCGTTTGCGCTACAGGGCTCAGCTTAATCGGTATCGTTGCCTTCTTTCTCGGAGCTAGCCTCCAGCATTGAGACTGCGCCCATGAAGCCTCTGTTGCCGGGTGTCGGCGACATGCTGGCGTTTGGCAGCCCGATGGCTGATGTAGTGTCGGCCCAGCGTCATCCCCAGTGGGCTGCTCCTCTTCCAAGCATGTCACATGCTGGCGACCTACAAACCGAGAAACCTGTCGCAAATACTTGGCAGCCGCTTGCTCCTATCAATGAATGGTATAGGTGAGTTCATCATGTAGGTAGGAAAGGTCCCTGCTACAAATAGCATATATAGCTTATCGAATCTAGACACGATATGAATTTCTTGAATTAGCAGCTCATGTGGACGTGGTGATGATATTTCGCGGTGATTCCGAAGTATGGAAGGCACAAAACCTTTCACCCATGTCACAAACAGGGCAAGCAATTTACACGGCAATATCCAGCACCTTATGAAGCCCTTCATTGACCTGACCCACCGAGGTGGAATTGTATATCGCTTGATGGTACTTGATTGGATACTAGTGCTCATTCCTACACTCCACATACTACTACGTATAAATGTCTCTAGGGAGTAACGATAAGGGCAGGGAGTAGCGAGAAGGATCATTTGAAAATACGTACCTAACTCCGTACATATCAGTTGACTTCCTTCGCGAATGACAGGCATTGCGGCATGGATCGCACCAGGATTGGAGACTATATGATCAATCTAAGACGCTCAGCGTCAACGTGCCTAAGTAGAAGAATGACGGGCATACCGGGCATGGATTGCGCCCAGGATTGAAGGCTAGTATAATCATTTTCAGACGCTCAGCGTCCTAGTCTGGAGTATGGGCTAGACTATATAAGACGTGTAAAACACCTGTCCTTGCCGCACAACAACCTCACCACCCCATTTCATACCATAAACGTGTTATCTTCCCGCCATTCGCCTGTGCAGTAATCGCCCCAGTTGCATGAAGCCAGACTACCTTCGCAATGAGGGCAACATCCACCATCACCATTCTGAGCGCCCTAGCCACCGCAGCCCGCGGCATGCCCCAGATCCACGACGCATCGGACGAAAGCCTGCGACCTCGGGACGACCTGTCGGAGAAATACGACCTAGGCACCGTCTTCAAGCGCCAAGACCGCGAAGACCGCGTCAAAACGGGCCAAGGCTGCGAATGGAAATGGTGCTTCGACAGACGACGATTGCGCAGACAAAACCGGAACCCACTTGAAGTGGGATATATTCAGATGGGTCGAATACGAAGTCTAGTGCAAGATCTGCCACAAGGGGTGGTGCTCGACCAAGGAGCGCGGTTCCGAGTCCGAGTCTGGTTGATAGAGTGCCTCCGAGGCGGTGGACGCGCCTGACGGTTGAGTGGTGAGCTTCACTGTATGCTATATGATAGGCACTCCCATTCCCGAGTCCAGGATATCGGATGGAGAGAGTCACAGGCAGGGCGAAGATCGCGCATTGCTCAGCCAAGATATGAAGCAGGACAAGAAAGATTCGTTGCGCAGCTCAAGCTTGAGGCAGGTCTCATTTGTATTAAATCTGGCGCTGCCACCCGGTTCATGTAGATGCCAATCCCAAGGTACTATGTATGTTCTAGATACCTTTCCATCTCTGGGCATAAACGTCAAACATGTTCAAACTACACTTGTCCATTCAAAGAGTGAGAATCAGTGAGTGGAAAAGATGCTGGAAGACGGCTTCTGAGCCACAGACGGCCCCAGACCGGACAATATGTATGTGATATAAACAGCGAAATGGTGCATATCGACAACACCCCGAAACTCCGCCCTGCAGGCCTCTCAGATACTGGAGTCAGGCTCGCTCGACGACGTCAAGTACTTGGACGCCCTCGACCAACAAGCTGTGTCCTTCCCGATGCACCAGCACACGCGGTGGCTGCACTGCGTCCCAAGGCGGCATGCTGGTTTCTCCCAACCAGTGGACTGAAACCTTGTGTATTCCCTGCCTCAACGGCTCTACCTACAGCACAAGCGGGCCGGTGCAGCCGAGCTTGTCGGTCTGAGAAGAAACATGAAGTCAGCAGGTATTCAGTAACATAACAACCGGCACCACGTCCGCTCTCCCAGTGTTTCTTACGTTGACAACATTCGTACAGCACTTCTCTGCTCTGTCCGGGTAGGCGTCGCAGGACCAGGTGTACGGGCTGTTGGCGAGTCCGCCGTCTGCTGCTATGCCTGTTTCTCGTGTGGTCAGCGACGGCTGCCAGCTTGGGGTGGAGGGGAACGGAATCGAATGGGATGGGAGTAATGATCGTGGCTGAAGGTGAGGGAGGTCGTCACATACATTGGTCGTAGCTCCACTCGTTGTACTCGCCGCTTCCAGTGCCCGTGCAGCACTTGCCCGGGACGCCGGGGTAACAGTTGTATGCCTGCACAGTGATGCTCATCGTGAAGACGGCGGCGAAGGCGAGGACGAAGATGAACTTGAAAGACATCATGATTCGCGAGGTGATTGGGAGAGGGTTTGAAATTGGAAGCGTGGGTGTGTGAGAAGGTAACTAGCTGACTGGACGACGATACGATCGTAGGTAGATAGGGAAAGTCACGGATGGCTTCCAACCTTTATATTCGCCTGTCAATCGTCAAGACGCGGCGACGGCGATGGCGAAAGCCGATGCTTCGGTATCAATGAAGACGGTCGGAGGATCGAGAGAGAATCCTCCGACGCAGCTGCTCTATGCGTGCACACTAGTTTCAGATCGCTCAGCTCCCCCTCCCCCCCTCTTTTAAAATGAATACATCCCTGGTGAAGCGCCTCTTACGCCTTAATTGCTCGCAGTTTCGCAGCGTTTGTTCCTCGTTGGTGGTGTGTACCACTCGCTCATACCGTCTCGGAGGCCGCGAGCCTTGAGTGGCCAGGCCATTGGCGACACGGAGCGAGGACGCCGCGTTCTATTTCACGAAAGGTGGATGATACCTTGCTCCATTTCGATCAATGTACAGTCTTCGTATCGTCCATGAAAATATGCTCTCACAGAATCATCCAGAAGCCAGCAATCGTGCAGACCAGTGCATTGTCTGCGCATACCAGTAGCATAGATCAGAACTATCTTTCGCGGCCCTTAGTGGTTCAGGGCGCGTCATAAGTCACTCGATACCATCACGCTTCTGTCTACGTTCGGCATCGTGGGTTCTTCGAAAGCTGGTGGCATCCTTGTCCGACGATGGAAAGTTCTTCGACAAGGCCTTCCGAGTTGGTACGCCGCGTCTGGGGGATGGGAATGTCAGGGTTGCTTTGTGCCTATCGGCAGACCCGAAGTTAACGGAAGGGCGGCGACCATGCACCGTCGTCTTCGAGGGTAAGGCTTCGTGCTTGGATAGCCAAATGACGACGAGCGCCTATTTCGCCTGCTAGCAGACAGCGTAAGTACCTGCCCCTGGTGATCCAAATGTCTTGCTAAGCAGTGTGCCAGCTTGGGGCAGTAGTCATTCCGCTTGACTGCGCCAAATGACCTCGATACCTATTCCCACATGCTCTACTCCAAGGGTTCGAAGTGTCGAAGTGGATTCTGTCGCCCTCTGCTCGCGAAGCTCTAGGCGCCGAGAGGGACTCATTTCGCATTGCGACTGTGGCCAAGTCTGCCGGCGGGAACTTCATGTTGGCAATCTCTCTGTCTTTCTTGATAGCCCTCGATTCAGGGCCCTGTGCAACCTTCCGGCAACAGCTGGGACCTGAGTTCCGGCACGTGGGCCATATACTGCTTTATCCCAGTACAGCATGCCACGAGTTGTACCAGGAGAGATTCGCGAGAGCTGATGCGGCGGCCAAGGAGAAGGGCTGCCTGCGTGGATGGCGGAGTGGATGGAAGGATCATGTCTACGTCCATACGTGTATCGCGACCAAATAGAGTTGAGCCTATTGGAGGTCATTCACAAGAACATTCCTCACACGTCATTCTTGTTAACTGAAAAAGACTGCTCGAAGATTGAGGCCCGCGAGTTTGCGGATAAACTGCGAGACGGGGGTGTGGCTGTGGATATACGGGAATATTCCGAGGCGATTCATGGGTTTACGCAGTATGTAGAGCAACAAGGAATACCGGAAGGAGGACGTACTGGACTGTGAGGAACGCATATATCAGTTCCTGGAAGAGCCGCTTGAATAGATTCGTCGGTACCAACGTTTGATCTACTGCCCCTTGGCTAAGTCAGACCTCTGCTATCGGCCTTCCTCCTCTCAGCGATCCACACATGTGCTTGACTTTCTTGTCTCATCCCACTTCAGAACGGCTCACTGCCACTAACATTAGAGTATGTCACTTCATATGGCCGAATTGTAGTCTTCAATCCATCGCTTCCGTCTTTTCATCCCCTGGGTTCTCGAGGACTCGTTGGCTTCTCTCCACTTTTCACCTTGAGGCTCGCGCCTTCACGCCAGTAGGTACGTTAGGTACTTACCTTCTCGCCCCTTCCTGCGTCACGTTTGATCTTCTATCCTTTCTTGCGTCACACCGACGTCTGCTTCCCTCTTTTGAGTCACGCAACACTTTTTGCTGTCTTCTGTCCCGCCACGTTACCAAACCTGAAGACCTCACCATCTTCAGGCCGTCGGACAGGGGCGCCATCCCCTCGCCGGACGACAACACTGTCCCTGATCAGACAACAGCACCTTCTTCTGACTGGAAAGCAACACGATCTTCTAGTCTCTTATTACTTCGGTTTCCTCCATCTCCACCCAGGTCTTCTGAAACCCAAGAACAATAGCGACAATGCCCTTCACCGCAGTCGCTGTACGCGCCCTTGAGGCTGCTACCTCCAGGTACGTCCTTTTCACATTGCCTTTTTCGTTGCTTTCGGCCGACTTGACCGGAGCACCTGCTAATATGGGGTACCTACAGAGCGACTTTCGACCGCCAGAGTGCCCTCGAGCGCCTTCCCAACGAGCTCAAGCTTCGAATTCTGGGACAACATGTCGAATGTGGAAACAGTGATCGCTCTTGCGTTGACGGGTCCTACTTTCGGCACCTTCGTGGCCCATCACGAAGTGTGCGTCGCTACTTGAATGGTGCTCTCGCCGATTGGCGAAGAACTGCTGCACCTAGCCATCGCACGAGCCCACGCAATGAGTGCCAGCTGGAAATACCCCAAGGACCACCGAAGTGTATCACAAGGCCCGAGTCCCGAGTTTGAAGCAGCTATCATGGATTTTCTGGATCGGTACCTGGGTTGCGAGGTAAAGTCGATGGAGGCCTGCGTTGTGCCCGGTCTGAATACAGCACGCCATCTCATGAACGTTCCACCTGAGCATCCAACACTACGCATCCGTTCTGGCCCACAGGGCAATTCCCACTGGTTCTACGCCCATGAGAAGATTCGCACGGTCTCGGCCGCCAAAGGATGGCGCCGCTGCTTCGGAAACGGAGATACAACGCTTCTCAAAGGCCTTATACATATTTGAGCTTGCTGGCATCTTGTTCCCTTTTAGCAGCTCGACGGTCGGAACCACCTGGTCCCGTTTCTGGTTGAAGTTTGCGCCATGGGAGAATCAGCAAGTTCGCTGTGTGCAGCACCTTCTGGGGCTTTTACTTACGGGATGGTGAGTGATGTTACTGTAGTTTGATGGGCACATGGCTGTGTCTGTTCGCTAACTTACCCATAGTATTTTACACCGTTGCAATCCAGCCTGTCGACCACCTTCAGACATATGCGAGGGTTAGGATTTCCGACTTGGAGAAGTTCAGCATTAACAAAGGACTCGCCAAACTCCATAGCCTGGAGCTGCAGGGCGCCGTTGATGCCGCACGTCACGAGATCTCGAATTGGAAGCGACGGACTAACAATTGCCGGGACAGAGCATGGCGCGCTATCAATGACACGCTTTGGCTAACGAGAAGCGACGGGTGTAACGAACTGTACAGTATGGATGTTACACCCATCCTAGCCAAGTTCACCAGCAACGACTCGGGACCACAGGATGCCTGGTATCGCATGCTCTGTCAGATTAAGTTAGGCCCGGTCCCACCATTCGTCGAGGAGCAATTGGGTGGCTTCTTCGCCTGCGATAACTGTATGATGCCGTGGGCATTCATATTTTGGGACCGCAAGAGGCTCGAACTCCATGCGCGAGGATGCTTCCCCACAATGCCTCAGGTGCATGATGTGGCATCTAGCTACTGGATGCAGCATTACGATAGTGCCGGTACGAACGCTGAGCGCAACCTCGGAAACTGTTTGCGTGATAAAACATGCCTATGAGAGGTGGTGTTATGTAAGGCTGCTTGAAAAGCATCATGCGATAGACAACGCATATGGGACAACATCCTCTCCCGCGGAGACTAGCTGACTATGCCCATAAGATTTGACTTCATGTAACACGGACAGATGAGTCTTCATTTTACTGGTGGTGTTGGGTGTGGTGGTGCGGGTGTTGCTATGAGGAGTGTTGCAAGTCGTCTTGCTATCGTGACGTTATAGGTAGTGTTGTGATTGATGTCGGTACTTTTCGTTATTTAGTAAGTTTTTATTATATACCACGGTCGAGCAAGTAACGTGGACAGTTGTGTGGGCACCTATTACCATAAGACATTCTAGGTGTGGCATTTAATGTCACGACGCGTAAATAGGATGAGGACATAAAAGTCCTGATTGCACTACCTACGTGTAAGAATCTCTTGGTGGGGAGGGAAAGAAGGATCTGACCCGCCAGCCCATTCTGGTGGGATTAATGATCCTTCCATCCGCCCCACTATTACCTAGCCTAGTACAGTTGTGGCCACACGTCTTGTGCGCCAGGTCATGTGATGCTGCGCACAGGCCACCCTGATGGGTTGACAGACTTCCAGAAGGTCAGACCGTCACATTTAAGGCGTGATCGGCAGGAATTCATAAAACCCCTCCTTATATAAAAAACCAGGGTTATAATTGTTATAAAGTGATATACTTTATATATTAGATTTTATAAGGCGCGAGTATATTTTTTAATAAGTGTCAGATTGAAGGGATCTTCAGGGTTGTATGCCATGTGGAGTGCTGGCTAGTCAGGTGGCTAGTCAAGGAGGCTGCCATGACTAGCACCCTGAATCGTACGTTGACTCGGGAAAAGGTGGGCCGGAGGATCGTCTCCGGCATTTCTGGAGCTGTACAAATAGGTGTAGATACCACCCAATTGGGATAGCTGAGAAATGATAACAACAATTGCAGCTACCGCTCAAAACCACAGGCTTGTCAACCCTTTGAAATCTGATAATAACTTATAATAATATAAAAATATTACGTTTAACTTAATATACTTATGATTTTTATCGTTTTAAAAGATTTATTAAGTTATAATTATCGTTACTTTTATCGTTTTAACGGTTTTATCAAGTTGTAATAACGTTATAATAACTGTTACAAAGCGTAAATAGGATGAGGACATAAAAGTCCTGATTGCACTACCTACGTGTAAGAATCTCTTGGTGGGGAGGGAAAGAAGGATCTGACCCGCCAGCCAATTCTGGTGGGATTAATGATCCTTCCATCCGCCCCACTATTACCTAGCCTAGTACAGTTGTGGCCACACGTCTTGTACGCCAGGTCATGTGATGCTGCGCACAGGCCACCCTGATGGGTTGACAGACTTCCAGGAGGTCAGACCGTCACAATAACAATGTTTTATTAAATATGACGATGATAATAATAACAAAGCTTGATTAAACGCAATAACTTTTAATTAATTAAATGTTATAATTATCGTTATCGTTACGTTTGATTAAACGTTATTGTTGTCGTTACGCTATTTTTATATTATAATGACGTGTTAGCTATGTTTTCATTATTGAGTCAAGGACTGTGACGGCCTGCACAGACCTTCCCACATGACAAGCGGATACTTCCTAATAGGGGAAGGATCTGACCAGAGGATCCCCTTAAAGGGGCAACCTCCCACTGTACCTATCTCTCTCTCTCTCTTCCTTTCCTCTCTAGTCTTGATATTCTCGTCAATAGAGTAATAGCTGCTTGCTGCCGGCCATGTCCCAGCTCCTCAGTACGCTCGCCGTGACAAGAACAGCAACAACACGCACAATGGGGCTGCTTGTATAATGGATATAAGAAGAAAGAGGGAGAGCCATTGGCAAAGCCACGCAGTGAATTTGAAGGGTGTGTCACATAAAGATAATACAATGTGTGTCTGAACTGATCGCTCAATTATATGTGTTATGAGAAAGGAGTGGCTATTAAAGAAGACGAAAGAAAGTAACAAAAAATGAACGGTGGCCTTTATATGCCACAGATCTGGCTGTACATGACATCAACCATGCCCCAAAACATTATATAACACTGTAGCAGGCTTTTGAAGCGTATTTTGATAGTTATAAAGCTTGTAGATTATGGTGATTAATCTTACGTTAAGGTTAATTATAAAAATAGGCGTTATAATGATCGAAAGATAAAAAAAAGTTAAAACTATATTATTTTTATCGAAAAATTAAATCGTTATAACCTTTTAAAAAAGGTATATGATTTATAAAAGGGCATAAAGTTTTTTAAGCTTTAGATATAAAAAAAACTTTGTACCTTATTTTTTCGATTAAGCGTTAAAAAGTTGTACATATATAACAAGTTATAACCTTTATTTTTTTATAAGGGGGGGGGGGGGGGGGGGGTATAAAAGTTGCCGATTACGTCTTTACACACTTTGTTACCTAGCTAACTTATAATAAGGTAGTCCGCTTCAAGGGCACTTTAAGCATTTCAACCATGATATCCTACTTAAGAGACAGCGTCTTCCAAATGGGCATAAACCCCGCCATAACTATGATGTAACATGTTGGTGCCGTCTACCTACTACTTCATCTACTACTTCATCTACAAGGCATCTACAAGCATCGTCTTGTGTTGAATACACGGATGTTGATTACGAAAATAACAAGGTGGGAGAAAAGGAACAGGTGTGCGTACAGCCAAGGCTGCAGCAGATATGGTCCCGGTCTTCTTATCTAATCTACACGTGACCTGATGACTCAGCATCCAGCCAGGTGGATACAGCTGCACACCGTCACACGGGACATCATCCGTGCTAGTATCTAACATCTTGGTATCCCATGAACCAAGCCGCTATATGCAGCTAAAGATATCAGCTCTTTGTGCCCTCATTGTGGATCCAGCTGATTCCAGCTGTCAGGTGTCTTGTCGGTTGGGCCGGATTGTTGCCTAAGGGACAAGGTACCGTTTGCACTGTATCTAGACTAAAGAGACCTTTCGGATGGGACAAGCTCCCATCCTTCTAGACAGCAAGCAGATCATCCAGAATACTAGTCATCGTAACATGGTATTCTGGGCCCCTGCCAGAAGGCACATCATTGCCCCGCGTTACCCTCATCACCGTTCTATCCTACCGGGGAGTTACCCCACCATCTTCCCGAACACACATCAAGGAGCAAACCGCTTTCAACTTCTCGATCAGAGTGCCTTATCTCAAACATATAAAGCTGGTAGGCTAGATAACTTCGATGGAATTGCCCGGGAGCTGTCGTGTCAGAAGCCTGCCATGATGAGGAACAATTTTCATCCCACACTGCCTGTAAGGGGGCGGGCTCATACATGGGACGACCCGTCGTGCCCCAAACAACTGCCGGGGACCCTTATGCTGTCAAGCAAGACTGGGGACTTATCATGATGACCGAGAATTACATAAGGTGGGAATGTATACATGGGATCTTCTGATCTCCATCGCAGCTATTCCATTCTTCTGTTGAGTTTCCTTCTTCCCTCATACTCATTCGTTCGATACCCAACCGAGAAACAACATAGTCACCATCATGGCTCCAAACAATGCGCCGGCTCTGCTGGATCTAACAATCGACAACATCACACCGAACACCAACCGCATCAACTCACAATGCAAGGACCAGCGCTTGACCTACCTCATGGAGCGGCTGGTCACGCATCTGCATGACTTTGCGCGCGAGACTCGCCTCAGCTTCGACGAGTGGATGACAGCTCTCAATTTCCTCGTCGGTTGCGGGAAGATCAGCGATGACGTCCGTCAAGTAAGTTCTGGAACCCCCCATACAAGCCGATTGTATACTCCCCGGAAACAGAGCGAGCGGTGTACTCACGCAATTGACCGAGTAGGAATTCATCCTGCTATCCGACGTCCTGGGCCTGTCCCTGCTGGTCGACAGCATCAACCACCCCAAGCCCGCCGGCTCGACCGAGGGCTCGGTCCTCGGGCCCTTCCACACGCACGACGCCCCGACCCTAGCGCACGGCGCGAACATGGCCTCCGACCCCAAGGGCGAGCCGCTGCTGTGCATCTGCACCGTCAAGGACACGGCGGGGAAGCCGGTGGCGGGCGTCAAGATCGACATCTGGGAGACGGACAGCACTGGGCACTACGACGTGCAGCACGCCGATCGCGACGAGCCGAGCGAGCGGTGCGTCATGGAGAGCGACGACGAGGGCAGGTTCTGGTTCAAGGGCATCAAGCCTGTTAGTTACCCGATTCCGCATGACGGACCCGTGGGAAAGCTGCTGGAGAGGCTGGGTCGCCATTGCTGGAGGCCGGCGCATCTGCATTTTATGTTTGAGAAGAGCGGATGGGACCATCTGATTACGTGAGTAGCTTCCCCTGTTGCCCCTTTCTTCGATGTTGAGGTACCTTGGCTGGCGTGGGTGGAGGTCGTTACAGTTTTCTGTGAAACCCGATGAAGGAAGCTCCAACCGGGGCGTATGGCTTCGAAATCGTACCCGGCTGACAAGAAGCAACAAAGATCGCTCTACATGCGCGGCGACCCATACGAGACCTCCGACGCCGTGTTCGGCGTGAAGCAGAGCTTGATAGTGGACCTGGACAAGGTTGACAAGGCCGCGGCTGAGAAGTACGACATCAAGGAGGGGAGCTGGTTACTGAACCACGACTTCGTGCTGACGAGCCAGAAGGAGACTGAGAAGCTGCGAGATGAGAAGGCGGTTGAGGCCCTCGGGAAGCTGGGTCTGCGGATGAAACTCGTGGACCACTTGCCTGTACCTGAGCTGGATTGAGCTTCACTGTCATCGTGATTCAAGTGAGTATTGACGCAGCTCTTTTTGGATGCTTGTGGATCTGGAATATGCATACCGTTATAGATATACTTGCCATGCTCTTTAGCGGCCATTGCATCCGATAATGACCATGACTGATATCCTTTTAGGGAGTAGAAATTGAAAGACACGGCTTCAATACTGGCCTCGACTTTCGTGCCAAGCCAACAGCCCCCCTATACCGGCTTGAATTGGTCCACTAGATACATATTATCTTAATGAAGTCTTTCATTAAAGCATTATAACTTTCAACCCTGTCTATGCATAAGTTCTCTCTTAGGTCTTCAACCGCGACTGTGCCCGCGGGTGTTGCCTGAAATCTCCCACGTACCTACCCATTCGTTCGGCAGACAACTTGCACAAGTGACAGCTACCGAATATCCATCGCGATACCAGCGCGCAGTCCGATTTCAGAGGTGACAAATTGCATCAGTGACTTCGGAATGGATCAGTGGACGTCGTGAAAGCCGTCTCAGGCCTGGGGAGAAGATGCCGTCTCTGATGGACCTGGGTCACGACATTCTTGTCATGATCGTGGATCTGCTGCAGGATGCAAGTCCCAGCGCCGTCTCCTCAATCGGGCTGGTGAACGCCTATCTTCGAAGTATAGCACTCTACAGCCAACACCGACTCCTCACTTTCAAAGCTACGAAAACCAGTGAGATGTTTCACCGACTGGAAGTGGCCGAGAAGCACGAACTGTTACCGGCTATCCGTCGCATCGAGGTTACAGGCTTTTCAGGGTCGTCAACCTTATCTGCCCTCTCTGCCCTCTCTGCTCTCTGCGACATCCTTCAAAAGATGCCAGGGCTGAGGGACTTTGTTATTCAGAGGTCTCATTACACTCCCCTAAAAGTGCTAAAAACGCTGCAGGAGCTGCCGCGAGTCCGTCTTCATGCAGCAATCAGGGAGAACCTGCACCAAACTCGTATTAATGCAGCTATCGCAGCGAGAGAGAATGTCCACAGAGTGGAAAAGTTCTACGGCTGTCCCAACTTGTATTCCCTGGACGTTTCTTTATGGTATGGCTCTTCCGCCAAGGCCGCCGAAGACTGCCTCGAGATCACGAAGCCGCTCAAGAAGGTTCTGCTGTCGTGCCCGAACCTTCGCATCCTCGGTATCAACATGTGGCAGCCAGAAAACACCTGTATCGAGGAGCATCCACCAGCAGAATACTGCGGGCTGGGATTTGTCGACGGAGAGCGCCCGCCTCCCCTTGAAGAACTGAAGATACTTGACTACCCGTTCGGCAAGCAGGACATAGACGGCCCGGAGAATCCAGTCCCATATAGGCTCAAGGAAAGCCAGATAGGCTATCCAATAGCAGGCTACGAGCAGGACTACTGGGCCGACAACTTCGACTGGTCTCAGCTCAAGCGCCTGAGGATCGGCGATATGCAGCTGGCCTTGCGGATGGCGCACAAGCTGACGGCGCTCAGGGAAGTTGCGTTCATCGGCGAAAGCCCTCCAGAGAGCATGAAGGAGTTCTTCCCGCAGGTGCCGGCGGCGCTGGAGAGCATCAGCGTGCAGAACCTGGCATGCATCGGCGCCGAAGAGATAACCCGCCACGGCGCAACCCTGCGAAAGCTTCGTCTTCACGAGGTGGAGGGCTGGAGAAGCCCGAAGCGGCGGGAAAACATCATTGACGTCGAATCATTGAGAGCGATCCGCGACCATTGCCCGTTCATCGAGGACCTCACTCTCGACATACCGCGAGACGGCGACTGGCCCTACGAAATGCTGGACATTTTGGCGAGCTTTCCACGGCTCCACACCCTGATGATCGTCTTCGACGTGGGCGGCTCTACCGCCGAGGATATTATTCGTCCGCCCGTCACATACGCTGGCGCGCAGACAGTATACAAGTACCTACTCAAGCACACGGCCTCACGGCTGCCGCGGCTACACGTCGTTGCCGGATCACCGTCGAATATCGGACTATGTTACGGACCGACGCCCTGGTGGCTGCCGAGCTACTCGACGTCGTTCCGCTGCGAGCTGTCGGAGCGCGACGACGAAGCAGCGCGTGGCGTCTTCTCCGTGACCTGCACCCAGCTAAGTGATATGGATAACAGAATTCTGAGGCAGGTCGTTGAGACCGGCCAGGACGGCAACGAGCTGTTTGGTTGGGGTATAATACCACAGGCCTTGAGCTTGGCGTATGAAGGACCAGATCCAGTGAGTGGTCACACACATATCCTCCCTTGGCGCAAGTTGACATCCAGTCCAGGTAAAATATCCGCCCCCCAGTATGCTGTATGATTAGGCGCCGGTGCTCTCATGGTGTCGATTTCGAACACTAGATCGAGGAGTACGGCAAAACTTCCTATAGCATGGCGTTGTCGAGTAAGCAGAACCTTAAACATATACCCAGTCAAATGGTGAAATGGGCACTCGGTGGTCCCATGACTGACATCCTGCCCGCATATCGGCTGTACTCGATATACTTGTCCAGCAAGCTGTAAGGGTATTCCCACACCTCCGACAGACATCCGACCATTAGCCGCCCGGACCAGAGCATATCATGGCAGACGAGACCTTGAGCCACCATCAACGCAAATACCTCTTTTGGTGGCCTTTGGCTGAACAGTTCCTTACACAAGCATTCGCCAAGTCAGTGTCACGCGTATATGAACTTCACATTCACGCCGAGTCGTTTCTCTTGCAACGCTCAAGATACAATGCTAGGAACAATCCCCAACCATCGCACAAAGCAAGTCACGTATAGGGAATACACCAGACCAAGATCCCGGACAAGATGGACTATCGTCCCACACTTCAGTACACCGGCAGCCATCGACGACCTCACCTCCCCAACACGTCCCTCAGGCGCGGGTGGCGTAAAGCAAATCCGCACACGTCAGCTGACCTCGCACGTGCGCGCTGCGGGTCTGCCTCTCGGCGTCGACATCCAGGACGGCTACGGGCACGGCATCGCGGAGACGGTGAGGGACGCCGACGTGAAGATGCGTGTGCCGAGTTGGGCGGTGGAGGTCTCGTCGCATAGTGCGGGTGCGCCTGTAAATTTCGCATATTGGGTTTGAGAGGAAGGGTATGAATACTATTGTCGCTTTTTTGAAGACGGGGAGGGCGGTGTCGCCGGTTAATTTGCAACCTATGGACTGGAAGCCGTTGAGTCGGCTGTAGGTCCTGGCAAGCGTGATAATTGTGGGATGAAAGCCGTCGCATTCATAGCTCTTGGGCGAATTATTATCTGAGTTCCGAAGACTGAAGATGTGGGTGGCAACGAGTCACGAGTGTAGTGCGAAAACCACGAGATCTGAAACTTCGAGGCGATGGTGGTGAAAACGATACCGAAGGCGGTTCGGTGGCCTGCAGAGAAGCTGTTCGACGTCCATGCTCTATGTAGTCGATATATACTGGTGGTCTCCCGCTCGTTGCGGTCCTCGCCATATCACCCGATACCAGATGGGATGGCTGCAGATTGCGCGAGAACCATGATGGTTCGCCGCTCGTCTGGCGCGGGGGTACTCACTGCGCTCATTACCCCAGGCACCGACCAAAGGGGCGAAGTCCATCTAGGCCATAAGCCGCTTTCCATGCCTTGGAAAACTTGTGATAGCCTCATACCGTCATCCCTTACTTTGGTGGCTGGTCTTCCTCCTCAGGAACCTCTTCGCCTGCATCGAGAGCTTCTTGCCTCTTTCTCGCCTGTCTGTCCCTCTTCTTATCCAACAACTTATTCAATGCGTTTGCTGTATTGAAGACGCCTCCTGTCCCAGAGCCACAGGCCGCACAGCTCGGGTCCTTCCTATACCTCTGCAAGGCACATGGGAGGCAGAAGTAATGTCCACACCTCGTGACGATAGGTTCTTTGTACGGCCCCTTGCAGATTATACATGCGAATGGTATCTTCTCTAGCAAGGCCTTCTCGGCGGCATCGTTATCGTCTCCGGCATCCGGACCACTGCGGTTTGCGCTGGCGACTACTTTGCCACCCACAACCTTTTTCCCCTTATTGACGTTTTCCCACTCCCTGTCCAGCTGCCATCCTTGCTTGTAATCCTCGCGTGCATGCAGAAACTTGCAGTTGTCGCCAAACCCACAGAACCCGGTTTGTTTGTAGTCTTTACACACGTCAGGTGCGAAGTCTGTGGTGGTGATGGTACGGATGTTGGTCGCAGCCTTGACGGGGCCTACTGTCCGGTTGGGCGCGTCAGGGTTCTTCTGTATGAAGCTCGTCTTATTCGCCAAACCCTTGTAGGTGCCTTCTGGTTGTGCGTCTCCCGCCTTGGGTGTGGCTCGCGTCTTGCCTAGCAGGTTCGCATCTTCGTCGTACCAGTTGCTCTGCTTCGTGGCATCGTTGGTGCTGGTGAGTTCGACGCTGCGATCTGCTTCGAAGACGGTGGCGGAATGTGAGTTATGGGTGGACGTGGCGTTGTTCTTGGATGATGCATTCACGACGGCGCTGTTCTTCTTCCGCCGCTTGACGCGTCGACCTGCTTCATCTTCGGACGATGTGTAGCCAGAGTCGTCACTGTCCTTGTCGCTGGCCGGTGGTGGTGTTGCCGCTCGCTTTCTAATATTGGCCTTGCCTTTTGCGCCTCGTTTCTTGAAAATGGCCACGGGTGCGATGGGCGCATCAGCGGCCTTTGAGGTGCCATCTGCAATGGTATTTTCGGTCATGATGTCAGGACTGAATCTTCGTCGACGCGTTGTTTATTTCCTTCTCGCCTACACCGAGAACACGGACTGGTGGAGTGGGCAGTGTGGAAACGCACTTTCGTGATGGGAAAGCTTGGAAGTGATGCCGGCCAAGGCCCCAGCCCCAGGAAGTCTGTAAAGCCCTCGGCCGTTGCATGTCATACCTAGGTAGTGCTAGTAGCCTCGCATGACGGTAGAAAGGAGCCAATCAGATTGAAATCCAGCATGACGCTCTAGTGGCACTCTAGCGGTTGGGCATCCCGAAGGAAACATTGAACACAAACTACAAAGCTTACCTAAACACAACAATAATAAAAACAACCAGTCAGCCAGTCAGGTTCTCGACTATAGCTTCCAAAAGCCAAGTGCAAGCATCCAGAAAGTTTTCAGATCAGAGCAGAATCTTCTATCACCGCTATCCGTCATCAAAGTTACACCATTCTCAGCTTCTCTTCCTTAAGTGCTGTCTTCGTTGTGGCATTTCAAGGTATTTGTTATTAGTGCATGTCGGCGCTAGGTCAGCCGGAATTAACAAACAAGGCCGGCCCTCGCAGCGGAAGCTGGCAAGGTGGGATGGCAGCCAGCCGGATGGTGGGGCAGAGGCATCTCTAAAATTGGACGGTTTCTGCTGTTCATGCAAAGCTAGCAGAGCCCGTCGTGATCCAATGACTTCACGCGTTGTCTGTTGTTTTCTTTGCGACTCATGCTTCAGCTCTGCCACATTGTCAACAACATCTCTTACGGTAGGTAATGACAGGCGCTATCAATACAAATTATCCGTCTGGCTTGGTCTATGTAGTACATGGTCTTTTCCTAGGGCTATATTATACTGTACGAGGTCAATGACAGTAGGAGTAGATGTAGTGTCTTCCAGGGTTATTACATAAAGTTGGAGGTGAGCTGCCAATAGATACATGTACCTACCCTATTCACGGTGTCCATGCCCAGTTGAGCACTGTAGCAGACCCGGTGTCAGCATACAGCTGTGCCCAGGTCATACAGTAGAAATATCGCTAGGGCGTTAGTGCACACTGTGCATCTCGTGTGAATCTTGGTACCTGGCGTGCCTGGATGCACCGACCAGGCGTGCTAATGAATGACTCTCATCACCGCCTCTGTCTGCTGAGTCTGCTCTTGTTCTTCAACATCGGCAATCGTCCTGTCCCTGTTGGTCATTCTCTTCACCCTACTCCTCTCTTTCTCCCTCTCCCTATTCCCACCTGGGCCGCCCTCCGTTCCTGTTTGCGAGACAAGACCGGTCGATTTCTAGACACGCCAGGAATCCGGCCGACCAGACAGACCAGACCAGACTGTCAATCAATCTGGTGCTGGATCCCGTTCCCGCCCATTGTTTTGGCCAGAACGCGTCTCAGACGGCAACACCATCGACCACTACCGACCACCTCCTCCAGGCCAATCACCGCCGATTCCTGTCGTTCATTTGTCCCGTCATTCGCTCGTTCGTCACTCATTCGACCACCCCACGGCCATCCACGCCCTTTTTCTTCGCGTCCTTGAATATTCATACACCAAACCCGGTTTTCCTTACCGCGCAACAATTTCTTTAATTCCTAATATCGTATTCTATGGCCCCCGGTTCCCAGGTGCAATAAGTGCTTTTCTCGCTAGATACTTGTTTGAATATTGACTTCCAGTCGAGACACGGAGAGGTGTACAAACAGGCAGACCAGTCTCGGGTCTATGCACAATTCTCTACGCTGCAATAAAGGTGTCTCACGGATACCTGCATCGCGTATCTACTGTGCTACAGCGTACCAAACCCGACCGGCCGACAGACCGACAGACCGTTTCGCGTCTCTGCACCGCACTGCATTACCTACCAGGTACGGTATTCGCCAGAGGTCGGGATAGCGATAGCGATTGCACATGCCACACCGCCGTCCCAATCGCGTCCGACCTGCTGAGAGGGAGGCTTTCAATTAGGGCCAGTCATATACTTGCACGGTTGAACATTCCAGCTCTTTCTGAACTAGAGCCGAAACTTGGTCATTCGAGGACCTGTCCGAGGCATTTCCGCCAATACTACAGGCCGCAAAATCTGGCCATTTGTCGGCTTCGTGTGCTCACTTCGCGTCGTCGTTATCAAAGCAGTCTTTCAACTCGCCAGCTTACCCCTCTGCTTTGCTGTCACTGCAGCTGGGTCTGCTTCTACCACTGCTCGTCCCTACCACACACAGCAATCCTGAAGGTTTCTTTGCCGACCGTCAGCTTGTTGTACTGCACTTTCCAACTTTGTGTGATTTAACAATACAGACCGGCAGGACTATCGCGGTTCGTTCAGTCGCCCTTCCTTACACTGCATGTCACGACTCTAGCCCAGGAGGAAACTACCTCTTTGGATTTCCTCGGAATCCGCAATCATGGCTGCATCAACTGCTGCCGACGAAATATCGTCGGCAGCACTTGCCAACGGGCCGCATCATGACCCCTTTCTGCTATCGACGTCTCCTGCCGCTCCAACACACCACCGATTTTCCAACTTCGACTCCAAGCTATTCGCACTTGGCCCCAGTGCCTCTCCAACACAAGCAAAACGAGCCCTAGAAGCACATCTTGCCGAAACTGATCGGAGGATGGAAGAGGCCGGGAAACTCGGCACTGCCTTGGTACAACAGCGCAAGGAGCTGACCGAGAGATTGAAGGACGTTGAGAAAGTGCAGACCGAAGGCGAACTTTCGCCGGGTCTTCGTGAAAAGCTTGTCGAAATTGAGAAGGACTACAACGAGGTTGCCAAAGAGAGTGCTCGGGCGTTCCTCCCGAAGCAGAGAATCCCTAGTAATGAGTCTGCCGTCCCTGGATCGCCATTTGTGCCAGAAGGCAAAGGTGGAAGGGTAAGATGGCACAGGTCCTGGAATTCTGAATTTATATGCTGACTCTTTCTCAGCGCTCTGTCAGTCCCTCCAAATTCGAAGCCCAAGCCACCGGCTCCCCAACCAAGCTCGGTGTTCCGAACCGGAAGGTCCGAAACCAGCCCGCGAACCGGGTCCATGACATCGAGTTTGCAGCCGAAATCAGCACTTCCCTCATCGCTCAAGTACGCAATCTGCAAGGTCTGCTTTCTGAGAAGGAGGATGAGCTCAGGGAGGTCAAAGTCGAGAGGTCGAAGCTGGAATACGAGGCCGAGGGCTTTCAGCAACGCGTCAAGGCTCTCGACGAGAGCGAGCACCGCTATAAGGATGAGAACTGGAACCTCGAAACCCAGATCCACGACCTGATGGCCAAGGAAAGGGAAGCTGCAGATCGTGAGAAAAAGCTAAATCAGACTCTCAACATCCTTCAAGCTGAGAAAAACGCGGCACAGCGAGAGTTGGACGAAGTTAAGCTTAGCCATTCAAAGCTCACGGAGGAACATACCGCTGCTGTCAAGCATCACGATATAGAGCTTGGTACGGCAAAACGCAACATGGTGATGGGAGAGTCAGAGAGAGCTGCTATGCAAAGGAAGATCGAAGACCTGGCGGGCCAGAACCAGGAACTCGCCAAGGCAGTGTCTGTCTCGTATCGAGGCAGGGCATTAGAACGCGATACCATCCTGGGCATGAGCGATGAGGACTTCCAGACCGCGCACGACAACTCCACCCCTGAACACTCTCCTCCGCCGTCGCCTGTGAAGGGCACCCCACGTCACGCCATGCTAGAGTCCGAAACGCTCAAGAGCTCCCTAGGTCATGCGCAGCGGACGATACAGGGCTTGCGTAACAACGTTCATCGTGAGAAGACCGAGAAGATGGAGACTAGGAGACTTCTTCAAGAGGCTCGCGACGAACTCGAAAGGCTACGCAACGACCCTCTACCCACCAGCAAGCGCGCAAGGAAGGCTGAATCTAAGGAGTTCAAAAAGCCGCCGCGACTGTTGGGCGGCCTGCGTAGTGCTCGCAGCGAGATATTTGCAGCCGAAGATCCAGAATGGGAAGACCAGGGCGAGGGCCATTTCCAATCTCAGTCCTCGCCAGTGTCCCGGGAGTCTACCAAGCTTGCGCCAACAGCAGAACTGAGCGACCACTTCGATACTGGCAATGAGACCAGCGATGCAGCATTCGAGACTGCAAATGAACGAGGCACTGAGACCGACGACTTTCATACTGGCGCCGAGGAATTCTCCAGTGACGATGTTGAGACCGAGACAGAAAGCCCTTCCAAGCGTCACACACTCAAGGGCAGACCGCCGAGCCTTCCTACGGGCCTAACACGGAGCACATCTATGGACAGTTCTGCCTCTACTGAAGATGAATCGTACCCCTTTGAGGGGGCGTCAGGGACACCAACTTCGCTGCCGCCTCTACAACACAAATTTCCCCTTCGCGTCAGCCGCGGCGCCTTCCGCCGGTCGAGGCATGCCAGTGAAGAGCCCACTCTTCAAAGCAGTCCTGCAAGTTTTGCCAACAGCAGCACAATGGGAACTCCTCAGCCTAGTCAAAGCTTGGCTGCTGAACTGGGCGACTTCGATGGCAGTGACAATGACTCCAACCTATCTGCGACTCCTAGTAGGAGATCCATTAGGGGCCGGACCACCACCCCTCCGCCAGCAATGCCACCGCTTCCCAAGGTCAAGATGGTGGACAGTGGTATGATGACTGAGCCATTGCCCGAACTCTCTCCAGCTTCTCCCACAAGCGTGATCGGTCCTGACCGACATCTGTCTATGGATAACGCGGCGAGTCGATTCTCCATGGCGTCCGAATATAGTGACTTCAGTACCCAGGACATGGGAGAGAGACTGGATAAGTTCCCGTCCCCTCCAACGTCGGCACCGAAGAGGGACTTTGCCCTTCCACCGGAACTCGCGATGTCAACGATGCATGCTCATCACTTTGAGCCTGTACCGCAGCCAGACACTCATGCAGCTGAATTGGCCAGTCTCCGTGCTGATCATGCAGAGCAGCTGAAGCAAGTAAGCGCAGAGAACACTGCAGCGCAAACGGCGGCTTTAGAAGCCTTGAGAGCCCAACACGCAGACCAACTTGCTCAATTCGAAGCCGAAGCCAAGTTGGCGCACGCCCAAGAGCTTGAAGCCCTCAGATCAAGCCAAGCTGATGCCGCCAGGAAGGTTGCTACCGACGCCCAGGCAGCTTACGCCCTTGAACTCCAGACTCTCAAGGCAAGCCATGCTGAACAGACGAGCCAGGCGGTCGCTGAAGCCCAGGCAATTCACGCCCGTGAGATCGAGTCGCTCAAGGCAAGCCACGCTGAGCTGGGCAGCAAAGCCGGCGCAGAGGCCCAGTCTGTCCATGCCCGCGAATTGGACAATTTGAGAGCTGTGCATGCTGAAGAGTCCAATAAAGCTACCGCTGAGGCCAAGGCTGCGCATGCTCGCGAACTGGATGACCTGAGGGTTGCGCATGCCAGAGAGTCGACCCAGGCTACCGCAGAGGCCCAGGCACTCCATACACGTGAGATGGATGTCTTGAGAACTGGACATGCCGAGCAGTTGATGCAGAAGGAGTCGGAGAGCAAAGCTCTCTATGCCGCCGACCTGGAAGCTTTGAAGGCCTCACATGCTGAGCATTTGGCTCAACAGGAAGCTGAAAGCAACGCTACTTATGCTGCTGATTTGGAAACGTTGAAAAGCAAGCATACTGATGAGATGTCCAAGTCGAAGTCTGACAGTGGCGCTGCTCATGCTGCCGAGATTGCTGCGCTGATAGCTGCTCATGCGAGCCACGTTGACAGTGCAAAGCAGGAGCTGGCGGATACACATGCAAAGGAACTGGACAACCTCAAAGCCAGCCATGCCGAGCAAATCCACCAAGTGAAGCAAGACTCCGATGCTTCCCACGCTGAGGTACTCGACGCACTGAAGACATCCCACCAACAACAGATTGACGACGTCAAGAATAGTCTCAATGCTGCCCATCTGCGAGAACTAGCATCCCTCCAGGCTGCCCATGCAAATGAGCTAGAGGAGCTCCAGAAGAACAGCGACCTGGCCCATGCTGCAGAGATTGCTGCCCTCGTCACATCCCACAGCAAACAGCTTGACTCGCACGAGGCTGACAGCGATGCTACATTATCTAGGGAGCTCACAGCCCTGAAGGGGGCTCACGCGCAGGAGATCGACTCGCTCAACAGTCATCACGCTGCAGCGCGTGCCCAAGAACTAGAGGGATTCAAAGCAGCCCTTGCCAAGCAGGTCGAATCCTCCAAGGTCGAAGGAGATGCTTCACATAATGAGCAGATTGAAGCCCTCAACTCTGCTCATGCTGGTATCATCGAAGCTCATAAACGTGACAGCGAGAAGTCACAAGCTGAAGCTGTCGAGTCGCTTAAGTTTGCGCACGAAAGGCAGATTGATTTCCTCAAGAGCGAACATGCAGCAGCGAGATCTCAAGAGCTTGAGGACCTTGCAACAAGCCACCTCAAAGACCTCGACGTGTTGAAGGCTGAAAACGAGTCTTCTAGAATCAAGCTGCTGGAGGACCTTGCCAACGCCCATTCGGAAGAGCTCGAAGCGCTTCGTCAAGAAAACGAGTTGGCCAACAAGAGAAACCTGGCGGCTTTGAGTGCACAACATGCCACGGACTTGGAGGCACACAAAAACGAGCATGGAGAAACGCTCAAACAGAAGTTGCAGGAGTTGGCCGATGTCCATTCCCGAGAACTGGAAAATCTTCGACAAGATGGCGAATCTGCCAAAGCCAGAGAATTGGCGGCGCTTGGAGCTAGTCACGCTGCGGCTCTGGAGTCTTCCAAGGGCGAGCATAAGGCTGCTCATGCGCAGGAACTCCAAGAGCTCGCTGATGCTCACTCACGCGAGCTAACTCGCCTTCGTCAAGATAGCGAAGCCGCTAAATCCAGGGAATTGGCTGCGTTGGCTGCCAGCCATGGAATTGTTCTAGAGAACATTAAGAACGAACATGACTCGGCACGACTACGCGAATTGGAGGAACTTAACTCTGCCCATGTCGCGGCTTTAGCTTCTCTACGTGCCGAACATCAAGTCTCCTTAGATCGTGCGCTGTCTAACCTGAAGACGGAGCACGCCAGCACTCTAGATGCACTCAAGCAAGACCGCGAGCTCAGCCACTCAGAAGCTCTAGAGGCCCTTGGTGAAAGTCATTCGAAGCAGCTAGATCAGTTGAAGAGGGACGGCGACGCTGCTCTGGCCCAGGAACTGGATGCTGCCAGGGCGGAACATGCCAACATTCTTGCTGCCCACCAGCAGCAGAGTTCAGCAGAGAAAGACAGGCTTCTGGCTAGCCACGCTTCGGAGCTTGAAGCTCTCAGAAAGACCTTGACTATAGTCCGTCCTTCCCTGGGCTTGTCCTCCGTGAGCTCTATCCAGACTGAACCTATTGAGATTCCCACACCGAGGAGTCCAAGACGCGAAGCTTTCATTGTCCTACGGGAAGATCGCGAACCACACACGCCATTCGGGAGGAAGAGCAAGGGCTCTGCCGCACCCATCATTGCCGAAGACGATACCCGTCAATCACCAAGTAACGTGGTTGGTTCTGACACCCCAGAATCCCAGCGACCATTCAAGGAGATGTCCACAAACACCGATGCCCGTCCACGAAAGCAACCTATCGATACTTCCCATCAAAGCTCCCAGACTATACTCACAGCCGATGCCTTGGACCGCTTAATGAAGAATCAACGTCGCATGTCCCAGGACTCTGTTCGGATCACCACTGGGCGAGGTGAAGTTGTCATCACCCCTTATGAAGACGCACCTTCACCGTCTGCTTCTACGGTGCGCGTCAGACGCTCCTCACAAGATAGTGTAGGCAGCGTGGCACGAGCCAGACACAGAATGGGTGACTCCGGGCCTGTGTCTGCGCCGGAGCCGGTACCTTCTCGACGACCAGGAAGCTCGGCTAGTGCACGAGCTCCCATGCTGAACATACCGCCTCTGCCTCCCAACCACCGCGAGGTCATAGAGGCTGCACGGACAAACTCATCCAGTGGTGGAAAGGGGTCCATGGGACCTCCCTTCCTGCCCGCGTCTGCCTATTGCCCCACCTCTTCCCGTCCGCAGACTCCAAGCGGCAAGGCACCTCTATCTCCAGCTTCCGCTACACCTCGCGCGGGTAGAACACCAGGCTACGCAGATATTCACTCTCCGACGAAGATGCCGGCTCGCAGCAGGCAGTCATCTATGTCTTCCTTTGCCTCGGAGATAGACACTAGGTTCAATGCTCGACCGGAGATGAGCATTGACGCAGCTGGATTCGGCCCAGGCACAGATCCTCGTATGATCCAAGCTATCACACAGACGATGATTGGTGAGTATTTGTGGAAATACACTCGCAAAGCTGGGCGGGGGGAGATGTCGGAGAACAGGCACCGGCGGTACTTCTGGGTGCATCCCTACACAAGGACTCTGTACTGGAGTGATCGCGATCCATCCACTGCCGGCCGTGCTGAGTTAAAGGCAAAGAGTGTCCCAATCGAGGCCGTTCGTGTGGTTACCGACGACAACCCTATGCCACCCGGCCTTCATCGGAAGAGTCTCATCATCATTTCTCCTGGCCGGACCATCAAGTTCACCTGCACCACTGGTCAACGCCACGAGACTTGGTTCAATGCTCTCTCGTACCTTCTGCTCCGGACTGGCGAAGAGCACCAGACCGATGCGGAGGAGATGGCCGGGCACATCACCCAAGAAGACGTCGATGAGTTCAACCCAGCCATCAACCGAAGACCTGCGAACGGTAATAGAGCGCGACCACCACCATCCCTATCGTCTTACAATTCGAGAACCACGCGCAACGAGTCGCCTAATGTTGATATGTCTATGAGCATCCCAACTTTGACGCCAACGCATGAGAGAGAAGGTACCCGTGGTGGTACGCTCGGACGGCTAAGCGGATACTGGAAATCGAGAAGTACCCTAGGTGGCACGTTCAGCAGTATGAGAAGCAGGAGTCACACCCCCCATGAGGGCGCCATCTACGAGGCCAGCGAGGTGCACGATAGTGCTGAGGACCTACGACAGATGATTGAGCAGCAGGACAGAGAATCTGACAGGCTCGAGAATGTTAGAGCTTGTTGCGATGGTAAGTTGTCCTAGAAGAACCCTTGGAGAGGTGGCGATGCTAACACTCACTGATAGGGAAACACGACGTTGGAACATTGTCCCACGCGTCCAAGCGCGGGCGTCTTTCCAATATGCACTCGCATTCTCATACTCACACTCATCCTGGGCAGTCGTCAACTGCTACCACACCAATGAGCACTCTGCGGTCACGCGCTTGATCTCCAACCATGCTTCGATTCTTGTCAATCACTTACTATACCCCTTCTCACCCTTGACATATCGCGTTACGAAGACCCGGCTATGGGTCCTTACGACGTCTACGAATCTCCTTGTTACTCATTTTTCACTTCTGTAATCCGCCGCCTGTCGCGGTCCTCAACCTACTTCCACCGCGCACACTAACCGTCGCCGCGACTGCATCCAATGCATACACCAACAAGCACATACCCCGGACGCATGCATTTGCAACTGTTTTGGAGTTGTAGGAGAACAGGGACCCTTACCCATCGCCCGAGTTGTCCCGGACGGACGATTGATCTTTTCCCAGAGTCGCTCCATGGAAGATTTGAGGCTTCGTCTGGGTACCCGCGGCTATGGTTCAGTCCAAAGCAAAGAAGGCGTTTGCTTGTACTGTCAGATTAGTGTTCCTGTACATGACAAAATGGTTTCTGCACCGCAGGCTGCATGTTTGCGCTGTCTTGTCTTCAATGGCTTTGGGAAGATTGGTCAAGGGGGCATTTGTCATGTGTGGTAGTTGATACAATATTGGCAAGACTAGGCTTGTCGAATGTGACTTTTACCAGACCTTCTCCTTGATCATTTGGTGGCGAAACATGCCAGTGCTGTGTCATAGTCACTCTGTTCACACCTGCTTATCTGGTTACCTTTCTTATAATGATGACGATGAGAAGATTACCTTACGGAACGCCCCACGACCGATGAAAAACGTGAATAGGGCCTGAAGATCTACTTACCCCTGAAGTATATCGGCCCAGCTGCAGTGTATAGTCAGCGAAGCGATGTGGCCTCCGCCCAACCAACCAGGCTCCCTGGACTCTGGAGCGCCATTTCTATACGACAGGAAGATTTACCGTTTTCGCTCACAATGTATGATAACGAAACGGTCAGCCAGCCAGCCAGCAAGCCAGCCATAGGCTCAAGCGAGCCAGAACTTTTGGTTCCTGCTAGTGGGAGCGGGAGCCAAGGACTGTAATAAGTAAGCAGTGGGCGCGCTGTCATGCGGCGCAGGGGATAAACGATTACAAGGATCAAACCCGAGCCGCAAGAAGCGCTTGAAATATTGATTCATCGCGAGTGGTGGGTGGCATAGGCATGTGTCTACACCAGCCAGCTGCGGATATTAACGTTACCCGCCTGGACTGGCGCACGTTACCATGTGACCTCTTTTGTATCTGAAGCTTGTTGAGGTGGCATGCGACAGGTACACCTTCGACATTGGTGACTGAGGTTCTTGAGGCGGTGTGTTTGTGTGTGGTTTGCCCCTTGGGACGCGGGGCACGGGACGTGTTGAGGTTGTCGGTACTTTTGCTCGGGGTTGATATTGGGAGGTACAGTAAGGTCGATACCCTCGGTAGCGTGATGACTCGCATGGGTTGGCTTTACCGGAGGTCGGTTCTAGGTCTTGGGAATGGTGAGGGGATGGGGTAGATGTATCGTCTTTGGGTCTGTGGAAGGGGTGGGTGAATGGGGATGGGGTGGTGTGCTCAGGGTCTTGCGGTCCTTGCGCTCTGTGCGGAAGGTGGACGTCCTGTATGTGCTTCATGCGGGTTTGGATGGCGTAGTACTGCTGAATTGCCTGGATACCTAGGTACTTATCTGTCTTATACTCGGCTGGATGGTCGTTCTTGACGCTGACTAGGGCCGAAGAGGTCGGGTGGTGTGATTGGGTTGCGCGAAGGGGCAGCTGTAGGTAGTGAGTCGCGAAGGGTATGCTCTGGAGCTGGGTGGTTAGCTTATGAGTGTATATAGCGGCATGACGTGGTTAGATAGTTGGAAGCTGAGCGGTCCATCCTGTTTTGTCTTATTGCTTCCATTGGTACCACTTGATGGACATATCACATGGGGTTTCAAGACGCGGAATGAATTGTCCGTCAGGGAAGGGGTTCAAACATATCCATCTTCAGGTAGCGTATCGGCCGTGGTTATCACATTGCCAACCCCCCTGACTTTCAGACCTCCAACCGTATTTATACGAAAGCAGCTGAGACCAGATGTATGCAGTTCCCGCCTACTCTGTCCCAAACATTAGGTTTTGGCCTTGTAACAAAGGTTCACTCACTGTGCAAAGCAGTAATACGCGTCTCAACACATGCAAATTGTAACACTGAAGAAGAATTCACCTCATCCAATCTTGGTTTACTTTATTCAGGGCCATTCAGGGGCTGACTGTCTGTTACTGGCTTCGGACATCGTCCCTAGGATGTGATCCTACTATCTGAGAGGCCTAAATGCGCGCTGTTTGTCGATGAACCTACTATTCTACGAGATAATGAGTAGTATAGAACATGACTATTTGTGTCAAAGCAATAAGCGCCTCGAGATATCATCGTGGAGAAGCTGAAGACAGGAACACTGCTGCGTCTAAGCCCGTTGAAATAACGACGCCCCAGCTGTGCATGGTAGTTTACGTGCCGGCTGGGAACTGCTCCATATCCCGAACCGGAGCCAACCTCGCATCTCCTACCAATCAGGACGGCAGATGATCTGAGCGAGGTTGTGTATTTGGCACAGATCGTCACTGGCATCGTCATCGGTAACAACTCACGAATAAGATAACCCTAGGCATATCACAAGGCTCGGTTCCTTCCCTGCACTCGGCTCACCAGTGCCTTGGAAATCTCGGCCTCGGTAAGGGTCCCATGCCGCTACGATATTGTCCCAAGGCTACAACGGAACGGCGGGTGCTTGCTGTGCCAGCCTGCCGGGAGTAATGCTCTGGCGATATCGGCCGAGGAAACTACATGTGCATGGCTTCTAACGCCGCGGGTTACAGGGACTACGAGCCTCACATGGCTGCTCAAATCCGGTGATGTCAGCGCTATCCGATATCCGCTCGACGTATAGCTTGGTGGCGTGGAACTTTACTTTACGGACTTCAGGTCGTGTGAGAAATGAGTGGCCAAGCTCCTGTTCATGGTGTGGAATTCAGGGGTCCGTTACTTACACAGCTCCCTTTGAGGACTGTTCGACTCTGGTCCGTACTACTCTCTAGGTGGCCGTGGAATTGCAGACCGCCACCGTCAAGTAGGAAGCCAGAGCCAGGCATCTCAATTGCGAGGGACTCGATCTACGTTGGCTAGACGAGTGAGTATAGATGGCACGAACGTCAGATGCCTATACCTGCCATCTCAGGGTTAGCTACTCGGAGACTCAGGCTACGTCGCGTGAATGGTGATATGTTCTAATTAATATATCGTTCATCGACCAGTGGGCGTGGTATCTACAACTCCCTTCGTTGCTCTGGCTATCGACACGCTCGCAACCTACACTCATGTAGGATCAGAGTTCAATCCATACCTCATCTAGAAAACAACGTCACTGATCACTACGATCACGTCGCTCCAACAAGGATAGCTCACCAAGAGGTCGAGATACTGTGCCTACAGGGAACCACTCGACGTTGAACTTGACTCATCATATGATCGAGCCTCAAAATGGATATTTCTAATTATAGTTCAGTCCACGGGTAGTGTGGTGATCCTACGAACAAATCCGTCTTTACATGCTAGACATGATCATCGGGATACAAGTAATCATACACTCCCCTGGACCCTGGAGACGCGCAATACCGAACGACTATCACCTGGTGCTTGATTCCCAAGGTCTCGCCACGTTTTTCGGAAGCCGGCTGCAGCGGCGTTACGCGCATACTGACGTCGCGGCAGCGTGGTGGCAGGCACATGTATATATAGAGAGAGAGACAGACCGACATTGGCGAGTTCCTGAATCCCTTTTGCTGGGTCCGGAACTGGGGATTGAACGCCAATCGTGAAGCAGCAGGGTATCTTCCTCGGAGGATTCAGGCCTGCGGGATGTGCCGGCGACTGTATAACGTCATCAAAAGCCTGTCATGAGCGTCGTTGGACTGCATCCCCAAAAAAGCAGCAGAATGAAGCCATTCCCGTGTAGGTCTAGGGATCACATTAGAAGGACGCGCATGCGACGTCATTCTGGTTGGAAGGACCAAGGGCTCTCATCATCAGAATCCTCGGTGACCGTATAGAGTTCAACTTCGCCATTCGCAAGGGGAACCATGGTAATATGTATTTTTATCTCGTTTTCGCTTTGCGCAATGCTGTGAAACCACCTATTAAGAGAACCGATGACGTGTCTACGTCAAGTTCTCTCACAGCGATGGATGTCTTGCGTGTCGCAGATGTGGCCTGTATCTTTTGCACGGGCGTTGCGCACGCCCGAAGGATCGTGGACGGCAGCGGCTTATGTAAGATCGGCGTTCCTAGCACCGACAGAGATGGTCAGATAACCGAATGCTTGTTTCTCTGAAGGAAGAGCAAAGACCTGATCATTATATTGGATGCACGCGACTCGGTGTGCTTCGTCGCTGGTCCCTTTTGCCCGTCCTCTTTGAGACAGTCTGTCGGGTTGCGGGATGCGGGAGACGTGGTCAAGACCTTCACACTGGTGAAACCGGACCGAAAAGCGTCGGCCGAGAATGGAAGGCGGAGGGCGTTGTTGGTCGCATGCCATGTTCCAACATTGGCTTGAGGTTCATGTTGGACTGTGGAGCGGAGCACTCCGAGGTTGTCATGTCCAGAGTCGATGTTGCCATGTCTGCAAGCGATGTTGCAATACTTGCCAAGCCGAGTCCTCATCTGGCAACTGGGAAAACCCCCTCTCAACAGCGAGCGATCGCCGCATGCGAAAGCAGGTTTGATTGCGAGGAGATTTGCATATTGCTGCAGGACGTTGCCAAGAGACGATCGTCGACGGGACGTGACTGGTGGATATTCGAGACATTGGAACAATCAACTAGAGACCCTGCGCAGGTGACTATCACCTTGAACAGCCGGCCGAGCACGCGGCAGTGAGGTGAGGGACGGCCCTGCTTCTAGTCAAAATCGATGCCGTCGCTAGAAGAGGCAGTTCGTTTCCGACTCGCAAGTCCATGTGTCTAGTCGGCTTGGCAAGTTTGCATAACTAGGTGATGTTGGGCCGTCCACGGGCTGTCTAATAAGTTCTAGGTTGAGCACTAGGAGATTAGCTAGACGGTAGATATTCGAGAAGCCGTCTAGGGCACGGGTGGTACTCACGGTTTATTGGGCGATGGCGGCGGCTAGACGCGCCGGCGCTGACGTGGAAGACTGCCAAGGCTGCCAAAAGCAGAGTTTGATGATGAAGGCTGCAGCAATGTGGTCCCGATTAGATGAGTGCTGGTTCGAGTTTCATGTCGATAGTCGTGGTCCATGGGGAGGGAAAGGGGGGTGGAAAAGGGATGGCGGGCCCGAGCCGTGACACGGCTATCGGGGTTGCATCCGTACCCTGAATCCGGTGCCGCCTCAGAGACCGGTGTCCCGAGCCGCCGATATCCTGGGTTGCGGCGACCCGACCGACTATCGCCGTCATAATGTATCACATACAGTGTCTTGTTCATAGTCGGGTTCATTACTATATCAATACACGGAAGGCAAGTAGAGCAGACGGATCGGGTCACGAGAATACGTAGCCATCCCCGAGTGAGTATGCACCTCAAGGATTGACTTGTCTGCTGGTTTCTATCGAACAACATTGACAGAAGTGTGATGTTGCTTCTTCGGCGGACGTGCTGCACCTGGCCTCGTTTCGTCTTTGTTGATCATGATGAGTAGTTACCGCTAACATTTTCATCTCATCTCATCTCCTGAACTCGGCTCCAGAACCCTCGTTGATAAGAGGCTTTGAGGAAGTTGGACTTGGTTACCTAATGCATACTGAAACAGCAACCAACACAATTGATGCAGGTCGATGCCGCGTCATTCATCATTCGTCATGAGTGGAGTGCAAGTGTAGGGTTGGTCTGGAGAGTGGAGAGCGAGAGCGAAGGAAGTTGAAGACGGACAGGGATTCATCATTCATCACCCAACCCCTGTCTGTATATCCCGGTGGCCGGTTCTCAGCTTCTCATAGGCTAAGGCGAATTCGACGTTTCAATTGGGCGAAAGAAGAAGAATGCTGCTTTGAAGATTCAACTAGCACGCGACAGTTCGTTGAATGTGAAAGAGATTGGCGCTTGGCGGGATTGATAATGGGGACAGACTTCGATGTTATCGCTGGAACTACCGGCGTACGTCTTGCTGCCGTGTCATTGGTGAGGATTGTCGACCTATCACAGCGCACCCTGAGGTACGGTTGTCGGTACCGACACAAGGGCCTTCCTGTGCTCCTCCTCTGCTCCTCCCATACCTTACATAATTCCAGCGTGCTATTTTAGATTCTACACTACTGCGAACTTGCGTGTCTCGGGGGACACGAGTGTGGCGGCGCACCTCCAGACCGCGTGTACATGGCAATGGCAGTGTGATTACCGTGCACGGTAGTTATGCCCAGACGCCGTTCCCCCCTCCTAGTACACCGTCCGTCCGCAGGCCTGGGCGGGTTGGCGGCCGGGCAGTTGATCTCCATAGTGCATACCATCTTTGATGATGGATCAGATGTGGATGACGGGTAGGGATGAAGGAAGTATGAAGGACGCGCAGTTTCAAAATGGCGAGCATGGCCAGTTTTCGGTTTTTTCTCTACCTGGACTCCTATCCTTCCTTTCAACAGACTGAATGATATAATCGACAATCCCACGCTCCTTTCCTTCGAGATACCAGTACTACTATCGACCAAGATCCGCTCATTGCTGAACACCACCTACTTTGTGCATATGGTTAATCCATCCCCTTCGCCAAGATACCCTTTTATACGTCACCTGTTTACATACTTCTTCATCACACATATACACACACATACGCACACAATGTCTTACGCAGATAAATACACGAAAAAGCCCATTACCGACATCTTCACCAGCGACACAGACATCGACCGCCGGCAATGTACGCGGACAGTGCCAATGAAGGTGCTCCTACTGGGCACCGGTCGCACAGGAACTGCATGTAAGTCAAGACTCAAATCAACTCCCGGCCTATCCGCCCTGCGCCCCGAAAACCCCGAAACCCTTGGCGCCGAGACAACACTACCAGACACCGTCGTGCTGACCGGCGCCACCCAACAGCAATGCGAGCGGCCATGAAGCAGCTCGGCTACGTTGACACATATCACATGATGAACTGCTCGATCGAGAACCCGCCGGACGCACTGCTGTGGATGGACGCGCTGCGGGCCAAGTACGACGGGGTCGGGCAGCCGTTCACGCGCAAGGACTGGGACCGGCTGCTGGGCAACTCGCAGGCCGTGTGCGACTGGCCGGCGTGCGCGTTCGCCAAGGAGCTGATCGAGGCGTACCCGGAGGCGAAAGTGGTGCTGACGGGCCGCGACGTCGACTCGTGGCACGCGTCGACCATGAAGACGGTCTACTGGCGCGCCACCGACCCGGAGCTGCGCGCGCTGTCGCACTGCAGCTGGGCCGCGCGCATGTACTACCCCATGCTCAAGAAGTTCTTCGACACCTTCTTCGAGGGCGACTTCCCGAACCGCGGCAAGCAGGTCTACATACGCCACTACGAGGAGGTCAAGCGCATGGTCGCGCCCGACAACCTGCTCGAGTTCCGCGTCCAGGACGGCTGGGAGCCGCTGTGCGAGTTTTTGGGCGAGCAGGTGCCCGCCGGCGACAAATTCCCCAACGTCAACGACAACTCGGACTTTGTGTCGCGGTCGCGCCGGAGGAACCGCCGCCAGATGCTCAACGTGGCGCTGCAGGGCCTCGAGATCGTCGCGCTGATCGGGATGTTTATTTACCTGATCTTCTACGTGCAGATGTCCATGTTCTCGTCCTAGTCCAAGGATACCGGATTTATACAAAATATCATGGAGCATTGGGTTCATGGGTTGGCTGGCGTTCTGGTTCTGGTTATATACACTTGGGCGGACTTTGGCGTCGACCACATAGACTTCGATTCCCTAGCCAGCTAGCATTGGTTCTGATTCAATCAAAATACAACATTGAAGTAAAAGCGATATCTTTCTACTCGTCATCAACGATGCATGTGAGGTTTCCCTAGGTAGGTATCATCGCACCACGCCTCCCCTGTTCCGCCGTCAAAGGAAGGTTCCGTTCCAACTGCGGCTCATCATGACTGCTCTTCCATGGCATCAAGGTTGAAGATTGAAGATTGCAATGTGTCTGGACGTACGTCATTCGCTTCCCAAATGTAAGTTCCATTCCGTTGAGCGTTTCCAATATCTGCGACGTGGATGCAAGCCCCCCCGGCCATTAAGGTTGTTTCAGAGTGATTATAACAGCAGGATCTGATGCACTGATGCATTGGATGCCGCATGCCGACCCCGATTGGTGCATATATGCGGTAATATCCCACCTCGACCTCGTGGCTTAATGTTTCGGTGTCCTCCTGTCGATCTCCACCACCACCACCCTACCTTGAACTGCCAAGACTGCTCGAGTGGTACTGGACTCAACGGCTCGTGGCTGCGCTGTCCTCACAATTTGCACATCGTCGCACGACCGAATGCGTCCGCGAACCATTGTAAATCAAGCCGTTATATTGTGCTTTCAAGGCTGCCTAACCTACAGGGACGTATCATCCAACGATAGCGGAGTTTTGGCCAACTACTCCAAGCCACCACCACCGTCCGCAACAACGTCCCCAGCATCAGCATGCCGCCGAATGCGACCAGAAACCGCATTAACCAGCCGTCATACACGGAAAAGGTCATCGCTCGATATACCCACGCCTGACAACGGGTTAGCCATCATCATGACCGCCGCATAAGCCTCGTGATTGCCATAACTCACCTCGCCTTTCACGTCGCGGCCATCTACTGGCTCCGAGACGTCCAACGTGCGCCCAGTAGCATCCACGGCAGCCGCTCTCAGGTATCGCGGATACGTCACGCGCAGGTCGAATTCCGTCTCGAAGTCGACCTTCCTCTCGCTCGCAAGGTCCTTCCAAATCTCCTCAGCGCCTTGACGCCCGTCGGAACCCTGGAGAACCCATCGTGAGACTTCAGTTGCGCCGTTCCAGCTCACATACACGCCCCAGCTCTTATAGCCTTTCCGCCCAATCACTACGTCGGGCTTGGTCGTCGGCCACCCGTGCCACTCGTACTTGTAGACGCGATAGGACTGCACCTCGCCCGAGCCGAAGCGGTTCTCGGGCGCAAAGTGCGTGTCGCACAGCGCGGTCCCATCAGGCGCAAACTCGGTGTAGGCCGCCGCGTTGCCGTACCCGAGCAGCACGTTGCCATTGGGGAGCGTCTGGAATGATCCCTGTGATAAGCCGTGGACTCCATGTGGGTTGTGGTACTCTGTCACTACAGTCGCCGTCATGGCCTGCTCGTCAACCCTGACCTTGAGCCCCCGCGTGTCCGCCCGTGTGGGATGCGGGTCGTCGACGCCGTTGTCGAAGATGGTGATAGTGGTCTGGCCGTCGGATCATCGCGCGTCGTGCTGGTAGGCAAAGTCGGTCGCCCGGCCGTCGGACAGGTCCGTGAACACGTTGCGCTTGCCGCCTAGGATCCAGATCACCTCGCCATCGCTGCCGTTGATGTACGTCAAGCTGTGCGCGTACCGGCTCGACACCAGGTAGTTGCCACGCGCGTCCTTGTCGATGCTGTTCATGTGGAAGAAGTCGTAGAGGCTGTCGCCCTCGCCATCGTCGCTGATCGCCCGCAGGCTGTCGCCCACCGTGAGGTGATCCAGCGCGCGCCACTGGAACAGGGCCTCGCCCGTCTCGAGATCGATCTCCTGAACTAGACAATCCCATACGGGACCGTAGTGCGGCTTGCCGGCCTCGTTGAGATCCGCCTGTACGACCTCGTAGACGGTGATCATGGCGGTGCCGGCCTCGGTGATGCGGAAGTCGTGCAGGTCCGCATCGAGCCCGTTCGCGGCCTTGATCTCTTTGAAGTGGTTGTAGTGCTTATCCAGCTGGCAGTTCCTGCATTAGTTCTGACAGCACGGGGATGAGCGACTGGGTAGGTGTAGATCTCACCATCTGGATCTGCCCGGCGCCGTGGCCTCCAACCGCGTCGTTGCCCGACCAAAAGGTGAGGTAGTCCTCGCCCCTATACCTCTGGACCATCAGATTGTACAGCTGCTGGCCCTGCCACTCCGTCGTCCATATCAGGTTGGCCTTGCTGTCCAGGATAGTGGCCTGCGGCGTACTCGTCGCGTCACCTCGCGGCGTCAGGAACGTGTGTAGCGTTGTGTCTCATGATTCGTCCCACCGGAGGACGTCGACGTGAGGGGCCTTGAGCTCGCCGGCTGATATATACTGCTGCGCGGGATACTTGCCGTAGTACGCGCGCTCGTACCGCAAGTCGTTCGAGTAGGCGGCCGCATCGGCAAGCGCGTATATGGGAAAGCCGGCGGCGACGAACTTGGCGATGCACGAGATCTTCATGGTGGCATATTATCATTCATCAAACCGCCTCAACCAGAGGAACCCGGCGAGGGCCACTGGGGTTCGTCTACGCATATTGAATACCTTACCGAATTGTCTGATCGATACCAAGTAGGAAGATCAACAGAGTCTTTTCCGTGCCCTTCTTACCATTGCGGAGCACGTTGCGACTGCGTACGTATGATCACTCGTGGTGCGTCGTCGCAATCGCAACCGCATTCCCACTTTCACTTACAAGGACTTTTTAACTACTTACCGATCCCGCTGAGGGGGCGCAGCTGACGGGATGTCGTTGTACTTCTGCAATAATAATACTGGACTCACCCATGTATGGAGTATGTGTATCTCTCCGTCTTTGATGGAGAGACTATGAAGTACGGAAGCTAGATGTCGGGGCTGTCGACGACGACGCGGCAGTCATTTCGCTATCGTTTAGTGCGCGGTCGTCGCCGGCATGGTCGGGTCGGCATGTCGGACGCTGTCTTACAGACCGGCCGGCTGTGCTACCTACAGTGTATATCATACTGTACAATGGAATCAGAGACGGCGGCGAAATAATCATCTGACAAGCATTCCATTCTAGGCTGCCAAGGCTGCTCCATTCCTCATCAAAAAATTAGGCATGCCAAGACTCTTAAGACGTTTCTAAACATTTGGACACGCGTCCCGATTTGATCCCTTCCGCTTCTGGAATATGTCCCACCCCAGGAGGCCCCTCCATTGCATAACTTCGTCCCCCTTCCAAGGTTGTCAACGCCCCTGTTCAGCCCCGTTTCTGTCAGAACTTCCCATCATCCATGGTCTCCCCAGCCAGCGCGTGTCGTTCGTTGGCAACATGTGCATGTGTGGGGGCTGCGAACGGGACACATGGAAGTGGAGGACACGCATTGCTCCCGCAAAAAGCAGATGACGACAGCTATCATCTATGGGCCAGTGGTGCCGCCCTGGCTTCGGTTTCGAAATCTCTCTGCGTAACGAGCTAACGCGTCCAAGGCTGTGCTGTTATTCCAGCGGGTCACCGGCCAGCGATAATACTAGCGACCGCCGTTCGGATCTGTTTGGACTTTGAACTTTCTGACAAGCTTTGCTCTGTGTCTATCTATTCTCGTCAACTATTGTTTCTATTCCTATTTCCACCGTTTCATCCGGCACCCAACCTCATACGTTCCCTGATTCGGCTTTTCTCTCATCGCCACCCCGACTAGGCCGCATTCCTACCATTCCTGTCGCATATGCCGTAGCCGCCTTATCCGTTAATTCCACCCTCTCTTGGCTTTCGTTACGCTCTTTTTGACCTGGTGTTACTATACATTTTCCTTTATCCCCGTATTTGTACTCTACCCCTCCCCTCCCACCGCAGACCATGGTGAGGAGGTCGAGCATAGCAACCTCTAGCAACATGACCGGTCACGCTAGAACCACGTCGATAGGACTGGATCATCTGCTTGAGAAGAGGCTGGTCGACCCCGAAGACTTCGACATAGAAATTAACGATGGAGATTCGCAAAAGTCGTCGGAATCTATCCAGAAGCGGAACGGGCCGGTAACGTGGGCGTCGCTTCCGAGGAAAGATCAACTGGGCATACTCTTCCTCTCGAGGCTTGTCGATTTCCTGCAGGTCGCCTCGCTGCAGGCCTACGTCTTCTACCAGCTCAAGAGCTTCGACGACACGTTATCCGACGCCCAGATCTCGAGCCAGGCCGGGCTTCTGCAGGGCGCATTCACCGGCGCGCAGGTGCTGACTGCGTTTCTTTGGGGGAAGGCCGCCGACGCCAGCTGGTGTGGGAGGAAGAACGTCCTCATCATCGGACTTTTCGGCACTGCCATCTCGTGTCTGGGGTATGGGTTCGCGAGCAGTTTTTGGGCGGCCGCCTCCTGGCGCGCGGCCGGCGGTGGCATCAACGGCACAGTCGGGATCATGTGAGTACAGTCGGACCCCGTCGGACTCTCTCGGCGGCGACAGTGGCTGATAGTGCGCCAGCCGGACAATGATTGCAGAAATCACCGTCGAGCGAAAGTACCAATCGAGGGCCTTTTTGATTCTGCCGATCAGCTTTAGTGTGGCGAGCACATTCGGGCCTTGTGAGTGTTACCCAAGCCGGACTTGGCCAGGCTCAGCACGGTTCTAACTTGCTTCTAGTGATGGGCGGGCTGTTGGCTGACCCTGCCATGACGCTGCCGGGACTGTTCGGCGAGGGCGCTGTATGGGGGTTTGGCTGGATCATGAAATACCCCTATGCTCTTCCTAGCCTGATCAACGCCGTCGCCCTGGCCCTTGTGGGTTTCTTGGTGCTCTTTGCACTCGAAGAGGTATGTAGTAACCCACCAAACCCGGCCCGGTCTCATGCTTACCATTGCAGACTTCGAGCAAGAGAAAGACCAAGTTCGATATCGGCCTGCACATTGCTGGCCGCATAAAATCGACCATTCTGCGCAAACCCGCACACGACGGGTACTACAAGCTCGAGACATGGGATTTCCCGGACTCCCCGACCCCGGACGTGGTCGCGATCCAGGAGAAGCCTCAGGTCCCGGTCACAGCGCCGCAAATGAAGCGGCCAAGAAGAACCCTGCCGTTCCGCCGCGTATGGACAAGTAACGTCATCTTCACACTAATCACCGAGGCCTTCTACGACTTCCAGCTCGGCGCCTTCACCAACCTCTGGACCCTTTTCTTATCTAGCCCCCGCTCCACGCCGGAAGAGACGGCGCAGCGGTCGCTGCCCTGGGTCTTCTCCGGCGGCCTGGGCATGCCGGCCGCGACTGTGGGTATCGCAACTTCTATCCTGGGCATACTGGGCATGGCCCTCCAGATCTTCCTCTACCCGCCCATCCACGCGCGCCTCGGCACCCTGCGCGGGTTCCGCTACTTCATGCTCCTGTTCCCCGTGGCCTACTTCCTCGCGCCATACCTCGCCGTCCTGCCGTCCGCCACCGAGAGCCCCGCGCCCGCGTCCGGGTCCGCCATCTGGATGTACATGACCGTAGTACAAGTCTTCCAGGTCATGGCGCGCACCGTGACGCTGCCGGCGACCATCATTCTGCTCAACAACTGCAGCCCGCACCCGAGCGTGCTGGGCCTGGTCCACGGCCTCGGCCAGAGCGTGTCGGCGGGCTTCCGCACCGTCGGCCCCGTCGTTGGGGGGTGGTGGTACGGCGCCAGCCTGGAGAGCGGCGTCGTCGGCGCGGGCTGGTGGGGCGTCGCTGGCGTCGCCGCGCTGGGATGCGTGGCTTCTATGTTTATCTACGAGGGCAGCGGACACGAGATCGTGCTTGAGGGCGAGGAGGACGACAAGTTGTCGGGATAACTTTAGAGCTGCATGATAGACTGTGGCCTGCCTTCTAGAGGGTCACTTATTGTATATATGTTTATAGATACCAATCACAAAAAAGCATTCAAATTATTATAACTCGACTCATCCTCGTGCGTGGTCGCACAGGGATATAATTTTGCCTACAGCAACCGAATCAGGGACTCGACCTGTCCATGCCATCTCATCAGAAGCCATCGCTTCCCTCCCGCCCTAGTAACTTAACGATACAGGGCGCCAAATCCAAATGGGACATTCCCAACCGTGAAGCTCTTCACATGTCCAGTTCCATGTATGTCGACACACCCACGAGCGCTGCTCTTGAAGCGAGTGTCGACAGATGACATCACACAGTTTCAAGAATAGCAGGGTTCAGGCGAACTCTGACATGGCCCGGTGACGATCTATAAAAATAGATTAGAACATCATGGCCGTGCCTTGGGCTGTGGGGTCTGGGGATCATACGCGCATCTGCTAATAGTCTGGTGGACTCACATGTCGCGTACTTGAAGTAACGAAGTGGTGGTTACGATACTGGTGCTTGGAATTGTTGGGTAATATGGACTGCCAAAGGGGTTACATGCACTCAAGGCGCAGCTTGAGCTCGAAAGCACCCCGTTGATGCATACAGATAGAGACCTATCAAGGTTCAATACCCTCCCTGCCATAACGGCCCACGGAGCACGAATCAGGCATCTGACATTAGATTCTGCAGTCCGAAACGCTGAGACAGATCGATACCACCTTACGCGACCCACACCCCACACCCCACAGCGATCTGAAAAGAAGGTATGGATGCCGTTTCAGATATCGCCTTGCAAGTTGCGTGTCCTTGTGTGGGAGGCTGTTCAAACATGACGGCCTTCCGGTTCGGACCACATTCCGTGACTGGGACGTTTCACACGCGGCGCGTTGATCTATCGAACATGATGTGCTCCCGCCTGTCGAAACGACAAGACGACGGCTTTGAATGCGTGATGTTCTCGCGAACGATTAACTTGTTACAAGCCACCGGGACTCTTTCTTCTGACCTTCCTCAAATAACTACCTACATACACCTCACCGCGTTCCCACGGCCGCTTAAGCCAGTATGCTTTACCATGTTTTACGGAAGCTCTGGAGCTGGACATAATAGAAACTGCGACCCATGCAGTTCAAGCAGACGGGGTAGTTCGTTAACTGCGCAACGCACGCAGCATCGTTCTTGTTCGCCTTCTCCTTTGAATCACCCCATAAGCTGATGTCTTGCCTTAAACACGAACAACCTCAGGTTGGCAGCCGCAACTGCACCAGCGGTGTCAGCACAGTTATAGCATAATTTTCGTGGATAATGTTGGTTGCAATCACATAATCTTTGCTCACGCCACCGACCCCGGCAGGCAGCAAGTATATTGAGCCTCGGCACTAATCAAAACACAAGCATGTCTTGATAGAAGGGCTACCGGTAGTGCACAAGGGTGCCCAATTCTACGGTAGGCAGCAACTCGCGAGGCTGGCCATGCCTGCGTCGCCATAGATCCATCACCATAGACCCGTCACTACAAATCCATCGCCACAAACTCCTCATCGATCATGGAATGCCTGGCTACTCATCGGCATATGCGTCACCTTAAGGAGCCATCTTGCCATCCTGGCCATCAACCTAGGGCTGCACCACTGACCGGGACTGGACTCCACTGCTTACCGTTGCCTGCATGAGTGGCTGACATACCTGCCCAGGCAACGACGAACAGCAATTTGGCAAGAGTACCAAGGCAACTCTCAAGTACCGGGACACGACATATATGTTTCGGCTATACATATGCCCGCCAACTACCCTCTTACAAGATACATTCTACTGTACCATTGCCCCTTTCCCGCCGCGCATCCACACATCACCAGACAACTGCAGCAATCGCTTACAAACAACAAACTCGCTACCGCACCTCGCATTCGAAGCTATATTCATCATGAAACTTTTCCCTTCCGCTCTGACGCTTTGCTCACTCGCTTCATTCGTCGCCGCTAAAGATACCGGCAAAATCGATCTCTACACAGGCGCGACTGGCGACATGCAAAAATACACGATCAAACACAAGGACCCGAGTTCCACGATCGAGGTCGAACGTTATTCAGGCGAACAAAAATGCGAAGAGTGCGATTCTGGGCAAATTTCCGAGGGCAGACACTCTTACAAGGTCACGTCCACGCTCCCAACGGGCTGCACTGTGGAATTCTACCGAAATAAGGGGTGTAACCCAAACGAACGCTATGATGGTCCGGATCCAATACCGATTAGATGCCTCATGGAAGCCGGGCGACGGGTGTACGATAGAAGCACACGCACACCAAGAGTGACTCGAGACGAACATTGTATATTCCGAGAAGAACGACGGAAAGCACTCTGGACTTGATCAGTAGGCAACTTTGATAAAACTACAAATTCTCGGGCTACGTCTCCATGCTTCAGAGCTGTTCCGGAATCAGATGTTTTCCCCCCTAAATTAGAGGGACGTGCGCCGTATCAGCGAAACGGAGCGATATTGATTCCTCGTGCAGATGTTCTATCCTTGCCGTGGTCCTGATAGGAGTAGAACACGGGTCGAGTGCCCAGCTTGTCAGAATGTTGTAGTATTCAAAGCTATCAACCTACCAACCCAGAGGTACACCAACCTGAAGAGCCCGAACACATTACAGGAACGGTGTGAAAATGAGAGACCAACGTTCCTCCGTGGGAAGATAATCATCGTGAAGTGCTAAGTGGCACGGTGCCCCCGGGCCCTTTCCCAGTAGGGGACTCATTACCAAGTTTGCACTGACGCTGCCTTACTCCGTTGTGTCAAAGCCTGTCGTAGGTAGGACGGAAGCCGTTGAAGTTGTTCGTCGTGCATGAGGGTCACCACCACACCCGCCACCTTACCGAACTGTTAGTGTCAGTTCGACGTGTCCACTGGTTGAGACTTGGGAAGATGCTCGATACCACGATCTGGTCACGCTAGCTACGAGTTGGGCTCGGGGTTGGTGAGATGAAGCACACCCAACTGGGATGGGTGATCTGACTCAAGACCTTCGCCGAAGAAGACTATATTGTAGATAACTCCCGAAGCAGAACGGGCGTCTTCAGCATAGTGCTATTCTACAGCCCGTGTGTGGACATCCTCACCTAAACATGGACATCCGGTAAGATACACGTTACCAGGGCACCCACAACACCCAAGCGCGAAGGTGTGACAATCAGGCCTGCAGCTGCGCTGGTCAGAGCTGATGGGTTGAAATATCTAGATTCAACGATATCTAAGGAAGAAGAGGCAATGTCGGAAAAGAAAGGGGAAGCTAGGGGTATATATGTACATAAATATGTGGAGGTATTATGTAATACCGTAACAGAAGGGAGGTCGAACTTGTGCGAACCAACACGCTCAATGTAGCATATGTCAGCAACGGTTCGCACATCGAGCGAAGGAGTGCATGTCCCAGCCCCCTACTGTACCAAAAAATGAGCGACTCTCATCTCCCTCAACCAGAGCGGGCTTCCATCATCCCGCGCTGACCAATGTCGACGTGCTGACGACCAGTAGCCTCTCATTAGTCAACACACCTACCTAAAATGGTCCTCGTAATGCACGACACTTGCAAAGTTCCGGCCCAACCTTTCCAATCCAAGGACTCGTTGTTCGAGATCAACAAGTGCCCCCAGGGACTTTCAGAGAGGGAAACGCGGATGTACCAACGACGAGGTGCAAGGCTAAGTGGCGGCGATCCATTGAACATGAGGAATAGGAGGTGGACGGAGTGGTGCTGATCACATTCAGCGGCAATACACGTTGAGAAAACCAAGCATCGCCTGCGTAATATCGGCGCCTCTAAACGACTGCACGAAGGCAGCATCGCTGGCACAGTGCAAGGCATGATAAGCCTTGATCAGGTCTTCATCAGGTTCAAAAGCATGAGTTGTGCAGCTTGGCGCGATGGAACTCCCATCATCTATTGTACCTTCGTCCTGAGCTGTGCGGGTGTCCATCCGGGAGTTGGAATCGAAGCACTCGGCTTGAAGCAATGCGGCGAAGGTATGCTCCGAAGCTGGACTGTGGCACTTAGGGTATGCTGGTCGCTTCATCAGCGTACCAATATGATCCTCTGGCGCCATGAAAGCCTCGGGCCTTCAATCTCGGAGACCGATAACGGTTCAAGAAACTTCATCATGATCTCCGAAAGGCTTGACCGCGGAAGACCGAGCTGCGGGACCCTTCAGTCTCTGGGCCCGTGAAGTAGATGGTCTCCTCTTGCCCAGAACTCGAGGCCTTTGGAAGCCTCCTTGATGGCTCAAATGTAGCACTCGTCCAGCCTCCGATGCAAGTTTGGTCATGATCGAAAAGACACAGCAACGATCAAAACAAGGCTTCACCAAGTACTTCAGGGATGAGACGAGCGTGACAGTCGCAAAAGGAACGTGGAGTTAGACATCGCACGCGACGCGACCGGCCTTTAGGAGCAGCTTATTTCCGATTAGTGGTCCCTTTACTTACGACCCAGGGCGGGAGCTCCGCTCGCCTCCGCGCTGTCTCGGAGTTAATAATTCGATGATGGCATCAATGGTCGCTTTTAAGGAGCTGGGCACTAGGGAGCATCAGATCATGAGAGCGGCCTGTTCGTTTAAAGTTACCGTGCTACCTGTACTAAAGTACCCTGCAGTTGAGATAAGTAGAGTTGGCGATAGTCAATAGGTGACGGTCAAGCTATAAAGAGCGGTGACCATCCATCCCTTCCTATCTGTGTGCTTCCAGACATCCACACGGCCACACAACACTCTCATCTCACACATACAGGGCAGAACCATATCACACACTTACACACACCGCGACCATGGCGTCCGACAAGAAGATCATACTGATTACCGGTGGTGAGTGAACAACAACGTCGCAGCTCCACGTTCCATCGAGTTGGGCTGACTAGCCATCCAGGCAACACTGGCATTGGCTTCGAAGCCGTCAAGGCCCTGTACAAGACCGACACCCCTTACGAGATCGTCATCGGGTGTCGGACTGTCGCGAAAGGTGAAACCGCCATCGAAGAGTTGAAGAAGGAGGTTCCTCAATCCCCCTCCACCCTCAGTACTCTCCAGGTCGATCTCTCCTCAGACGAGTCCCTCGAGAAGGCGGCCGAGACCATGACCTCCAAGCACGGCCGCATCGACACCCTCATCAACAACGGCGGGGCCGCCTTCGACGCCGAGCTGGAGGCAAAGAGGATGAGCATGCGAGAAGCCTACAACAAATCATGGGACACCAACGTTACCGGCACGCACATCCTCACGACCTTGGCCGTGCCGCTACTACTAAAGTCGACCGACCCGCGTCTGCTGTTCCTCACCAGCGGCACATCAGCGCTGGCCGAGACAGAGCGCCTGGACTTGCCAGCTTTTGTGCGGTTGAATGGATCGCCGCCTGCCGGGTGGCCCAAGCAGCCAGTCGGCCCGACTGGCCTGAACGTCACCGCGTACCGCAGCTCCAAGACGGGTCTGAACATGCTGATGCGCGAGTGGCACAAGATCCTCCTCAACGACGGGGTCAAGGTCTGGTGCATCTCGCCGGGCTTCCTGGCCACCGGCCTGAACGGCGCCAACGCCGAGAACCTGAAGAAGGTGAGTTGACATGAGAACTATGTGGCGCGATTGATGCTGCGCACGGATGGATGCTGATACCTTCATAGGCCGGTGCTAGAGACCCGTCGCTCGGTGGCATCTTCATTAAGGATGTTGTACAGGGCAAGCGGGATGACCATGTGGGCAAGGCCATTAGGTCGGACTCGATTCAACCTTGGTAGACAGATACATAGCTCACTATTCAATGGATGGATAAGTTAACTGCTTTGAGGGACTTCATTTTGGGACTGATTACTTACTGGTTACTTACTGATGATCAGAGATAAAGGGAAAGAGTGCAACACCACCTCAAACCTCCTTCTGCGTTTCCTTCTTCAGGTCCGCATATGTCTGCCAAACCTGGAAGATCTTCTTGACGATCGGCCCAAACCTCAGAATAGGGTCGTCACTCCCAGCAGGTAAACCCCAGGTCGCCATCTCATAAGTCCGGTACATGAAGAACTCAAAGTACTCAGGGCGCACAGCAGCTTTCCCAGTCGATGAGGACCAGCGTCCCGTCCTGGCGCACGAGGATGTTCTGCGGCTGCAGGTCCGCGTGGGTGAACACCGAGGCGTCACAGCCCTTGGACAGCTCGACCAGTTCCGCCTTCAAGCGCTGAAGCCTCAGGCGGAGTGCCAACGCTGCGGGCCCAAGTGAGAACTGAGCGCGACAAAAGGCATCAAGAAACTCACCGGCTGTTGCGAAGGGCCCAGCGGGGTGTTTAAACATCCAGGACTGTGGCAGATACGGCCTTCCGCCGGGAAGTCCGTAGTAGCCGTCGGTGGGGATGTTTCGCAGCTCCTTCAAGTGCGACCGTAATTGCGCTCCCATCGATGCTTTCTGCAGGTCAGTGAATCCGTTCCAGCCGTTGCGCAGCGATTCCCCCTCGACGTACTCCATGATGATGACTTTGTCGCCGTTGCTGTGTTGGCACATGGCGTAGAGCGTCGGGATGGGGATGTTGGTGAGCCTGCGGATTGTTAGCATGTTCTCTCCTTCGATCAGGTCGACCCCTTTTCCGTATTTCACTACGAAGTGCTCACCGATCTTTACGATGCTACGGTCTGTTGGGCCTGGTACTTGCCCCGCTGGGATGTTCATTTGTGCAGATGGTTGGCTGCCCAGGGCAACAATCTCGTCGTAGGTGGGCAGCGGGACCGGAGTTGCATGGTTGATGTAGGGAAAGGGAGGGTTGACAGAAATATATGAGGCCATGATGGCAAGTATGCCGGTTGTGGCTCGTACGGTGAGATGTGGTGGAAAATGATGGTCGTGAAGGCGTTGGTTGCGTCCCACAACGTCGTATTATAGGCATCGTGAAGCCCATGTAGCATGTTGGCGTCGAAACAACTTTCTTGTGGAAGAAGCTTGAACATAAAGGGATTGTTGTCCTTGATGTACATTCTTCCTGTTCTTTGTGTGTTATGATGCTGACAAAGAAGCCCGTGTCAATCGCTTTCATTCGAGAGGGGAGTTCCACTGCGCCTTGCTGAGGTACTCGGCTCGCCACTCATCCACGTTTTCCATGAACGTGACTGTTTTCGACGCCTGCTCTCTGCTCAATCAGTGCATCCTAGATTCCAGAGCGCTCAGGTAATCAACCTAGTGCTGACGCTCCTGGCTAGCTGGACCTGATAAAGTTGACGCTTCGTAAGTGCGACGGATAGCCTCAGTTTCAGCGCGGACGTCAGACGGACACGAGAGGTGCATGTGTGGGGGGATGTACATGCAATCATCGTATCTGAATCCTCTAATAACCTTAGGCATCGACCAGTGCTGAGCTTACCGACCTTATAAGAGGCGAGGAGACGCACTCATCAGCGTGACGCAGACACAACCTCACTACGAAAACACATCATCTTATCCCCGACCAAACCCTTTTCATCAACCAACATGATGAACCTGACCTTCGAGCCAACCATCCCGCTGAACTCTGTTATCCTCATGACAGGAGCCAATGGTCTAATAGCCTCCCATGCCGTCGACCAGTTCCTCGCAGCGGGCTACCGCATCCGCGGCACCGTCCGCAATCCGTCCAAATGCATCTGGATGGAGCCACTCTTTGAGCGTCGTCACGGAGCCGGCCGCTTCGAGCTGGTCCAGGTAGCCGACTTCAGCGCCCCCGGCGCCTGGTTCCAGACGCCGCAGTCAAAGGAGCCTCTGGAGTCGCCGCTGTCGCTGGTGGCGCCGGTCTCGATGTCCAAGACGTGGAGAAGGCGGTGAAGGAGGAGCTTCCCTGGATGATCTCGCTCCTCGAGGCGGCGGACTCCGAGCCCAGTGTCAAGTCCTTCGTCTACACGAGTTCTGCGTGGGCTGCGTGGGCTCCCGACGCGAGCAAGAAGGTCAAGCTGAAGGAATGGTCGTGGAACGAGGAGGCCATCAAAGAGACCCAAGGCGAGGCACCTCCATAGGGGCCGAGTATCAAGCCCTACATGGCTTTCAAAGCCCTTCTTGAACAGCGTATCTGGGGCTGGATGAGGTGGGAGAAGCCGTCCTTTACCTTCAATACGGTACTTCCGGACACCGTCATAGGCCAGACTCTCGACCCGAAGAACCAGGGTATCCAGAGTACCTGTGGGATGGTCAAGTGGCTGTGGGACGGGGTGAACCTGGACGTATTGGCGCAGCTGCAACCGCAGTGGCACCTCGATACTCGCGACGCCGGTCTGCTCTACGTAGTAGCTATGATCACGCCGGGTGTCAACGGCGAGAGGCTTTACGGCTTCGGAGACCGGTACAGCTGGCCTCGTATCCGGAAGATCTTGAAGAACTTGTACCCGGAGAAGGGATTGCCCGAGCTGGAAGAGAATGTTTGGGACTAGACTGATGTGCCGAACAAGCGGTCTGAGGACTTGATCCATGGTCTTGGGAAGGAGGGCTGGACAACTCTAGAAGACAGCGTTAGGGACTGCGCAAAGGGTATCGTGCAGCTGGAAACGTGAGCTGTTCTGTTACGACCGCTATTGACAGGCTGCGATTTGTCTTCATTCCACTGAATTTGTTTGAGGTGATCTAGGGTCATCGTTGGTCTCAAATGACCGTGCCATTTGGTTATGTGAACGGTTGATGCATTGTTGCCTTTGGACAAAGACAACGAATATGCTGGAGAAATCAATACTTGAACCCTTCTTTCAGAACGGGTTAGGCTCCGACATCACAATTCATTGTTTGAACAAGTCCATTGTGTGAACGTCAGTAAGAAAGGCATGGTTTCCCTCTCGACTGGAGCTGTCTGTGGTATAAAGGCTCACTCACCCAACGATAGGACCCCCCTTTTGGAACAGGAAACCAGGAACCTCATACTAACCAGGAACAGCTGTTCAATTACTCACACAACTAAAGCAGTTTCCCCTGGTTCGCAAGAACCTACATCTACCATCAACATGTGCAGGTGCTTCAAATCCACCTACCCCTGCGGGCACACCAAGCGCCGCTGGGAAAACTGCAAAAAAGTCAAGATTGCCAGCCTCCTCAACATCGGTAGAGCTTACGGGTACACTCACGGGTACTTTCACACGTTCTGCAAGCGGAATTTTATAGTACACGAAGAACCAGACCTGGAGGAAACGTGCGGCTCGACCTGCCTGACCAAGCCCTGGAACTGCGGCAAGTGCAACAGCACGAAGAAGCAAGTCAGCTGGCACTGCAGTGAGTGCGGCAGCGTGCGTGATCCGTCGTCTCTACTCTGGGCCTTCTGTCTTTGCACGGGGCATCGCTGTCAGACTCATACACTCGGGCGGGAGATCTGCGGTATTTGCGAGCGAGAGTGTGTCCAGAATGGCCCGAAGCTGGTCTGGAAGTGTTGCAAGTGCTCCCGTTCTTATATCACTGCGGCTAGTGAGATCTATTGCGATAGTGAGGCGTGTCGTCATGTTCGTTGCAGTAAGTGCAAAGCTCTTCCCAAGGTTGATGCTCATTGTAGATGCAGTTGTCTCTAGAACTTTCTTGATAATAGCATGGAGGCCCAGGAAACGTGTGCGAACCGCGAAAGACTATGTCGAAATACAGAAAGAACGATGCAGGCGACCAGAGAAATGCTGTAGAGTGTAATAACATATTTAACAACCTCACGAGTAATATCATTTGCAATTTTCAATTCGCAAGTTTTGACGTCGGGGTGTTCTCTGTGATCTCAAGCAAGAGCTTATCCCCGGCCCCAAATCCGGGCCGGGGTAAGAAGTCTGCGACCTCTGTCCACGACAGTGACTGAATCCTGGAACAACGTGAACACAAGACCAAACAGCCAGCTAAGACGATACCGGTAACTGATGAGCATTCAGGGCGAGCTGGCGAGAATATATCCGGTCTAGTTTCCATGTCCTTGTCCGTGTCCGTATCCGTACAACGGCCCCACAGGCATTGGCATGGATAACTTTACACCATACACGACCTCTACGTACGTATTGGATCGCAAAGCCTTACTAATGTGTTAGAAACGTCATGAGGTTCTTGTTCGGACCATAAAGAGGTAATCAGGTAAAACATCCCCTCCATAAGCTACATGCGGGTCGGAACCGAGTGCGAAAGGCGGAGGATCGGCCATGCCCGGAGATGGGGGGAACATGGGGTGGGGAGCGAATCACCGTCCCCAGGGGAATAAGGGGAGGCTTACAGCACCTTGTAAACTCTTTAGCGAAGGCCGGGGTTTTAGATGAGTATTATCATGCCGAGAAGCCGAGCGTAGGAGACAACATCGTCGTCAAAAGACTTGAAATACGGCTGATTGGGTTGTTGTTCTCAGGCTTCATCAGCTCACTTGTCTGCCCCTATTGTCTTGTGTCCTGAAACCTTCCTTGAAGAAGCTCTACCTACACTCCACAACTGCACCACTGCCCCGAACATGCCCGCCGCCGCTGACGTCGACTCCAAATCGGCCCTGGTGCCGCTATGCCACATCGTGACGCCAGTCGGCATGCTCGGGTACGGCTTCAACGAAGACCAGACGCTGGCCGTGCTCGCTCCGCTGGTCGCCACCAAGGTGCCTACCGCTCTGATCCTGGATTCGGGCTCGACCGACAGCGGGCCGGGCAAGCTGGCGCTGGGCGAGATGAGCGCCCCGCGGAGCTCGTACGCCAGAGACCTGTCCAAGTTGTTGAAGATGGTGCATGCTTTCAAAGTCCCGCTGATCTTCAGCTCGGCTGGCGGAGATGGCACGGATGAGCATGTCAAGGAGATGGTGAAGGTTATTGAAGAGATCGCCGCTGAGGAAGGGAACGAGTGAGTGTTCATCAACAATCTCATCCTGAGACTTCACAGTGCTAATTGTGTCAAAGACACTACTCTCTAAAGACAATTTCAATCTTCTCCGAGATCGAGAAACAGGTAGTCCAGGACAGGCTCCAGGCCGGCGCCATCACCGGCTGCGGCGCATGTGTCCCAGACCTCACAACAGAAGACATCGCGGACTCCCCCCGCATAGTTGGCCAAATGGGCCCCGAGCCCTTCCTCGACGCCATGAACGCCAACCCGGACTTCAACATCATCGTCGGCGGGCGCGCCTACGACCCCTCTCCCTACGTCGGATACGCGTCGCACATCTCCGGCATCGACCTTTCCAACTGGGCCTCCGAGAAAGTCCGCCGCCAATTCGGTGGCTACACCCACATGGGTAAGATCATGGAGTGCGGGGGACTCTGCGCACAGCCCAAGTCCCACGGCGCAGTGGCATCGGTCTATCGGAACGGCACGTTTGATATCACGCCGATGGATCCGCAGGCACGCTGCACGCCGCTGTCGGTGGCGGCGCATACGCTGTATGAGAAGTCGCGGCCGGACATCCTGCATGGGCCTGGCGGGTATCTTGACCTGAACACTGCGGCGTATGAACAGCTGCAGGACGATAGGACGGTCAGGGTGCGTGGGAGTATGTTCCACTTTGCCCAAGAGAGCGGGCTGCCGTATCAAGTCAAGCTGGAGGCGGCGAAGGTAATCGGGTACCGGACCATCACTATGGGAAGCTTCCGCGACCGTACGTTAAAAAAAGCACTCTATTTCTTGTCCGGAGAACACCCATAGCTAATGTTTCTCGACAGCAATTCTATTAGGCCAGATCGACGAGCTGCTCCGACGCGTAAAGCAATACGCCGAAGAGCAACACCGCGGTGTCCCCGGCACCTGGGAGCTCGACTTCCACCGCTACGGCGGGCCCAATGGGACAGCGCCGCTGGCGCCGAGCGGTGCACCGCCTAGCGAGCTGTTCATCATCGCCGAGGTCCTGGCGTCGACACAGGATTTGGCGACCAGCGTGGCGGCGGCGGCCAAGATCGCTTGCACGGTAAGTCTAGCTTCCCTGGCTTAGCATTTGGACCGTTTGGTGACAAGGGCTGACCAGCGCAGCACGGAAGCTACCCCGGCCAGAAGGCAACGTCAGGTAACTTTGCGTTCGGTATTGGTGGGAAGATGACGATCCCACTGGGACCTTGTGCGGAGTTCTCAATCTACCACCTGATGGACCTTAAGGAGGGAGAAGAGCGCCTTGCTCTCGATTGTGAGGCCGAGTCGGCGGAGCAGATCGGAGCCAAGGGCAATGGAGTTGGCACTAGACGGAAGATGCTCTTCTCGCAAACCGTGTCGAACCTTGGTAAAGGGCAGAGATCTTCGCTTCCAGACGAGGAGACGATTTCCGCTCCCTTCCCATCGAAAGCCATCAAATCAAACAAAAGCAGCTCAACAGGCCACCCCAACGGAACCAACAGCAGCCAGACGCCCATGCAACCTACGCAATTCATATCCTCCGGCACGATCGGCGAAGTAGCCCGCATCGTGCGATCCAAGAACGCCGGCCCGTACGAGATCACCTTCGACATCATGTTCTCCTCCCCAGAAGTCTTCCGCACAGTCAAGGAGTCGGGCTTCCTGTGCCAAAAGACGGTGGCGAGCGCGCTGGGCGTGCCGGAGACGGACATCGTGTGGAGCGGCTTCTTCGACCCGGCGCTGGCGTTCAAGGCGACGATACCGCGCGTGCGGGCTGGGAGGCGCGTGCCGGGGGGCAGTTTCATGGAGAACGATGTGCATGGCTCGCAGCAGTATCTGCCGCTGATGTACTTGAAATTGCCGGAGGAGCTGGTGGTGTAGCTGGCTGAGTGTCGGGATGTGCGAGGATGTTTGTATGAGGTAACTGTTGGTTGTGGTATTTTTTATACGTGGTCTCATTAGTCTAATAGCAGTACAGCGTTTTATCACGTTCATCATCTTCATCATCGTCATTGTCATCAACCTCTTAACCATCGCTTTGCCGTGTCTATTCAGTCCATCCCCAACGGCCTGGAGTGAAACTGATTGGGGGCAGCTCCCGGGAGGTTGAACATCTCCCACACCGGATCGCTCCAAAACTCATTTGTGAAGGGCATGTCCGCACCCCAGGGCGGTTCCAACGACACGCCATACATATCCGGATGTCCCATATTAGACGGGTCCGGGTGCATCGTCGGCAGCGCCGAGAGCTGGGGCTCCGTCATTTCGAGCGCATCGCCTCGGACGCCCGACTCGTCCTGGATAGCATCCAGCAGCATAAATACACCCATGCGGTCAGAAAGCTGTAATCTGTGCGGGTCGGAAGCCATGGGAGCCTGCTGACACAGCGTCTCGAAGAGCGACGCCATCCTCCCCCATTCGTCGCGACTGTTTGTGGCACAGGCCTTGAATATGGTATGTGACAGGACGACGTGATTCGCGGCGAGCTGCTGCTCCTCCGCCGTCGCCGTGATGTTTAGACTGAAGTACCGCAGGAGGAAGCCGGTTGTGAATGCCAGGCCTTTGAAGTAGTGCTTTGGGAGCGCCTTCTGCCGCTTCCCGACGGGCAGGCCGTGCGTTTCGGCTACGTGCTCGTGGAAGCGCGCGTTGGCGAGGTGGATGATGCGCAGGGAGGCAGAGAGGGCCAGTTTGAGCAGGATACCGCGGGGCATTGCTCCCAACCTCCCTCGTGTGATCACAAGAGCGTGGAAGTGTACCTTTCCGACGAGGACGCTGTACTCTAGCATGCGCGTCCATTGGTCGGAGAACGCAACTCTCAATGTGTCGAGCTCCCGGTCCAGCAGTTGCAGGATAGACGAGTCAACGGTTCCGTCGTTTGATTGGTTGGAGAGGACGTTGGTAAAGTTGGTGATGACGACTTGGAGCTTGATTTCGGCGGCGAAGTCCCGCGGTATTGCGTACTCGTTGAGATACGCTGCAATTGTGACGAGGTCTGCCGACGTGTTTATCATAGCGGGCAAGCCGAGGTGCATGCTTAGACTAACAGGGGCGCGTCAGTAACCAGTAGGTCAGTTGCGATTCCATGAAACTTACGAGCTGCTGACGTAAAAGCACCCTAGCCATGTCATAGCTCTTCCGTGAGAGCTCTCAGCGAGGAGGCGGATAGATCGCGATGGAGGCGGTCCAGGTCGGTGAAGACCCATCAAAAACGCAGAGTTTACAGCAATCCCGAGGTACAACCAACTCGGATCTTTGGACTGTCCACGTGGGCATGTGAGCTATGGTACTCCCATACGAGATTGAGGCGCATCCCCTATGTAAGAAACTATCCAGCCTGGGCAGTGGCAGAGTTTTGTTTCAAGATGGAGAGCAATGGTTTTTCAAAGACCACATTCTGGGCTGGGGGGCACGGGGTTACGGGCGAACTTACCTGTTTATCAACTGGTAGAGGCCATAAGCACAAAAACAGGAGCGCATGGATATTGTGTAACGGCAGTGGTGCTTCCAGCGCCTCCTCCTTGACCAATCGCTGAAATGGTTCATTTATCCGCTCGTAGAGGCTCTCATCTGATGGCAGTGTCGTGTGAGAAGCCACAATGGCGACGATGCTCCAGAAAAGAAAAGGCGAAGAGTGGTAGATATTATTGACCGAGATAGTTCCGATGAGAGGCAGGTGAGGATGGAAGAAGGCAGTGAATCTGCAACCAGTGGTAAGTACGACATGGTGCTTTGTAGAAGGGTATCAGCAGCCAGCACGAAGCTGGTCTTGTTGCGAACTTACATCTCGAACGCATCAACTGCCGACTGACAGTTGACGGAAACAACACCAATATTAAGCGACGCCTCGTCCAGGTCGAAGTCGTCCATTATCATTAGTGGCGTAGAATAGGGTGCATTGGCAGATGCGTCCTGAGAGATGCCCGACTCTGTACTCGTCGTCGACGGCGCTCTGACACTGACACCCTGCCGGGTTCGAAGCTCGTTCAGCTCTTTGGACATGGCTTCTAGCCGCCTGTATCGATTTAACAATTCAAGCGTTAGCCGCATACGCGTCGGAGACGGGACTGAGAGCAACGCTGGCGAGGAGTAGGACCGAAACGCACTTCCTAGCTGGCGTCCGTCTGAAAGAGGGGTCCACGGTGCAGGTGAGCTGTCTCGCGTGACATCTCGAACACGGATTCGGGGACTGGTCCTTGGAATCACATCGGAGCTGTAGAATTAGTCAGTGATAGACTTCGTCGCTGTGTATAAGGGGGTGAGTGCACCTTGGACTGTTTGCACTCGGTGCAAGTCTTGACCGGCCTGATGACCGGCCAGCTAGACGTGCTCGCAGCCATTATCAAAGCGGCTAGAGTCTCTTATATAAGGTAGTTACCTTGACGGCTATAAAAGTAGAGACGGTGGTCAAAAGACGGCGCTTGAGCGCTATGGAGAAGCTATGCCGAGATAACAAATCAATCTGATATCGGGACACAGATATTGGATCCAGTTGAAGACGGGATGATGAATAATAAACGTCCACTCCGATGTCACCAAGCAGTCCCCCCTTGAAGGCATAGCGACGGGATCAGCGATGGGGATGATGATCTGCCCAGCAACGGAAGCTGAAGAAGGGTCGCAGTAGCAAGGATCCGCTTATTGGGCTGAACTGTTACCAAAGACCATGAGAGAAGCGACCCATCTTCCGAAGTCCATTCCGTCGTCTCTGCCCTGTGACTGTATTCCGCTTCCAGAAGATTGGCTGCATTACGAAGGTCAAGACCCTGAACGTTACGACAGATGAGGCGGAGCAACTATAGTCTCGATCTCTTCACATGTGCCGCGTGCGCGCGAAAGTTCGCCAAACCGTCAGCCTATGGGCGGTTGTCATTCACGTCTGCGCCGCCGGACTGCCTATCATGCAGGAGATGAAACATCACCTCAGCCCCCCCGACCTGACGTCGCATCTGCGTGGAAAGTCCCCAGATATTTCCCGAGCCCGTGTCTCTTGATCTCGCTCAGGTCAGCGGCTCGTTCGTTCGCGGCGTCCGCAGCTCACCGCGACGTAAGCTCGATGAGATCGTGGCTCGGCGCTGGGTTTAGTCCATAGAAATATCCTTATCACCAGCCGAACTTCGTAAGTATAATTCTGCGTAGTCCGCTGTTCGACCACCCCGCGCAGAGAACGGCGTGTGTGCCGCATGGCTACATTATGTATTTACGTGGCACACACATGCAGGCACAGAAAAGTAGGTGTGTATTGTGGGTAAAGCATGGTTGATTAAAAGCGAAAGTACCCCTGACTTCTAAGGCTGACTGCTGCTAGTTGGAGCGGAATAAGGTCTTGCCGTGACGTCGGCGTTCAGACCTTCATTTCGCTGCAAGCCCGAAAGGATACGGCCGTAGCAAGGACAATGGTGTGACTACAGGTCCTACAGAAGGGCTGAATACGGCCTTGAGGGTCAAGTGTGCCCTACCTAGTGCTCCACGCAGACAGCAGACATCCACCAGATAACACACGCCGCTTTCTGGCATCCTGCAAGATCGCATACTATTTCCAGCACTTGGACAAGTTGGACTCTGTGTCGTCACAGTGATCCTTTGTCGTTATCCCTCAGGACTCCGGCCGCCGTTTCTTGGCTCGCTCTGCACATGTCATGTAATATTCTCTGGAGAATGCCTTGGGGATGCATGGGGGAAACTACCCGTCCCTTGAATGAGCAATGCCACTTCCAAAAAGGGGATTTACTTGCGAAAAGGAATCAGTCAGTAACATGTCCCTCAAGCGGCACAGGCAAATCAGACGACATCAGGTCGACATCACCCTGGTCTTTCGCTGATTACAAATGAGAGCTTGAGGGTGGGAAGGATCACATTGCGGCACGTAGCTGAGGCACCAGATGTGACCTACGAAAGGAGCGGCTCGGAAATATCCTGGTTCCGGTTGGCATTCCGGCAAGGCATCGCCGTTTCTCCCCAAAATCGATCGGCACAAGCTTATCGTAGATACCAATGGTCAAACCCCGGTCCGGATCCTTGAAGCGGACACCCTGACACCCCCGCGAGACGGGATTTCTCCTAGACCGACGCCATCTCCATCGCTATGACGCACGTTCGACGAACCATAAAGCTCGGGTATGAGTGCAAAGAACAAAACTGAAGCTTCTCCCACAATTTCCCAAGCAAACTTTTATCCAAAATTGTTTTCTTCAACGCGGATGAACGTCGTGGTATCTGGGCCTAACTTAAATGCCTGATGAAGACTATGGTAACCTATGGCCAGACGTAGTTTGAGTAGTACTAACTGGAATGTTTGGATCTCATGAGAGGAGCTTACAGTATTGTATTTACGCTCGTTTCTACCTCATGGACTTACACCGTCGTCATGGAGTTTCTGTCCGTCAAATTTTTATTTTTTTTTGCAGGTGTGAATACATGCCGGAACACTCTCTCGTTGATGATACCACTCAACGTACCATTGCCTCGCTGGAGGTCATTAGCTTCAGCTCTTTTCGTATCACACAGCAAAGTCTGGAGGCGAATGGGCTAATTTTTGCTGCTCAATAGCGAATATCTGAGACTAGATCCTTGACGGTAACTGTCAAACAGCGTGTATGAGGGTTCATATGGATGATCTTCGTGTATTCAGTGATGGTACGTGATGTGTGTGTGTATGTGGAAGGATCTGCTGTGAGCTAGGTGGTCCCAAAATGCCCTATTGGCCCTGTTCAGTGCACTGCCACCTCCCTGAACGCCACGGTGGCTTGCGCGCCATTCAACAGGAATAGGGGCAAGTGCCGAGTTGGTGGCCACATGGCACATGCATCGCTGATGTTCGCATGATGTTACGCGTGAATCGCGGGCGGACGTAATGCTCTGGCGGATTTCCCTCTTCCGTGCTGGCCTCCATGGAAGCAGCGACGGGAATTTTTGTGACTGTGTTCGAATCTTCAGGGCCATGAATCAACAATCTTAGCCGTCAACGGGCCGTCGAGTTACGGAAAAGTTGGCATAGTCCAGCCGAGAGCTTGCTTGCGACTCACCCAGGCCGTCGCAGCCCCAACTCCAATGACTGCTCGCGGGATCTTCCCTGCATGCTATAAGGTTTGCGGGGAAACTCATGCCGACTCGTGGGTGACGTTGAGCTACCGGGTTCCAACCAGCTGAAGCCAAGGCCCAAGCCTTGTGCGCCCGATATACTATGCGCTACGGATTATTGTGACTTGGGGGGCAGTTGCCAACTTCCAACTGTTTGGCACCGCGATGATGAAGCGCCAAGAAATCGGACGTCAGCATCGATGCTTGAGCTCGTCATGTGGGTGTTAGACGGAAACTCAATGGACTGGATGAGTTCGAGATCGGAAGATCGGACGACCATATAAGGAGGTAGTAATAACACGCTGCCGTCTCAACATCCTCAGATAGGACACCTTCGCCGATACAGACATCACAGCTCAGAATAATCTGTATACTTACCACGCTTCATTCTTCGATCGCAAACCAACCGGCCAAGACCCCAAAATGCAGCTCCAAGCCATCCTCGTTGTCTCCACCTTCGCCGTCCTCAGCACCGCGCAGGGTACCGACGCCAGCAGCACCTCGCAGAGCGCTGACTCCAGCAGCACCTCGCCGGGAGTCCTGCCCAGCAACTTCCCCTCAGTCTGCGGCTCGGAATGCCAGGACTTCATCCAGCTCTCGACTACGTGCGGCCAGCAGAACAACAACGACGACAACGCGCAACGCCAGTGCATCTGCAACGGCGTCAATGCGCAGTCTCAGGCCACCAGCTGCGCTGCATGTGCCAAGGTGAATGGACAGAATGACAACAACAGCGGTGAGTGATGCTCTCCGCCCATCTCCTCCCCTCCTCCGTGCTGCTGGCGCCTGTGGAGCCTCGCCGGTGCTGCAAGGGGAAAGAGGAAGTATGTACGAATTTTGGCTGACAACTGACGCTTCCACAGACCTCGCCAATATCATGAATGCCTGCGGCTGGAACTACGCCGGCGTCGCCGTCCCCTCGGGCTCGGCTTCGAGCATCACCTCTAGTGGCAGCGGGAGCTGTGAGTACCTTGGCTTTCATCCCTCAATAACCAACTGTCGACCCCTGCTTTCGTTATTCGACGCCCAGATGGACGCACAAGATTTTACCTACCCTGAGACACGTTGCGGTATTCTCACAGCCACTGCGAATGAGCAACTACTGACTCTTGATCCTGCAGTATTCTCGAGCAGCAGCGGGATGCTCTCCACTACCGCTTCCGGAACTGGAGGAGGAGTAGTTACGAGCACTGGCACGGGGGGTGCAGGAGGTGTAGGAGGTGTGGGAAACACGGGAGGTGCTGGTAACACGGGCGGAGGCTCGAGTCCAACTGTTGTTCAGGGGGTGGCGCCCGCTATGACCGCGGCCTTCGGCGGAGTTGTTGCGGGTTTGGCGGCCGTGCTGCCGGCTCTGATGTAAGTGGCAGGGTCAAGCATAGGGGTCCAAAGTATGTGGTCGGAAAGGATACATAACAAGGGCGGGACATGGGAGTGCTGTGAGATGAATCTTGGTCGGGGTGTTATGTAATATGAGGCCAAGTGGTTTTTAATAATTGGGGATAAAGGGTCTCCCTGATAAGGAGATATGTTGGTAGGGGTAGGGCCCGTGCTGTCCAGTGTCTTGGAAATGGGATCTTAAATTTTCACTGGTCTAAGCATAGCGATAACACTTGCCACCACCCTCAGTATCCATGATCTGGGACATTTTTATGTCCCCATCCATCCCTCCCACTGGGGTGATATCATCCAGACTTACGGGTGCGCCCGTAACTCTGTCCGCCGTGCCGCTATGCGGGACCTCACGGGAGCTGTGAAACTCCAAAATCTCCCCTGATCCCGTTCGGAATCGTGTTGTGGGGACCGTTCACCATGCCCTTGAAGAAGTCCTCGTAATTCCGAGCTTGCATGATTCCTCCAATAACTGCTGGGCTGATGTCCTGGCCCCTGGAGAAGTTCGCGGTGAACCCGCGCGAGAAGCATCAAGTCGATTATATACGTGTATCGGCGGCCTGTCTCACTTGAGTCCCTGGTCGTTGCTTGAGGGACGGCGTTGCTTTCAACAGCCACGAACCCTGAGCGTTCACTGCCCATTTCAATGCCTCCTCACCTTGTGGTGACCCTCTGATGCCCTTAATTGAAATATCCGATGTCTCCGAACCGCGAGCAATCAGCCATGGCATGGGATTAGATCATCCTATTATGCAGATTATTTATGTTAGCCACTTGACAATCCGATCGTTTCGACGGCAAATGAACGATAACCTTTGCCCAAGAATTCTACAACCCCAATCACTTGTGAGGCACGACAAGACTAAGGTTTATTGCGTATGTACTATTTCACCATTAAAATACCTAGGCTGAACATTGCTTAGCCTGCCTTAGACAGGTCCATCTCCCTACCAATCTATTTGCTGCATTGTGGACCGCCGGACGACGTAGCGTTCGAGTACGAGAACGCATATTCAACCGTGTAATGGTCCTGTCCGCGCCATTGCCCCTATCCCAAGTCAGTATGAAAAAACAGATAGTGGCAGATTGAAGTGAATACTTACATCATTGACAGCATACGAGCTATCCCAGGACTGGGTATACATGGCGCAATACTGTCCCTGGGAATTGCCGTTCTTCGCCATCAAGTACGTCGTGAAGAAAGTGCAGATCATGGGCTCGCCCTGGGCCGGCGGGTGCGCCACGTTGTACTGGTTCTGGGAGGTGCAGGCAGCGCCACAGAGGCTGGGATCAAAGATGCTGGTGCTGAAGATCTTGGAGCCCATGTAGGTGTTCTGGCCAAGGCAGTTATTCGGTGCGTTGATGGTGGAGTTTCCGAGGGATTCACCTTCGAAGCCGGAAACGGCCGGGACGGCCGTCTTCATATAGCCGTTGGAGCCGGCGATCACGACGTGGAAGTCGTCGCGCCACTGGCCGTCGTTCTTCGCGTTCTCCGCGGCGACGTAGCCGCCCCAAAGCACGCACTTGATGACGGTGGTGGAGGGCGGGTTCGGGCAGTCAGCTGCAGGCTCGACGGTTGGGTCCCGTTCGAAATAGATGTTGACTCCTGAGCACCCTGTAATGGTGTCGCACTGTGCGGCGCAGGCGCTGGTGTCGTAGCTGTCCAGAGTTCTGTAGCCCAGGTAGCCATAGGCGATGCTGCTAGCCTGAAGGTCGGTGTAGGTCTGCTGATATCCAGACGGAACGAGGGCGCTTGTCGCCGCGTCTGAGAAGTCTGCGAACTTGAGGAAGCTATCGTCATTATCGACATCCGGAACGGGGCCAGCTCCGGTTGGCTGCACCTCGCAAGCCGTTCGGGCTGCAAGGTCGCGTTTAGTGGCGGCAGGGACAGTGAGGGGATCGGCAACGGCCAGCTGGGTGGCTGCTGCTAGGTCGTAGTTCACGGAGTCGGCTGTCGGCCCTATCGGGACGGTGACTAACGTCGGATCAGGGGCCGAGTTCACGAGGTCGACATCAATGGCTTGACGAGGGACAAGGGGCGAGGCCGCGGCAAAAGACACCAAGGTCTGTAGAATAACAGCTTGTGTCTTCATGGTTCTGTATTGTGAGGACTAGAAACCAGAATTTGTGTCGGGGAAAGCGAGACAAGAGTTGAGACCGATGGTGATGGTGATGGTGAAGTGAAGTTGGTAGTTGGCTCGAAAAGGAGAAGATCGCCCGCCTTATATGTTCAACTCCCTGATGTATTGCATGATCACGTTGTTGACTTCCGTTCCACCTAGTGCGGCCGAAAGTGGGCAGTCATGAACGCCTTGCTGCCCCTGGCTATGGGACCATGTCGTTTTCTGGTCCAAGACATGGCGTTGCTTGCCTGATGGAAGTTCAGTCCCTCTGCCCATCAGCTACCAGGCCAGTATTATCAGCCGCAATAACGGGCCCCTTAGTATATCAATAGTGCGAAGCCCTGGTGTAACGGGGTATAGATCAGATCCTGGCGGTACTCAGCCTTAACCTATACAAGACATCACGCCGCGCCCTGGAGGTTGATGACAGGTGAACCTGGAAAGGATATATTAGACGAGGGCTTTAGCTGGAATAAGGATACTGCGTAGTACGCCTCGTGCTTCCTGAATGGCACGCAGAGGCGATAGGTTGAGCATTCGTTTCCAATCTATTTAACCTAGGTGAACAGAACATCATTTCGGGCTTCGGACCTCTTATCGAATACAGAGAGCTAAGCTAGCCCAGCGCTACGGCCCGCGCCTATGCCCATGCCCATACGCCGGTGCGGTGCAGGTGTGGTGCTGGCTCGCGTAGACCTGCCAGGGCATGCGCCTGGACGCGTTCCCTCCACCGCCTCATTATGTTGGCTTGGTAGGCCTGGCTGAAGAGAACTCCCCTGCAAGGACAGTTCACAACTTCTGTACGGGTCGTAAATACGAAGAAGTGCGTAAGTGGGGGATGCGATCTGGATACGGTCGTGTGGAGGACTTCATAGCCCTTAGTAGGGACACTAACTTAGAGGGCGAAAAGGCTGCTGACTCAAGAGTCAGACTCGTGACCCTAGAAGCTCTTGGCTGACTAGCGATTTCTTACGTAGCCTCGGTCCCGAGATGAGGAGAGAGCCAACCACCTATCCTCCCCGTAAACTCCAGCTCTGACCACGCCGTTTCTCTTGGCTGCAGGGGATCTCGGTATAGTCTCATGACCTTGCAACCGAGCCCAGGGCTGGAGTCTTGCCGAGAGCAAACTGACTTCGCCTACGAACAATGTTGGGGTAATAGATCAAGCGAGTATGCAGAGGACACCATGATAGCAAGGCGAACATGCAAACTCAGAAAATATGATCGTTGAGAAACAGTTTCGGGGGATTCTTATGTGCCTTCGCGAAGAAAATGGAAACTCTACGGTCATAATGGCGTGACACGGTGAGATTACATGAATACTTTACAAATACGGTACCACCAAAGATGACACCATCACGGCTTGAAACCCGAAGCCTGAGCCTCTGAGCAAAACAATCAAGTCGGGGGTCGGACTGGATGTGCGAGCTGTGAGAATGGAGCTCATTTACACACGACTGCGGAGAAGGAAAGGTATTGTAACCGCAGCCGGGAAGAGTCCATGGACGAGGACGACCACAGTGACATTGCGGCTACCTCGATGCTCCATTTATTGATTGATTGAAATTTCATACACCAGAGAAATCAAAACTACATACACATTAGTCCGTATGGGTAACAGCCCACCCCCAAGCGGAATACAGCGACTTTTCCCCCGAGCTAAGTCTACATTAATTATCAATTATTCTCTCATAAAAGACTGAGTCAAAACCGAACATCATGAGAGCCTGCCTAGACGCCGGGAAGACCAACCAATTAGATAGCAAAGGATACCTCTCTCCCATAGTCCCTCAGCAGTGTCTACCTCGACACCAGGGGCTCCCGGGATTGAGCTGACACGAGACCGTCGACGGTGGTGCGACTGATGGACTGAGCAAACGGCGAGCGTCTGCGCATTGAGGGACCTTTCCAGTAGATGACGAAAGTTGCAGCTACCAGTAGCAAGCTGATAGCGGCGAGGACCGTATTCGCTATCTGGAGACCATTATGCATCTGGAAGCTATGGTAATATGGAGCAGCGAGCCAGGTCAGACAACCGGCGAGGAAATCGCGGGCAAACCCGTTGCCTCCGGTGGCAGAAGCGGAATAAGGGCCATAGGCTGCGACCATGTAATCAATAGTTGCCATATAGATCGCGTAGTTGGCAATTCCGATGAACACGCAGCCGATCATGGGCGCGATCCAGTGGACAAGTGGTGTGCTCGTCCAGGCGAAAATCAGCAAGCCGATGGGGAGACACGGAGCCATATATAGCAAACACCACATGCGGGATTCGTATTGAGCGTGTTCGGATAGGGGGTGGGCCTGCCTCAGTCGTCTGTTGCGTCGGAAGATGGGGATGAAGAGGAGGTAAGCCAAGACATAGGCAAGGCCAATAGGGAGAAAAGCCTGCCAGTGATGTCAGTTACCGAATCAGTCCAGCCCACGATAACTCAATAAAAGGGTGAACATACCAGTCCAGTCTGGATTTTTGTGAAGCCCCAGTTCCCGAAGACCAGACCGAATGATTGAATTTGCATGAAGATCAATGCATCGCTGAAACCAGAGAGCGCCGACAAGACCGACACAATCGGCTCCATGACGAACATTTTGAAAGGGCGACCCCAGATGCTCAACATCTCCTTTAGAGCGATGTATTCCTTCCATGACTTCAGTTCGTTGGGACCGTAGGCATTGGGCCTCTGGTTCGAGGCCCGAAGTTTCTTGGCATGTGCGTCGAGAAGGACGGAAGAGCGAGTCTCGGGGACGAAGAAGAAATGGAGCATCTGAACGAATGCTGAGACGATCAACTGTATCCAGATCGTCCACTGCCACGGCAAGTCTGTCTCAACAAACCCTCCAACGATGGGACCGACAATGGAGCCTCCGACCGACGAGAGAACGATGTATGCGAGCGGTAGTTCTTGCTGATCCGTGGTAAACATATCTGCGACCATGCCGAGAGTGACACTACCGCCAGCAGAGAAGAGACCGCCAAAGGCCCGGCCGACGAGGATGGAAGAGATACCGCGAGGAGCCAGTGCTACTGGCAAGCAGCAGATGTTCACTAGGAAGAGGGATGCCTGAAGAATTGGCTTGCGTCCAAATTCCTCGGACCAGGGCGCCCAACTGACCGATAGATTAGCAGGACGATCAACGTGTCTCATCGAAAGATCACACTCACAGTTCACAGCCAAAGGCATAGGTGATGAGGAAGATAGCGGCGCCGCTGACGGTGGTTTGCGGGCTTACTTCAAACTGTCGGGCAATGCCAGCCTGTCCGTTCGCATACAGGGAGGTGTTCAAGTTCATGGAAGTCTGGACGAGGAAGATGACGGTGAGAATCCTCCACTTCTTCAGGGTCGAGTAGTAAAAACCGAGAGCCTCAGGGTACTCCTGTTCTGTGATGATGACCTTTCCATCATCCCTGACAACATGCGAGTCCTGCGCGTCGATCATCGGCTTCGTGGAGCTCTCAGTAGCCGTAGCCTCCAGAGGGACAGCTGAAGTATCCTGTGCAATATTGTCTTCTTGCTCACCTACATATCCTCGTGATGCAGGGGCCTTGGTGAAAGGATTCCTCAGCGGGATGGAAGCCATGCTGTCGATGGGAAGTCGAGAGCTTGGAGAAGGAGAGTTGAGAACGAATGTTGCAAATGAGAAAATAACTTTCACCTCAGAACGTTTTTCCCATAGTGAAAAGAGGGGAAGCAGTCAATTTAAACCAAACGAAACTCACGCGTGGGCATGCCGGTCCAAACGAGTTGGCGCACCGGAGTGTTGAGAGTATATTTAGATTAGAGTTCGCGCGTGATCCAGCCACATCTTACCTACCATTTGGTATCTCCACTCCTGATTGAGTCTTGGAAGATGGACAGACGCATTATTCCACTGTGCTGATGTCTCGGGGGAACAGGTGGTTAGTCAACAATCGCCAACATGCTGTCAACACTTGCTGGTTGTATCCCGAGGTCGAGCCCGCCGTCTGATCGTGAGACAACAGAGCTGTGTGAATGCGACGGCGATGTGGAGCCGAAGAGACCTTTCCCACACGCCCCGGAGGCAGAACAATGGATCTGTCCTCGACACTGGGTCTGGGGAAATACGCCCATGGCTTGGGACGGTTCAGTGCTGACCGCTCTACGTGCGGAGAGGAACAGCTGCAGGCCGACACATCAGCAAAGTATCGGTACAGAGATACGCGCCGACCAGCGCAAACCAAACCGTGCTGACGACTTATATAGTATCGCTTCCCCAGACACTGTCATCGCTTGTCATTGCCCGGGGGCGTCACTGGGAGTCCGTCCCTACTCTCTGGTAGGGACGCTGAGGGCATGAAGGTAGGGGCCCTCCCATTGAGGAGCAATGGTCTTCGTTCCCAGGCGGAGACTACACGAGAACGACCACAGCATGGTGAATTTCTTTATTTCTTCGAGCCCAAGAACCATCCATCGGATGGCTTGAACTGGGCGTATTCGGCGTGACTTGAGCAGGTGGTCGATCCAGTTGACGATGAACCTTGGGAGTGAGTTGCTCACGTGCTGGTAATAAGCTTTCCCCGGCTTCTGTTAGTCACATAAGAGGCTGAGTGGCACGTGAGTGGCAGGAGCTGACTCAGCCTTCCAGAGACCCGCATCGATATTTGATTAGCTAGGCTTCGCCACCTCCAGCCACATGTACCTCCAGCCGGGACTCCGCCAAAATTTCGAGACCAACGTGAGGACATTCGAAAGCAAACATTGAAGCGGGCTTGACGAACTTACCTGTTTCTGCTTTCTGTCTCGCATCTCGACCACACCCTTCACTTCTACTCCAGCCAGTGGCGACATCATCGATCATGCCGCCTCAAATCAAGCAAGACCTGAACCGCTCAGGTTGGGAATCCACCGACTTCCCCTCCGTATGCGAAAACTGCTTGCCGCCCAATCCCTACGTCAAGATGCTGAAGGAGGACTACGGCGCCGAGTGCAAGATCTGCACGCGACCATACACAATCTTCTCGTGGCCAGCCGATCGCTCCCACGGCCGAAAGAAGCGCACCAACATCTGCCTGACTTGCGCGCGCATGAAGAACTGCTGCCAATGTTGCATGCTGGACTTGCAGTTCGGTTTGCCCATTCAGCTGCGTGACGCCGCGCTCAAGATGGTCGCGCCCGGCCCTAAGAGCGAAATCAACCGCGAATACTTTGCCCAGAACAACGAGAAGGCGCTAGAGGACGGCCACGGCACCGAGGAGTACGAGAAGACGGACGAGAAGGCGCGGGAGCTGCTGCGGCGGCTGGCGAACAGCAAACCATATTTCAGAAAAGGGCGGGCGATCGAGGATGGCAGTGCAGATTCGAGCGCGGCAGGGAGTGCTACGGGTGGGAATGCTGCGGTTGGCGCTGGTGTCGGTGGACCGGGACCGATACGGACGCGCGACTCGAGAGCGGCTGCAACAGCTGGTGCGAAGCCAGGCAGGAGACCGTTCCCTAGCGCATCACAACTGCCACCCGGCCCCAAAGACTACATACCACCGAACGACACGTCGATCATGAGCTTGTTTGTCACGGGTGTCGAGGACGACCTGCCCGAGTACAAGGTTCGCGACTTCTTTAAAGAGCACGGCAAGATCAAGTCCCTCATCTGCAGTCACATGTCACACTGCGCGTTCATCAACTACGAGACGAGAGAGGGGGCCGAAAGGGCAGCGGAGGCGTGCAAGGGTCGTGCTGTCATCGCGGGCTGCCCGCTGCGCGTACGGTGGTCCCAACCTAAATCGATCGGGACTATGAGCAAGGACGAAAGAGCCGAGATGGCCAGAGATGGACGATCAGCATTTGGGGACCAGAGACGAGGACAAGGACCTCGCAAGGCTATTGCAGAAGCACCAGGACAGGAAGGCGGAGGGCAGGTTGGGGCATCACAACAAGACCTCGATGAGTTGTCTGCTGCTGCTCCACCGCCTGGCTCAGGGGATGTCAACTACGCCAGCTTGGCCGGCGATTAGACTTGGGTGGATTCGGGGGAAGTTCATTCTGCATGATCGGCGTTGGGCGTGTTGCTTCCGAAAAGGAGGCTGGAGCGAGGCATCGGCTTGTTACGGTCTTCTCTGGCTCGAGAGGTCGTCATCATGCATTCTGTTGGTACACTGGGTATCATGATATAGTACAAACACTCGCGGACTTCACTTGTCCTCTTCACTTATCAGCGCACGTCTTTCCATCAATTTTGACCTTCTGGCCATTCGGCATCGTGATGGTGTCGTTGTCGCCTCGTTCTGTGTCTTCGTGTATCCGTAGCTCTGAAACTCCAGTCAGCGAGTCTGGCAGAGAACGCCATGATGTAGGAATTCCGACATACTATATGTGTCCCCATCCTTCCTTCCCTGCACTATGTTCTGCCGTAACATCGCCGCGACCTCTTCAGCGTGCTTGATGGATGCTGCGAAATTGGGGTTGGACGGCTCGAGGGAGACGTTGGCGCGGAAGCCTTCGCGGATAGACGACCGTGCGGCGGTCAGGACTCTTTCGTCGCCTGTTCAATAAGCATTGTCAGCCGAGACCTGGGGGTCTACACGACCGAGCATCGTGGGGTTTGGACGCACCTTGAAAAGCTACCCGCGCAGCTCGGAGCAGGTTCCTGTAAGTCGGTAACGCCTTTGACATTTTGAAAGTGGCGAGAAGGGAAAAGAGGGCCTATCGTCTGCTGAAGGTTCGGTCAAGAGGTCTATGCATGTATGTATGCAATCCGGCCAACAGAACTGTCCCGAGTCTCGACCCGAAAGGGCATCAAAAAGTGAAGCTTGTGAAAATTGTAGAGTTATTCATTGTGGCTTGAGTGCTGGCGACTGGGGCTTATACGGCATGACGCCACACTTCATCCTGCTAGGTCGGTGGTTAGCAACGCCGATCTTGACCTGGGAATTCCAGAGAAAAAAATCCCCAAACAGCCCCACGCCCTTTTGGCTGCTTCTTTTTCTCCCTTCCAGACTGCCAGAACAAGCGAAACCACACCAGCAACGACAATGGCTGCAACAACCACAGTCACACGGTCTTTGCCCGCGCTGCCGGAGGGCTGGTCCGCCGACAAGGACTTCAAGCCCATCACCAAGATCACTGCCTCGTCGCAGCGAACCATCGAACCCGTCGGACCTCACTTCCTCGCCCATGCCCGCCGTGCTAGACACAAGCGCACATTCTCCGAGGATGACCGCATCCAGGCGCAGGAGTCCGCCAAGAAGATCGAGAAGGATGACGAGAGCGATGAGAGCGAGCCCGAGGACCCCATGATGCTGCAGCGCGAGGCCAAGGATTGGAAGGTAAGCATTGCGCTCCGTCTCTCTACTGCTCTACTTATAGTTTGCTAATGCGATGTCTACTTTCTAGTCCCAAGATCACTACCAAGTTCTGGGTATAACCAAGTACCGCTGGAAGGCCACCGAGGACCAGATCAAGCGCGCCCACCGCAAGAAGGTCCTGAAGCATCACCCCGACAAGAAGGCGGCTCAAGGCAGCAGTGAGGATGACAGCTTCTTCAAGTGCATTCAGAAGGCTACCGAAGTCCTGCTCGACCCCGTTAAGCGACGACAGTTTGACTCGATCGACGAGAAGGCTGACGTCGAGCCTCCGTCCAAGAAGGAGAGTGGCAAGAACTTCTACAAGCTCTGGAGCAGGGTCTTCAAGGCCGAATCCCGCTTCTCCAAGCAACAGCCCGTGCCTATGTTCGGCGACGCCAACTCGACAAAGGAGGAAGTCGACAATTTCTACAACTTCTGGTACAACTTCGACTCGTGGCGTACGTTTGAGTACCTGGACGAGGATGTACCCGACGACAACGAGAACCGTGGCCAGAAGCGCCACATGGAGCGCAAGAACGCCAACGCACGCAGCAAGAAGAAGGCCGAGGACAATGCGCGTCTGAGAAAGATGCTGGATGACTGTTCGGCTGCCGACGAGCGCATCAAGCGCTTCAGACAGGAGGCCAACGCCGCCAAGAATAAGAAGAAGAACGACAAGGAGGCTGCTGAGAAGAAGGCCAAGGAGGATGCTAGGCTGAAGAAGGAAGCCGAGGAAAAGGCGGCAAAGGAGGCCGAGGAAAAGGCCAAGGTCGACCGCGAGGCCAACAAGAAGGCGAAAGAAGCCGCCAAGACAGCCGTCAAGAAGAACAAGCGTATCCTCAAGGGCTCTGTCAAGGATGCAAACTACTTCGCTAGTGGTGATGCCACTGCCGCGCAGGTCGATGCCGTCTTGAACGATGTTGACTTGATCCAAGGCAAGATCGACCCGGATGAGATTGCTGCTCTGGCTGGCAAGCTCAACGGCCTCAAGGTCGCGGACGAGATCAAGGGAGTGTGGAGTGGAGAGGTTAAGCGTCTTGTCGGCGCTGGCAAGCTGAAGGACGGCGAGGCGAAGTCTTTGGTGTGAGCTATCGAGCTAGACCGTGTACTCTGGGAGGGAAGTTATACAGATAGACAAATACCACGACTGCGATAGACATGATCGATCAACCTGCTTTCTACACTGAATTTTGCGAGCTTTGATGTGCCTTGGCTCGTTTGCCATTGGGCAAAACAAGTTAACCCGTTCCCGTCAAGTATCTTGACCGCCCCCTCTCTCACAGTATTGATAGCGGTAGGATACAATCCCGCCGCAACCGCGATCCTCGCAACCCCCATCGCAGCCAGCTCCCTCGTCGCCGGCGCACTCTTTCCACTCCCCCAAGTTCATCGCAACCCGACATTCCGCATCCGCATGAGCTCAGGATTGATATGCGGCTCGTCGATGAGCTTTCCGCGCGGCGCCGAGCAGCTTGTCGCCGCCGAGGGCGTGGCCGCGACGACACAGTCGGAGGTCGCGAGGAGGGTTGCGACGTCCTTTTCGTAGGTTGCTGCGGTTTCGCGCTCGATGTCGGCGGGCATGCGGACGACGTCGATGTGTACTATTTTCATCTCCACTGCAAGAGGCTCTGGCAGTAACTTAGTTGCCTCTTGGGATATCTAAAAGGGGTGTGAAATCAACTCAGGAAGCTGCTTACTGGCGCGGTAAGCCTTCTTAGCGGCGCGCCGCCCGAACCGCCTGAAGCCGATGATGCCCAACCCAACCGGGCGGCGGGAGTGACCCGCTTTTGCGAAGGGTGGGGCCGAGTCACCGAGTGCTGAAACGACGACGACCGCCATGATACCATCGCGGGAGAAGGAGGAGTGGCGAAGGTGGCTGGCTTGCGACGGAAACGTGGCTGAACGTGAGAAGGAACCCTTGGGGCACCATTACCCGCGATCTTGTCCCGCACAAGGGAGGCAGACGATATGACCGGCGGAGTTGGTAATGGCTCCCATAGGCTCAGACTGAGCCTGTAATATGCATCGATCGACATACGCTGATGCCATCAATTCGATGTTCCCATGGTATGAGTGGTCCTAGGTGTGCTATGCGCACATCGCCGACGTAGTAGCAGTTGGAGGGGGGTTGATCAGTGTCACAGGCTGAAGTTTCCAGACTTCGAGTTGGTTATCACGAAGATGGGTCGTGGGTCGACCTCGATGGCATCGTGGCTCGTGGCGATGGCGTCTAAGGAGACGCGGTCCCCAAAACTTGCTTAACGCCATCTCAGTGATTGGCGGTACCTCAAGGTGCTAGACAACGAACTAGCAAAAGGTACACGAGAGATGTTATGATTTCTTCCTCTTCTTCTTCCATTAAGCTTTACTACCTCAAGAATAAATAGCCACAATCTATCTCCGCAACAAGAATTTTTTTACATATAAACCTCAGCTGTCCACGACCTTCCCTTCTTCTGCTTCTTCTTCCTCATCTACCTCTACCACATCGTCGACATCTCCAACACTGCCCAAGACCACAACTTCCCCCACACCATCATACCGTCACCCATCGCACCATCAAGATATGTTTTACCACTCTGGTCACTGCCACGCAGGCCCTCACGGGCAGCGTCCTAGCGATATCGCAGCCAACTCTTACTCCCCGGTTATGCGGCCGAGATATCCCTGCCGCCCCAGAAGACTACAACCACACTGCTGCCGTCGAAAGCTACCTCGCCAATGCCAACGGCACGGACTTCATCTCCGCCTACCTCAGCCAAAGCAACAGCACCGCCTATGGGGACATGAAATACCCGCCTGGGTATAGCGATGACGACATAATCCCCCTCTATCAGCTACCCGACTGCTACCAGGGTTGCCTCGAGGCCAATTGCTGCAACGCCTTCCATATTCTCGACGTTCGGAAACTCACCATCCGCGAATTCTGTTGGACGAAACGAATGCACATCGAGTTCTGGATGTTGCATCACTTGGGGTGGTGCTTAAAGGACGCTTGCCGACAATGCAAGCCTAAGGGATGCGGAGAGGACTCGACGATATGGATGCGAATGTATTGCCATCGTGCTTAGCTTCTGACCTCAAGCTCTACCTGCCCGCGGCGCGCGGCGGTCCTGAATGTCATTATGACAGAAAGTCCGGTGTCTCCCAGCTTCTTGGAGCACGTGATATTTCCGCGAAGCTGCTTGGTGTCGAAGTCTGAGGTATTCTAGGATTTGTTTAACGATAGAATAACATAACAACATAATCCCGTTGCCTTGATACATGTATTTCTAGAGGTGATTTGTGACTCCGGACAGGAGTTGTACCTATCCCCGTTGCAATGCTGTCACTTGTAGCGAGACGGCCACAATGTGCCTTGAGTGACAAACCCCTATACAGACCCCCACGCGAGCATCTCAACATGAACCCAAAGTAGGCCGTAGCAGCCTCATGTGAATAATCTTCAGAGGGACATCATGCCTTAAGAGTGCCCCTGATGTCGTGTTGATTGCACGGCCAGTTTCGGGGTCCCGTCCCCCAAAGCCCCCTTGAAGTCAGCCCCTGAGCCCTCTGCAAGTCCCTTACCACCCGCAGCATTGCCTGTGACATCATCGTTGGGCAATCAAAACATTCGAATGGAACGAACAGCTGGTAACAGCTCGATCTCCTGGTGAACCAGTACCTAGGTAGGTAGCTACCATGCACGGTGGGGTATTGGCAGCTGTGTCGGTTGCTGGTTGCGGGTTGCTGGTTGCTGAGCACTATGGAGGTGGGGCCCCCGTGTTTACATCTGGATATATATTTCTCACGGCCATCCACATTCTGACCCTCTCTTCCTTTCTTCTTCACCAACAGTATCCAACCGCATCGTGTCTTTCGACTTGTTCAGAGACACGAACACCACTACCGAGTTGTTAAGCCTTATCTCGCAAGCATCAACGCGTAGTCTTGTCACTGTTACCGTCCGCGCATTCATCACCTTTCCCCTGCACCATTTTCCCCTGCACCCTTCACCCTTCACCCTTCCCCCTTCCCTTCCCCCTTAGTTAGACCATCCCCTCTCCGCCTCATCTCTTCCTCTCTCTACCTCCTCCCCTCCTTCTTTCCGTCCCTCCCTTCCCCCTCCGCCGCGTCATCATGGCTGATACCGCAGCCGCTACCACGGTGGGAGAGTCTCGCAAGGCCGTTGGAGAGTTTTGCAAGGACCTCTAGAAGCGGCCCACCGATCTCTTCTTCGCTCTGACCCCGCTCTGGCTACTCCTCCATCTCGGACGTAAGTGATCCAACGCCCCCTCCTCTTTCCCTGCCCAGGTGGAATAAGCACCCTGGAATAAGCACTTCCGAAGTCGTTTGGCTTTCTCCTTGCTTATTCCAGGGTGCTTATTCCACAAACGACTATCACCGACCTTTTGCTAACCACGTGTAACTTAGTTGCCATTGTATGCGACTACAATTTCTCATACTCCACGTTCATGATTCCTCAGGAACAAGACGCGGAGTTCGATTTTGTCAGCAACAAGGCTCCGAGCTGGTGGGCTGGTTTCTGTCTCCTGTTTCTGTCGGCAATTCTCAAGGGTTACTGGTTTGGTGCGTGGCTCATGTGCCTCTTCCTGACGCCCTGGCGCAAGAAGTGGCAGCCACCGACCGGCTTTCCTCCCAGACAGATCATGCAGGCCGAAGACAGCGACAAGGACAAGGAGTGGCTTCCATTCGACCAAGGTTAGTTGACCCCGGTCTGCCCTCAACATCATGCGCCCATACAGACATCGATTTCCAAGACCAACGTCTACGAAAATGCCCTTTTGGCTGCAGATTCGGCCTTCCCGATAGGGTCTACCACTGTTCGTTCCTGGGACAGTGCTTGCCAATGTACGACCACTATTGCTATTGGCTCCAGATCGCAGTCTTCCTGCACACCCTCAAGGCATACTTCTTCATCCTGATCTTCCTTCCCCTCGACGCCGTTCTCATCCTCTCTATCTCCATCTCCGCTCTCGCAATGGGTCACTCTCCTGTGAACTGGCCGTTCGCAGTCGGCATTCTGCCCGTAACGGTCTTGCTTGGGTATAATTCCTGGCAAATGCTCCGTTCCAGATGGTCCGACATTGCGAGATACAATCTTTTGATGGCCGAGTCAAGTGTGAGTAATATACCGTTTGCCCTTCTACCCTCGTGTCATAGTTTGGCATAAGCACCTGGCATAACTATGATCTCGATGGTTTATTCATGCTTCATGAATATCCCACACTAATTATTCCGAATTCGTTCTTTTCTTACCCTGTGCTTTAGATGATAGGGCACGGGATCGAGATGGCTTGCTTAGGCTTCAAGGTCAGGACGCCTGGTTCGCAGGGTGAATGGCGCCTTGTTCTACACATCTTCACGAAGAACCCATGGAATAGAGGATTGGCCGACAATCTTGAACAACTGTTTGGCGACAAGTGGTTCCAATGGCCTTTCTTCTGGATCCAACCTGAGAGAGTTTCGCGCTACGGAAACTATGGTGTTGGAGATCTTCCCTTCTCTGATGAGGTTTACGATTACTTCAAGGACCTCACCAAGTCTCGGTACGTATCAGTCCATCCACTTCCCCTCCTGATTCTGGTTGTCATTGTCGGTGCTGTCGTCGGTGCTGTCATCGGTGCTCTCGTCGGTGACACTTTCAGCCGATCAATACGTTCGTTTGGTATAAGCACCCTGGAATAAGCACTTATGAAGTTGATTGACGTTCTTCATGCTTATTCCATGGTGCCTATGCCAAAACATACCAACTGCACCTTGTCTGAACCCTGACTGTACCTTGTACTGACATCTCGATAGTGCGCCCGCAGCGTCAATCGGCAGCACTCCTGTGTCTTCGGACATGAGGCGTCGCCAAGGACGTACGAGCGAGGTTTGATCTCCTCACCACTCTCACCCGTGGGTTCTTCGACAGCCAATTTTAAGAAGCGTTGTGTGGAGGTGTCAGGATCAGGGGCATTTTCGTAGATCAGACCAGAGCCTTTGCCAGTTGACTAGACTGCCCACCCCCGAGAGATTGGAATAAGCTCGCACAGTACAGTGATGTGAGTCCCCCAACAGCTGTCATAAGCTGCACCATCTCTGCTTATTCCGTTTCGGAGAATGTCCTACTGACCACGCAGCAGGATATTGGACAAGAAAACCGCAGCTGCCCCGGTTAAGCATCATCACTCAACTTGTCAGCTTCTGCTTGCCTAGTTTCCCCTGCAAGCACACACAACCTCGTCAAGAACACCGCAGCATGCTTCAGTTAATGCACATGTCTCGCTTGCCCGGCAAGCATACTAGAGACAAGGGTAGTCTGGTCCTCACTGGCATTGTGGCTCTGGTGATCTTAGGACGAGGCTTCCGTTGTGTGGCCCACCGTGGTACGCAAGTTATTTCTGTTGGTTTCGGCTATATGGTTCACGGTTTGACGGAGGCCTGCACTTGGGCAGCCCTCCACCCCCTAGCAACTCGCCCTTGCCCTCACCCTTTCTGTTCTTCGCTGACGATTCTAGCTTAGGAATACCTCATGGTGGGTGGGAGTCTCACTTCGGTGGGCGGGTGTCTCATTTCGGTGGGCGGGTCATACCATGAGCTCTTCTCAACCTGTCAGTCCAGCCGAGCCGTCATGAACACTCGCTGGTAGGGCGGAAGACCTGCCTTTCTGTGGGTTGACTGCTCTGCACGTCCTTCGGGAGTGCCTGGCGCAATTTTTTGTTTGCACCTCTATTTTTTCGTTGTGGACGGTGCCTTGAGCATCGCCACGGGGAAGAGATTGGCATCACGCTCACTGCGAGCTGCAACCGTTGCGCAGGAGACGTCTAGGCCTCGAACCACAAGACTTCCTCGACCAGATGGTATTTGCATACCGCCTTCGTGGCATGCTCGACGTCGTATGCCCAGGCTTGACAGCGGAGGGGAGAGCCGAGCCTTCACCAGACTCCAGGAGATGGTCATGAGAAATTCGACGATCAGATCACACTGACGTGGAGCTGCGAGCAGTTGAGGCCGATGGTACATGGTGTATCGCATGAATTAGCATCAACCCGATCTGAGTTCGCCCTGACAACCAGCCTCGCTTCCCACGGTGCCGCAAAACTGGCGGCTCATTCTCTACGGCCCAACACAGCCCTGACGTGGAGTCTCCTCGAATGAATTTTTATGCGCGACACGAGATCGCTCTAATGAGCCGCCTAACAGTCTGACCAAAGCCCCCCTTAATCCCGTAAGGTTATGAACTTTCAGACCTCCAAGCACAATACGGTTCGTCGCTGGATCGACACCTTGGAGCCGACGCAACCTGAGCCCGACGACGACCATCATCCCCAGGACCGAACCAAGCGTGCGCGAACCGACCCTTCCACCAGTAACGATACCTTTGCGACTCCATACAACGCTCCTCTCCTTAATCCCGCTCCTCTACCCCAGAGCCCGCCGCTCACGAGCCCGACCATGTCGTACCAGTTCAGAGCGAAGAGGGGAAGCAACAGCCACCGGGTGAAGAAACGGCCGAAACGGCGCCCCGCCTCCCGAAAATGGTATACAGGAACCCATTCTCATTGTATTCGACATGGGAGCGCATGCTTCCGTCCTCGAGTCTCCGGCAGTGGTCGTGGAGTTACTGGAAAACCCAGTGTCCATACAGTTTAGCGAACATTGGCACCAACGTTCCAATGTGGTGGAACATGCAAGCCCCTGAGCTAGTTAACATCGTCCAGACTCAGGGGCAAATCCGGGGTTAGGGCCAGCCTTACGACCATCGATCTCCGCAAGGAGATCTGCCAAACGGAGAAGATGAGTGGGCGACTAATTTAGTACTCGGTCGGGATAAATGCCGATTGACGAAGAGAGTCACGGGTGCGACTCATGACCACTCCTGATGCGTCTAAGCAGGGCGCACAGTCAGGATCGGTGCCGTATCAAGGTTGCTGCTGCCGGATGCCGGATCGCCCCGCCACTCTGGACCTGTCCGACTCATACAGCCTGCTTCAAATGCCGGTGAAGAGATTTTACTATTCCCGGGGAGGCTGCAGTTGAACGCGTCTATTTGTGTGGCTCGATATTGCGCTTACGACATGGAGCGAGGGGTCAGGGCACTGCCGCCAGCACGAATCGCATAACCGAAAGGTGACGGCATTTGAATCATGTCCAACCACTGTACTGACTGTCGGAAATACGTAGCCCGAAGCAATACCGACGGTGTAACGACCACGATACGCTGCCGGATCTCCCATTCGATCGCATGGGACGAGTGACAATACCCGTCCCGGACTAGCCGCCGTCATCGATGTATATGTATACATGTATCACCAGTGCCTGGCGGCAACCCGGCTGAGTAGATCAGGCAAGAGCTGTCCGTCTGACTGTGTCCCTTCACATCGGGTCATACAGCATGGCCTTGCGTGACTAATGGTATAATGCGCGAGAGGGCGACCTGGCTCGGAAGTCAGCTTCCCGCATGGTGGCTGAGAGGACTGGCTGGTTCAGGTCTACCGGGTGTCCTCTTGAAAGTCCTTGCCCCCCGATCTATCCATCATGTCCCCTTGGGGGTTCCGAGTTCTTCTGCTGCTGCTTTTGCCCCCCGACGACGACGGCGACGACGACAACAACACAACGACAACAGAACCTGGTTCCTTTCGACGCAAGCATGTCCAGGCACCTGACACAAACGAACAAGTCTTGGTCGCCACCGTGACGATGTATGATCAATCCGAAGCTCAGACGGTCGGCTATGTCACGGCGGCACTCTCGCTGCTCATCCTATGCAGCCGACTGGTCATCTCTCGATGGCGGAGGGAGCCTTTCGATCTAAGCTTCTGTCTTGTCATTCTCTCGATCCTGGTAATCACAGCTCGCATCATTACGAATAGTCTCTACCTCACGTATGGTACCGCAAGCGATTCCCTCAGAAATGAGTCGCATGCCGACCAGAACGACGATTGCCGCATCAAGACCGGCAGCATCCTGGTCCTCCCAGCCAGAGTGATGTTCACGGCTAGTCTCTGGCTTCAGATCTGCATCCTCCTCATCTTTTACTCGCGGATCACCTCTGGTTTAACATTGGTGGCCTACACCATCAAGGCTACCTGGGTGGTCATGGCAGCCACCTTCGTCGCCGTCGTTCTCTCCACGTTCCTGGAATGCCGGCCTATCAACCTATACTGGCAAACAAGCCCTGACCCAGGCAATTGTGTTCACTCGTACGCGCAGCTCATCATCCAGGGAGTCAGCAACACCATTCTCGACCTGATGCTTCTGTTCATCGCCTTCCCCCTGGTCAGCCTGAGGAAACGGAGGTGGTCTGAGCGTATCAGCCTGTACGGCCTGTTCGCCCTGGGTACCTTTTGCATCGTCATCACCATCATCAGGGTGGTTGTCGTCTTCAGACAGGATTCTTCCCAGACCGCGCGCAGCGTGTGGGCGTCGGCCCAGATGTTCGTTTCGACCTTCGTGGCAAATGCGCCCACCATCTATGGGTCGTTGCGCGTGGTCCGGCGGAAGCGATCGGGGCACCGGGATAGGCCACCCTTTACCAACAGCGGCAGTGCGAGGAACCGACCTTCTCGGCACGAAATCGAGTCTTGGATGAAGATGGACGAGGGGATTGCGCTGACTCCTGTCACACCGCATGTGCTGGCGCCTCTTCCACCCGCAGCCACATGGTACGGCGAGGAGAGCGCTCCCGCACCGCATTCTCATGCATCGCACTCCGATGCGGATACGAGGGTCAAAGTGAGCCACGAGTACATTGGTCGGGCCTCGTGAACAGCTCGTTCCACCCTCAATCTTCCCCGGGCAAAGCTGCACGCGGTCAAGAATGAAGCTTTCACGAAATTCCCGAGCCGCATATATTGCGATCTGATTGCACCGTGAGCCTCACCTCACCTCCCCATCGGCTCTGCTCTCAGAGCGCACATGGTCCCTACAACCCCTCACGCACTCGCTGAATCAGCGACAAGATGGTTGCGGAATTGAACTTCCCAGATGCCCGCCAATAGAGTGACACACATCCTCGCAAGAGTACATCACATTCCAGGCAGACCAATGGACCCCATGTATTGTACGAATCATCACGACACGACCCTTTTCATCACCACTTATGGTATTGTTAGCGCGTCGGAGCTCAGGAAACAACGACTCTATTAGATCAGCTTTAGATCATAACTTGCAACGGGATGAAGGAAGGCGAGAGCACGTTCCTCGTGTCATTTCCTTTTGAATCAATGGTGCTAGCAATGAGATACCCTATTTTGCGACGGTGTAATCATGGCGGGGGGCTATTGGGACAGAGTAGATTGGGCACATTCCGGTTTAGAGGTTTCCAACCCGAGTTCTGTAGGATGATATACACGGGACTGGTGTTTGAAATGATCTACTTAAAGTTACATCTATTCGCGTTCTGGATTGATATTATCGGTAAATTCGGCATCAGAATCTTGTCCCCCGTTTTGCCTAAGCCCATCAACCAGGTTGACGAGACCGATCAGACCCGTGGGAACTACCAATGCTCACGTTCGACACCCCGCCCCCCCTATTTCGGGGCCGCTGCTGCCTTGCAGCACTCACACCCCGTCCCGACCCTCGCCAACCTCCACGCTATGTGGCCCTCACAAATGCGCCCTCGGCCCACCAGCCAGCACCGTATTGAACTCCCGCACCGCCCCCTTGACCATCTCATCAATATCGTTATCCCAAATCGTATGAAACAACCGACTGATCTCCGGCGCAAACTTCTCGGGGTCGCTCCCAACCCTCTCATCCTGCCACTGAAACAGCTCAACCGCCTCCCGCGTCGCGCCCGGAAGCCACTGCGCACGATCGTAGCGCACAGTATTATACGCCACCAGCGCATCACGGCATATCTCAACCTTCTTCTTCTTCTTCGTCGTCGCACCGCGGACTTCTCTGTCGGCCGCCTCAATGACGCTCGCCAGCACGAGCGCGTCCTCGATGCCGAACCCAGCCCCGGACCCAAGATGCGGACCGGACGCGTGCGCCGCGTCTCCCGCGACCGCAACGCTGCCGACGTTGTAGTACGGTGCCGGATAGTCGTGCATATCGAAGATAGCCCACTTGTCCAGCTCATCAGGCAGCAGATCAACCAGTGCGCGCACATGGGGGTGCCAGTCCTCAAAGGCCCTGACCGCCTCCTGTTTGTCGCCCGGCGCCGTGTGGCGCGCGTCCGCGGGCCAGTGGCCCGGGTCGCTAAGGACGAGGAGCACGTTGAGGAGCGCGCCCATGGCGACAGGGTAGATCATGCAGTGCGCATTCGGCCCGTTGTACATGTAGCGGTTCGTGATGCGCTCTTCGCCCAGGGCGGCCTGCGCTTGCGGCATCGGGACGAGCGTGCGGAAGCAGTATTTGTTGGTGTAGCGTGGGTAGGAGGCTGGGTTGGCTTCGCCGAGGATGAGCTGGCGGACGCGGGAGCGGATGCCGTCGCAGCCAATGACTGTTGGATGTTAATGGTTAGCATTGCCTTGACGATGAGCGTTTCACATGGTATGGTGAGCTTCTTACCAATGTCAGCTTGCTCGGTGCTCCCATCCTTGAACTTCAGCGTAACATTGCCATTTTCATGTTGAAAGATCGTGTCGACATCTCTGCCGAACCGGACCTTGTCCCGCGGGATCAACTCCGACCACGCCTCCAGAAAGTCAGAACGGCGACCCCCTTGGAACGCATCGACCCCAATCAGCAGCTTCGACACGACCTCGTTACTTCTATGGCCGTCGACCCATTGGAAGTAGTCTTCCTCCGCGTTCGACGACGCGACCTCCTTGTAGACGGCGTACACCTCCGGATCGACGACTTTGAGCGCGCGCTCCGCATTGGGACTGAACCCGATGCCTGCACCGATCTCTGTGAAGGCCGGTGCGCGCTCGTAGATGGTGTAGTCGATGCCGCGCTTCTGCAGCCCCAGCGCCAGTATGACTCCGGTGATCCCGCCGCCCACGATGGCTACGCGGACTGGGGCGTTATGTTCGGACATGGTGTTTCGTGGTGCTCAGTGAAATGTAGAGTGTGTACTTGTACCGGCACTTGGAAAACGGAACTAGAAAGGGGGTTAGAGGGTTGGATAGGGATATAAGCTGGCGTGTTCGGACGTGGTCGTTTCGCGCCTATAAGTCAAACGAAAGCGATCCCGAGATGATGCGACCGCCGTCTTGGGCCATGCCTCGGCTGGCCAATACCTACGGTAAGCCGCTGAGGGAATCAAGCTGTATCTCTCCCACCAACTGCTACTTAATATAGAGACGTTGCACTGCAGCTGGCATTCCGAGGGTGTCCATGCGGGGAGTTACAATCAATGGGCAGTAGTCATTGGCTGGGCGAGCCTTGTTGCAACCTGCATATACGCCTTGGTGGCTGAGACTCGTCGACTTTCTGTTAGCCAACGTCGTACGTTTCGGTGCTGGTTGGGGAAGAGTCCCGGAGCCCCGGTAGGCGGAAGCCCGGACTTACCGGGAGATATCCTTCGCCGACTACTTCTTGGCTTGATCCCCCTTGCCTCTGTCCTCGGATCGTGACATCGTTCGATTGATACATTTCGATATTACTCATCAACAATTGTGAACGAAACGTGTCGAATATCTGAGCTATGGGAGGAACGTCGAATGGTCACCTGAAGAACAGGGTTCTCCTGACAGGTAACATTGCCCATTACACAAACCCCCTGACAGTGGGGAACCGTTCATTGATATGGCGTTCGATCATAGGAGGTAGCGGCTTCATCGCTTCCCACATCCTTGACACGCTGTTGGACGCAGGGTATGAGCCCATTATCACCATTTAATCCGTTCCGTGCTGAAAGTGACCAGGTTTCAAGTTGCGGTGACAGCGAGATCCGAGGAAAAGGGGAAACGGATAGTAGACTCCGTCAAACCCAAACCCCTATCTTACGTAGTAGTCGACGACATTGCCAAAGGCGGCGCCTTTGATGTTGTGAGTTTGAGCACACATCCTGCTTCTGAGACGCTCTACTTATAGAGACCTCTTTCGCAGGCATTCCAATCGGAGGCCGCATTCGACTATGTAGTCCACACCGCGTCTCCCTATCATCTCAATCCCATAGACCCGGTCAAAGAGTTCCTGGAGCCCGCGATCAACGGCACGAAGGGCCTGCTGAAATCGATCAAGACTCACGCTCCGACCGTCAAACGGTTGGTGATCACCTCGTCGTCAGCAGCGATCCTCAACCCCGCCAACCACGCTAAGGTCTACGACGAGACGTGCTGGGCGCCCACGACGTGGGAAGAGGCCATGGAACCCAAGAAGGCGTACAAGGCCAGCAAGGTGAGTCGACCCGAAGCCTCATTTTTACTACACTGGGATTGACGCATAACCAGGTCTTCTCCGAGAAAGCGGCATGGGCCTTCATCGAGGAGGAAAAGCCCAATTTCGACCTGGCCGTGATCAACTGCACCTACGTCTTCGGCCCCATACAGCGGAACCTCCCCAGCCTGGACGCGATGAACGCGTCGAACCACCGCGTTCGCGAAATGGTGCAGGGCAAGATGAAGGAGGCCCTAGCGCCCACGGCGCCCGTCTTTACCTTTGTCGACGTGCGCGACGTTGCCCTGGCGCACTTACGCGCCATGACATTACCGCAGGCTGGTGGGAACCGGTTCTACGTTGTCGGGGGGCACTTTTCGAATAAGCAGATTGCGGACGTCATCAGGAAGTCGTTTCCGCAGTTGAAGGATCGCTTGCCACTTGAGGCTGATACGGTCGATGATATTCCGGATGATGTGTATCACTTTGACAACAGCAAGTCGAGAGAGGTTCTGGGACTTGAGTATACGAGTCTCGAGAGGAGCGTGGTTGATACGGTCCAGTCGATACTGGATCTGACGCCGGTGTCGTGATCTTAGCTGTAATCTTTCTTGTTGTTCAGGCAGTATAATGGTGCGCTCTAGTAGAAGGATAGGTTCTAGAAGTCATATCGGACATCGTTTCCTTATTTGCCATCGCTTTAGTACAACAAACCATGCGTCTTGTTAAACCACACATCCCACAAACTCGCACAAGCGTCGATCGTGTTCACTACTTCGCTTGCGTCTTCCTGAACACACTTACAGCTGCCAACAGTTTGACCACACGCATTAGCTTGTAGTAGGCGGTTGAAACACACTACGCGTATAAAGTTGATCACTTGAATTACGTAACTACCTAAGCCCTAGTTCATCAGACAGAAATGTGAGCGACCTAGGCATAGACATCCACTTGTCGGGTGTGTGTCAACTTCTCTATCGCAAGTCTGCTGTATTTCTGTACTCTTTAACCCCTATATAGCGACAAGGGCCTCCCTATGTTAGTCCTAACCCCATTTACTGATACACTAGTCACGTCTCGTCATCGGCTACGATACTTCTCACGTCGACAATGGTCTCGTGTCCTTTGGGTCCAGCTACCAGTGGTAGGACCGCAGGTTGCTTGACTGTCGTCAGTGCGTGGCGACCTCTCCAGTGGGCTGGCAACGCCATCTCAGGGTGACGATGGTTACCTGTTACCCCTGACAGAGAATACTCTAGCAACCAAACCGCCTGTTGCTGTGTCGTGCGTCCAGATCTACAGCAACACTCAGATTTCATGTACAAAAGAATCCCACCTGTCGCGTCAAGACCACTTTCCTCCGTCCCCCAAAAAAACCCAGAACAAAAAACCACATCGCGTGCTCTTGGCTATCTTGTTCAAGAGAACCTTCAAGCACATTCTACCCACTGCGATATCTCTTAGACACTTTTGACTCTGGTCTATCTCTCACTCAAGATCTTCCATTTGATCGAGTGCCGTCTGTTGACTCCAGTCCGAACATCTCCATAGCAGAGGTAAGCACACCTTTTTCATCCCCTCCTTGTCCAGAATGGCAATGACTAACTTGACCGTTTGACAGTTTCGTTCGGCTACAGACAAGTGTACCCAATATCTTCCATTTGATCTTCCAGCGTGCCGTCTGTTGACTCAAGCCCGATCATCTCCATAGCAGAGGTAAGTACACTGCCTTCATCCCCTCCTGATCCATGTTGGCAAAAGCTAACTTGACTGTCCGGCAGTTTCGTCCAGCTACACAAACGACTACTCAAGAAGACTATCATGATGTTCGGTTGATCACTGATCCTCGTCATTGCCATGCTGCTCGCCACTATTGCGGCAGCCGCGATGGGTGACTACGCCGACAACCCGGTCTTCACTGGAGTGGCTAGTCTTAACCACGAGTCTGATCATGATGCGAATGACTTCGGCGCGGTTCTTGGTGACCGAGGTAAGCTCAATCCTTTATCAACTCCCATCTCATTGCCATCGTTTCCCCATACTAACTTCTCGTGCGCTGCAGGTACTGGAGACGACCGCGACGCGTCTGCTTTGTCGCGTGACGCGCGTCTTGTGATCACTCTTCCAACCATGCCTGTTAGCACCCGCGAAGCTAGAGGTATGCACAGCAACGCTTCTGTCGCTACTGGGAAGGCCACCATCGCAAAGGGATCATCAGTACCACTCCTCGCTGGTGGTTCAGCCGTGTCGGCCTGCGAGAATGAAGGAGACTCTGACCTCTGCAAGGGCTCTTATGGCGGCCTCTCACCTGCAGCATTGGCTGGTATCGTGATCGGTTGTATCCTCGGAACTGCGCTTCTTGGCACCGCTATTGCGCTCTTCGTCGTCATCTACAGACGCAGTCGAGTGGGCCGAGGAGTCGAACAGGAACAGAACCGGGCTACCACGCTCCGGCAGCTCATCGGAGGTCGCAACACTCGTGGTGCGGATCTGGAGGCCGGGCAGGGCATTGAGCTGACTCATGTTTAATGAAGTGCACCCGAGTGCTGGATTGCGCAGAACCTTGAGGGGCGGGAAGTTCAGAAATGCTTTCTTGTGTCATTGTATTGATGTAATGCTCACTGGTACACTGGTGTCTGAGGCTTGGATGGTGAATGGGTAGCGGATCATGTATCTTCTCGCGTCGTTGAGGTCATAGCTAAAGTCATGCCGTTCTTCCCCCATATTCCTGTGATGGCACGACCATAGCGAGAATTAATGCCGCTTATGTTGTGTGTTAGGGCTATGGACTACGTTGAGAGCAGTCGATAGGCTACTAAATCAACACTTAATCACTATGAACGCGTCGTGAACTTGTGTCCTGAATATATTCATTTATGCCTCTACTTAACTGAAGGGTACCGTCCAAGATCATACATAATGTCTGACGAGAATGATCGGAAGAAGATTCTCAAGCCCCATGGCCAGAAATACGAAGCACAGAGCTCCAGCCATCACCACCCTTGAGACGCTGGGTTGATAGCTACTCCCATATAAGTATATTTCACCTCTGCCGACAGACGCCCTTTCCTCTCTTTCCCCTTCCACGCCCAGATCCATTGTCAGTGACCGATTATGATCAAGAGCGCTGCATTTCCATACAGGTCGTTGTCAGAGTCCATCCTCTAGACAGAGCTATATCATGCCATCCCCCATAGAAGTCGGCCACCCCTGTGCCTTGTGGTAGCGGTATCCAGAATAAGGACCAGGGTCACGAATGGTGGCTATTGGTCTGTATTCTGGAAGTTGCTTGATTGAAAGAAGGGATGGGTGGTGTCCCCATCCCAGAAGTAGCTATCATCCCAGTTGGGTACGAATCTGGTACAAACGGGTACCAGTTGGGCTCCAAGGTACCTTGTACCCTGGTCCGTGACCCATCCGTCATTGTGGCTGGAAAATGGGTTGAGGAGCCACACCCCCACTAGTCGGCCAGCCAAACCCCACTATTACCACCAAAACACCCCCTTATTCACCCAGATGTAAAAGAAGTCGTTCAGATCGATAAATTTCAGCAATATTATCATTCGAAAGCGCTGAAGCTTTTTACCCGTAAAAGCGTGCGGGCGCCCGAATTGCTCGCCCCGAACGGGTGTGCCTAGGCTCCTGTAGGGCCTCCAAAATCTCCTCATTAAGGGGGTCATCCTTATCTTCCTTCGTCCTCTGACTCAATAACTATCTCTTCTTGTACTTCTACGCGTGCATCAGGGTCAATGGTACCTCCATGAGATAGTAGCTCCGTTACTGTCTTGAACTTCCCGTTAGGATTAGGGATCTTCTGGCGCTTTTTTGGCCGTAACCGCTCCAGTTCAGCCTCCAGGGCCTTGATCTTCCTGTTTTTAATAATAACTTCGGTCTCCTTAGCCTCAAACACGTTCGTTATTTTCCTGTACTTCAGCCTGGTCCCTGGGAAATTATTTGTGCCGAAATTCATGATCTGGCGGCTTGTAATAGGCGTCCGTTGGTCCTCTGGCTCAGAGCTTTCAGGGGTATTAGGCTCAGGGGTCTTTCTCTTGTCTTCTTGTATCTCTGTGTGCTGTAAGTACTTCCTGCGGCTAATAGGATAACATCCAATGACCTTGAAACCCGAGAGGATGTTTTGTTTAATAAAAACAGAAGTTCTCGTCTTGCTATAGCAACGGATAAAGTTGATCTTGTCAACAGATAAGGCATCTATTAGAGAATTCAACTCAGAGAAGAATTTCTGGTAGTAGGACTTCAGGGCGTTACTAGGCCTATTATCTAGGGGTTGCGTACCGTGATTAGTATGCGCAGGGAAGAAACAGAGCAAGATATTATTGAAATAACACATGGCCATGGATTCGTCCTATTAACACACGTTAAACCATATTAAATGGGAAGAATTAAAGGAAGTCTAAATAAAATAAGAAGAAATCATATACTTACGGAGGTGTGGCTCTTATGGCCATCCAGTATCGAAAGGATCGCCTCGCACTGGTCTCCTCCTCGTTCTACGTCTACCTGTGGGAGGAAAACATCCTCTAGCCACTTGCAGGCAATGTTATTCAAAGTCCAGCTGTTCTCTGAACATATATAGTGCCAATCTGCAGTCTTTCTAAACTCATCGATGAACCACTGCATGTGGAGGTCCTTCCCCTTAAAGATAATACCTGGTTTGAGGATTTTTTCAACTGCTGAAATGGTCTCGATGAAGGAGGTCTAGCTACGGCCCTACGGGCTCTTTAGGAAGGCTTTCTTGGTAACAGAACTACCCAGAACTAGGGAATCAATGCCTGTGAATCTAATAAGATTTTTTCCGGAATTAAAGGGGTAGATATAGCTACCAAAACCCGCCATAATGCCACCCTTATCGACGTTATAGGTGTTCTTTGACTTCACCCAGCCGTAATCTTCGAGAATTTCAAAGAACCAGTTAACTGACTTAGACGTGAACCCCTTGAAGCGTGCTGTTTCTATCCTTTTGCTGACTTTTGTCTTGATTTCGGGGTTGTGGCGTTTGAAGGCTGCTATGAAGGTGTCTCCTAGAGGGCCCTCATCTCCCTTCTTCTTCAATAGCTTCTTGATAATCTCACGAACCAGGGAGTGCGAAGGGGCAAGGCCGAACTTTTCCTGTAATAAAACCCATTTGATTCTAGTCTTTTCCTGGGCAGGGGATAGTCTTTGTTGTTGTGTGTGTGCTTCGGTTATGGTAGCCTTGCCGTTGAGTCGATCAGACAGCGTCTGGTACAGAATACCGTGTTTTTGACCGGCTTTTTGCACAGATAGGCCCTTATCTGTGATATCTAAGATGGCCGAAGCCATCTGATCCTCTATATACGAATAGGGAGGCATTTTGGGCGACTGTACGATGTTGCGGCGCATATAAAACGAGGCTTCAGAAGAGCCGTGAAAATTTCTATTTAAGGTACTAAAAGCGGGATAATAGCTCCTCAATCACGTAAGCCGGGAGGGGTAAATTTAGCATTAGGGAAACCCTCAAGATCAGGGTTATCTAGAGCACTAAATACATCGTGAATAGCTTGAATATCAGGCTGAATCCGTACAAATGAATATGTGGGAGTTTTGGTGGTGATGGTGGGGTTTGGCTGGCCGACTAGTGGGGGTGGCCGACTTCTATGGGGGTGATGGTATATAGGGAACACGCGCGATGGCTACCGGACGTCCGGATCTCTGCGTGACGACGAAAGGTGTGAAGACCCCAGCCATACAATGGGGCTTCTAAGACTAACCATTCCGATCAGAATTTGCTTAGTCGAAGTAGACGAAGACGCCTTCAACAAAATCACGAAGATCTGGATCCCAACTACGCACGACGGGACACAACTCTGGTCTCACCCCGCGAACATTGATAACTACATTCTTGGCCTTGGTAAAGACCCAAAGCAATCCCTGCGCCTGTCGATTTCCTCTGGATCTGGAGGCGCTAACGAGCAGCTGCTTATCCCGCCCGAGGTAGCCAACAGCAACGCAATCGTCTTCTGGGTTGACTGCAAAACGAAGCACGACCATGTTTCTGATGACAAAGTGGACTATACCAAATGGAAAAAGAATGTGTATGGCGAACGGAGAGAAGACAAGTCACAGGACTGGAAAGATACGCAAGCAGTGAGGAACGGGTAATCCGGTCGAACATAAGACATCATAATTAAGAGTTGTTCTCATGCCCCAACGAGAACTACCCCAGTCATGTCTATCTGCCAATAGCATACTTGTTTCGTTATCTAGATCGGATGATCTTGTAGCTAGTGTAGTAGTGCGGTCTTGAAGCTCGATTTGATTTCATGTGCCTGGTCCTTTGGTGAGGCTGGTCGAAGAGATTAGAGCCGTGTATGAGCGACTCTCCGATGGCATACCCCTACAGCAGTGTAATGAGTCCACCATTGAGTAGAAATCATCCGCGCCATCGCCACGCGGGTAACCGGATGTGGCAATTTGCAGATATCAAATTGACATCTTCCCCATGCTATTTCGTGTAGGTGCTTCTCATGGTCATATCCCGATCCCCGCCGACAGTTCCATGCGGATGCCGTATCCTCTTGAGGCATTACGTTCTGGGCGGATACACATCTCTTACAAAAGCATCAGATTCTTGCTGTTTTCTCTCATTTGTCCCGAGGGGGTCATAAGAAGACTGAGCGCTTCATTCAGTATGGACCCAGAAATTAATGAGCAGCACTGCAAGGGCGGAATCCGATCCCTGATGTCGACACATACACAGTCCATCCGAAGTTGAACATGTTATTAGCAGATCTAAGGATGTGTTGTCAGGTGCTTAAACAGTACTGCAAAACTCCACCCAATATTAGGCACACCAGAATTCTACCACGACTTTTGTGCATCTCCCAGCACCGTCTGCTCCAGCTCCCTGCCGGCCGCGGCGAGGTCTGCCGGCTAGCAGCCATGATTCTCAGTTCAGCGACACCTATGCGATCACTGACCCGCGGCCCATAAGGACCCTAACAGGCCAGCTCCGGTCGGTTCTCAAGCACCCCACGTGCACCAAGAACCAGGACCATGAGCTGCTGCTCTGGACGACGGCGCTCGGGGCCATCGTCGCCGCCAACACCGAGATGGAGAACGTCTTTGCCTGGCGGCTCCGCCTTCCTTACGGTCGAAGAGCTTAATAATAAACATAGTTCGACTGGCTTTCCGCGAAGGCTCTGCTGCGGGAATCTGTGTGGCTAGATCGCGCGTGCGATCGCAGAGCGCAGACGATCTGGGGCAAGTATCTAGCCGGGGGAAGATCATCGTGGCTAGCGTTAGCTTGCGATAACTTCTTGCAGACTGATTTCAAGCTGATGCTGGGCGGACGATGTACGCCAAGGATTGCGTAGGGCTTGCTTACTATGCTGAGCCCTGTTCCGGGGATTTTGCAGTGTCTGGAGAAAGGGACACTGGCTGAACAGCTCACTTTGAGTATCAAGCATGGCAGAAGCGTGAAATGAACCAATGTTGACATGAGCTTCGATGAGAAGTAAAATCCTACCAAAGAGCCCCAGTGACCTTCTCTCACGGAGACGCCGCTTGGACTAATTGTCATGCATGATGCAAGCCGAGTGACAGAACCTGGTGCAGCCAGGATACCACCCAACCCGCTTCTTTAAGCTTAACCCCACGAAACTACCCTGAGCTATTTCCAGGCATCGCATTCCCCGACTCTGGTTGGACTGATTCAAGTACCCTGCTCTGGAGTCACGACGGTGAGATGACCCATTGATTTTGCTGAACCAAAGCATTGGAATGGTCGGGGCCGAGTGTGTGTCTCTCCAGGGGCCGGTACCCATGGCCTGAAAAAGATTGCGATACCGTTGAGGCTGGACTATTTAAGGCTGCCATCACTGCTGTGAGTTGATCAAGATATGACATTAGCCTGCAGCCATGGGATACGGCGGTGGCGGGCACTCGAAAATGCACTTATTTCTTGTTTTGAGAGGATTGGCTGCAGGTTCAGGGGCTAAGTCAAAGAACCAAGTTCAGCGGCCAACTATCTATAAGCACCTGCCGGATCCGGAAGACCGGGGCTGTGATCTCTCTTCGAAACGCGTTTACTTTCTCTAAGCAACAGCCCAAAATGACCATGAGCGACGCATAAGAGGTGCACCAGACAGGTGATAATGTGCAAAAATGCAAATACTCAACCGAAACGAAGGATTCGCCTTGCAGGCGGGATCTTCCGCCACATGCAGACTGTGGCGGGCAGTGATCCAAGGTGCGGACAGACGTAGACCAGTGAGTCTGTAATCTTACACGAGGATCAGCTCCTGCTGGGGTGCTTTTCGGCCTTGGGGTCTACACCAGTGGTCAGTAAGGAAAGCATGTCAGCGGCACCGCCGGGTCAGCTTGTCAGACCCGCCGAATCCAACACATGGATGCCCTCTCCGTTCGAAATTTCAACCTTTCACCACAGAATGACCATGTGATCGAGAGCCAACAATATCTTCCATGACCCTGCAACTTCTGATGAACAGCTCGGCCTGCGATGCTCGAATATGTCGTGGTCACCCCCACGTCACTCTCGCTCAGGCTCTTCATCGCTAGCTGCGTCATCGGATTTCTCGTCATAGTCGCGACGGCCCTGAGGCTGTTCTCTCGGTACTTCATCGCAGTGAGGCCAGGCTGGGATGATGGGTTGGCTCTCATCGCCACGGTTGGCGCGTTAACGCAGACGGTTCTGTTCTCACTCCGTGCGTTCTCTTCCTCTTGTCTCTTGTCTCTTGAGATGGCCTTTCTAACCAGCTGCCCTCAGTGGTGTATGGAGGTCTCGGGCACCATGCAGACACCGTCCCGGAGCCGAATCAGTTCTCGATACCCAAGGTCTGCAAGAACTCATTCAATGCGGCGATCTCACTCAAGGATCACGTGCTTACACGAGGTGATCCAGATCCTATTCAGTTTCGAAATCTTCCACGTCATCTCACTGAATACGGGAAAACTGAGCGCACTTAGCTTTTACTTGAAGCTGTTCGCCAACAAGACGATGGAAAGAGCCACAAAGGCCGCTAGCGCATTCATTGCTGCTTGGATGATCGGTCTTCTCCTCTGGGAGTTCTTGTTCTGTCGTCCTCTGTGGAAGATGTTCGAGTGGGGTGGTCTAGAGCAATGTGGTGACAGAGTACGTCTTACCCTAGCCAATTCTTCCCCCATTCCACCCATAGAAGTCGTCCTTTCCAACCTGGTTTACGAGACAATCGAGCCGGGAAGGGGCACAGCTGCGCTCATACGTAGCCTGTGTATTAGCGCAAGGTGTATGTTGCTTGCTGACCGGCAATGACACAGAAACCTCTGTACATAGCTGTCTGCACCTTCTCCATATTCAGCGACTTGTTGCTGCTCGCACTCCCAATGCCTGTCATTTGGACCCTCAAGATGGACAGGGACACAAAGCTGCGTTTATCGTGTCTCTTCGCTGCGGGTTTCAGCGTGACAGCGGTGTCGATAACGCGTCTGGTCTACATAGTGACCATAGACTACCACCACGACTTCTCGTTCTATTCGGTCAGCGCCACGTTTCTGGCGAACCTCGAGCCTTTACTCACCATTCTCTGTATCAGTCTTCCGATGATATATTCGCTGTACGCCAAGGTTGTGCCAAAAGGGGGCAGGAGGAGCAGTCATGGTAGCAAGCCTGTTACCTGGACGTTTGCCTCAAGCTTGGTACGACGCGGGAATCCCAAGAAACGGGCCTTCAATCCGTTGGAAACCAGTGGGCCCGAACACTTCGAGCTCGACCAGATATATAGCCCGGAGAAGCGCGTGCGATACAACGTCTCGGTTGATAGGGGGTGGAAGACAGACCCTCATTACCAATCCCCGATCTCGATATTGCAGAGTTCGAAGCCAGAGGGCGACGCAAGCAGCGGGTCGGAAGCTGGGCTTGTGCATTATGGGAAGGAAAGCAACAGTGTCGAACAGGACGGTATTATGGTATTGAAGAAATGGTCAGTCTCTCGAACTTGATCCGCCTATATCCGTGGCAGGCGCATGGACGGGGCTTCAGGGGCAGCTTGGATGTAGAATTCTATACAGATGGCTTGTTCTAAATCGCACGGTTCCACGATGAGCAGATCTGATCATGCAGTTGGTTGGAGCCGCCTGACTTCCCCGCCCCAATGCTCGGCACATGGTCCCAACGTCATCCTGGCTCGTTGGTGACTGCGGTACATATGTCAGATTTTCCCATCCAACAACTCAGATTGCCGTCCGGATGGGATACAATGTCAGATTCTGTTAGTTGGGACTCTCAACAAGGGTTTCCGTGTGCCGCCTTTTGGCCTCTTTTTCGGGGAAGATCATGCTCTGCCCTGACACTTCGGCAGACGACGACGACAACCACAACGCACAGCTTCGGCATATCCACCAAGCTTCACAAGTATCAGCAAAATGTGGAATGCGATTATCCTCGTGCTTCTTTGCATTGTCAGTCTCATTATCCAACGACATCACAGGCGTCGAAAGACCAGGAGCCAGCGAGGATGTCAGCCTCCAGCACACCATCAACCTCTGGAGCCTCTGATGGGAATGGATTTCCAGCTCACGATCCACAAAGACATCTCATTTTTGCATCGCTATCATCAGAAGTACGATACTTCCTTCGAGCTCAATACTTTGCTTGGCGCACCAACAATTTTCACCATAGCCCCCGAGAACATAAAGCTCATCCACACCCGCGAGCACGAATGGGGTATCCAGCCCAACAGACTTCCGGGAATGGAGTACTTCTGCGGTCGCGGGTTCCTCACGATGGATGGGGAGATCTGGCGACAGTCCCGTAGGGCGCTTAGACCCTCGTTCGCGAAGAGTAACTTGGCCAACTTGAGCGTTCTATCGCGAGAAACCGATACCTTTCTGGACCATCTACCGAAAGATGGCGCCACTGTTGACTTGCCAGCCTCTTCTGTACATCATTGTTCGTAAAAAGGCTGCTTTTTCGTGTTGCCCCTAACTAATCACGTGGCGCCAGTTCCTCAACACTTCGTTGCACTTCCTCTTGGGCGTTTCCCCGGGAGCTCAAGACCTCCACGCCCCTTGCACAACCCAGGAGTTCATCAACGCTTTTCACGGTTCTCTCTTCCTAACCATGCTTCGCATAATACTTGGACGCGCGTGGCATCTGTTACCACAAGGGAAATATCGTCGGGTCTGCGGCATCGCACATAGCTTCCTGAACTACTACGTCAACATGGCCATGAACCGGCGGCTTGCCTCGAACAACGAGTCGAACTCAAAGCAGAGCTTGATTGACAATCTTGCCGCATTATCTGATGACACTGTCTTCATCCGGAGTTAAGTTCTTCAAGCTATGATGACATCGCAGGAGACAACGTCAGCCCTATTGGGCAACGTTTTCTTCTTACTATCTCGAAGTCCGGCTCACTGGCAGCAAGTCCGTTCGGAAGTCTTGCAGCAAGGGGACAATATCCTCAAATTCGATGCTTTTCAGGGGAACACGATTCTGGAGAACATTCTCTTCGAAGGTGTGTCCTGGTATCCTAACATCCAAGGTGTGTGAGTTGTCGGCTACTGATGTTCTTCTAGCACTTCGTCTGTACCCAATATTCCCTCTCATGGGACGCGTCGCACTCTGCGACACCACTCTTCCCACTGGCAGCGGGCCAAACCACGATGCTCCCGTATTCATCCCAAAAGGAACGTGAGCTCAAATGGGCTTCTATGCGCTGCACAGAGATCCCCACGTCTTCGGAGAGGATGTCGAAGCTTTCAGGCCTGAGAGGCGGGACAACATCCAGCCGGGCCAGTGGGACTTCATGGGCTTCGGTGGAGGCAATAGGGCTTGTCTGGGGCGCCAGAAGAGTCTGGTCGAGGCATCATACCTGCTCGCTAGGACAGCGATGCGGTTTGAGAAGCTGGAGAGTCGCGATGATAGGGATTGGAGAGGTGAGATGAAATTGACGTGCCAGAATGGGAATGGGTGCAAGGTTGCATTTGCGTAGGCTGATACTAGATGAGGACGCTTAGTGATGGTGGATACGGGCATTGAACTCCTATACAGGTACTATCATGTTCATATCATCTTATGCTTGAATTCAACCCTCGCGGCCTTCTGGTCGCGAGCAAGACGTCTCTATACCTCTCGGTCATATTCAACAAACACCACAAGACATGATCAGAAGTCGCCTTGCATGCTGCGACCGTCCGCTCCAAGCATGATAAACTGCACGCAGACTCACCACCCACTTGCTCTCAGAGTCGTTCACGCCTTCACCATCTGCGCATACCTGGCGCTGGCTTCATCCCAATTGACCACACTCCAGAACGCCTTAATGTAGCTCGGCCGCGAATTGCGATACTTCAGGTAGTAAGCATGCTCCCAAACATCCAACCCCAAGATCGGGAAGCCCGTCGACGCAGCGCCGACTACGTCTTCGCCCATCAACGGGCTGTCCTGGTTGGCAGTCGTGACGACCTTCAAACTTCCCTCATCCTTCAAAACCAACCACGCCCACCCGGACCCAAAGACTTTGGTGGCGGCGGCTTCGAACTCCTTCTGGAAAGCCTCGAAGCTGCCGAACTCATTCTCAATTGCGTCTTTGAGGGAACCGGAGAGAGCAGTGCCGAGCTTGAGGTTCTTCCAGAAGAAGCTGTGGTTTGCGTGGCCCCCTCCGTGGTTGCGAACGGCGGTGCGCTTGTCTGCTGGGACTTGGTCGAGCTTGGTGATCACATCGTCGACGGCGAGAGTACTTAGCTCATCGCCTTGGAGCGCGGCGTTGAGATTGGTCACGTAGGTGTTGTGGTGCTTTGAGTGGTGGATCTCCATGGTCTCTGCGTCGAAGTGCGGCTCGAGGGCATCGTAGCTGTATGGGAGCTGTGGCAGGGTGTATGCCATTGTTGCTGGAGCGGTGCTGCTGATGTTGGAAGAACCGAGGAAGCTGCATCGCAAGGCTCAGCGGTGCCCCTGGAACACACTTCGAGACGATGGTGGTACTCACCTCTGTTTTAAGGACGCAATTCTAGATCCTGCGTTTGAGAGCATCAAGCCCAAGCCGAGCGGGAGTGTGAAGTTGGTGAGTTGCATCTTGTCGGCTTTCGAAATTCGGGGTACCTTGGCAACAAGGTGGGCCACCAAGATACATGTAATGTGCTCCCGTTTGAGAGGATATGAGAGGGTATGAGGCCGTTTCTGCACGTGTCGTCGCGTCAATCTCGTTCTAATGACAACTGAACACGTCTCGGTTATTTCGATGGGGTCCGAGTCGGCAGCCCCCAAGTGGCGCGAATCACAATGTAAGATGGAGACCAGTGCAGAAATTACCCTTGAGGACTCTATTCTAATATTTATACACCACAACGATGGAAAAGGTTGTTGCTGACAATCGCGGCTCGAAGCTAGAGATGGAGGTGGGAGGATCTCGGGAACGTCGGACTCCGGAAGCTCTGTTTCCGTCTCCGACCCTGTCTACGTAGGAGGTCAAGCAATCGCCACGTGTTTCACATAAAATACATGTAACAAGTCTTTTACCCCCTATATGGCTGGCTTTTTTACACCTCTACTCTGCATATCAACGTAAAGATCATTTGCTTCTAACACCTTAAACCATTAACGTCGGTATCAGGCAAGGACGAAGGCGCTCATCAGCGTTAGCTCAGCGCTGGCTAGGTAGGAATTCATCAGGTATGTTCGGGTCGTATTCTGTGCGCTAACGTATTTACATCGTAGCCCTCTATCGAGTCTTGCGAAGTGACTGGGAAGACTAGGTTATCGTTGGCCTGTTTCCGGTCCCATTTCACCGGCACCAAACAGCTTCGTTGGCTTTCCCTTTCCGATAGGACTCAGGAGCGTCGAGCCTCACGATTCGCCTGGGAAGAACAGGGGACTGCTGGCGTTGGTCCAGCCTGATCGATCAGGGCCCGATTCTTGCAATACCTGCTCTCTTCTGTGTCATGCACAGCTCGCGCCGTGGCAAGCTTCTCGTTGGCCGAAGCCAAGGCGGTTTCTGCGAAGTCCAACGCCGTCTTTCCCGCGTTATTTTCTACGGTTATCTCGGTGCCGTGCTCCAGCATGACCTCGCAGTAGTAGGTGCGGCCTGCCCGAGCAGCCCAATGCATGCCAGTCTCTCCATCTCGCTGTTGCATCGACACAAATGCTTTGGCAATCTTCGTTCATTGGCACCGAGCAGTATCGAGGGCGGCCGTTGAGCCGGAGCTCGCCTGCCCCATGTCCATGATCATGTCACGGGTACGTACCTAGGTACGTACCGTGCCACCCTATGTGTATATAACCAGGTCTGGACCCCCAGCTACTTGTATTCCTTCCTCTTCCTTCTTTAATAGCTACAATAAACATTGGTCTACATATCAAGCTCTTCGGGTTCATCCCTTAGACCGTGTTCGTTACATATATTGTAGCTGTTCTTTTTGATGAGTCTTTTCTAGACTATCTGTACTTCTCAGGCTGAGCTACGCAATGTCTTGCAAGCGGTCATCACTTCTATTCCCTGTCGATTCTGTCCAGAACGACCTACACAAGAGCCCATCGAGGCCTTTCGAGATCCTATCAAGGACTCTATACCAACAAGATCCCGACGAGGGACTTTTTCGAGCTTCGAGTGGCGCTGTACAGGAGCCCAAAAGCACGTTGCCAATCTTCGCGTTTCCTACCCCTCACGCCAAGCCTCGCTATCAACAGCTCCACCAACCGAGACGACATTAGTGTCACAGATCGCTGCCACCTATCACGATGTCTTCCGAGCGATTGCTCACCAAATGGGCAGAATGGTCTGGTGATAAAAATGGCTATGACATCTATTCCCTGACACTGCGACAACAGGTTGGGAGCCCCGACTATAAGATTGGTTCTGACCAAGGGGTGATCACTGGGATCTTCAGCAAGCTGCCTGCTTCCAGAGCCAAGCGCGTTAAGACCTTCATTAAAGACCGGCGAGTGGACAAGAAGTGGAATGTTACTTCATTTTTGGACCACTTTTACGACTGCTTCACCGACAAGGATGCTACGAAGAAAGCCGTCCGTCGACTTTACACCCTTCGACAAGGCCTAGTATAACCCTTTTCAGATTTCTGCCATATCTTCGAGACATACTGTGCGGACGCTGAGATACTGGCTCCAACTGCCGCCGCCAAGATCACCATGATGAGAGCTGCTATGGCCACACATCTCCAGAAAGGTCTAGCTGTCCAACGAGGTCTTGATAACGTAAAGTACGACGACTTTGTCAGATCAGCTCAGGACCTCGCCAACCAGCTGGAATCTCTTCCTCGCTTCCAGAATAGCCGGGAATCGCGAAAGGAGTGGTATGAGGCGGGCATAGGCCCACAGACACAACCCCACCCCGCGACCGAGCCACCCAAGATGGATCGTAATGGCGATACAGTGATAAGCGACATCAGTGCCGTGAAAGCCACCAGCCCCATCGACCAGCAACTCCTTTTGACCGTGATGTCGGCCATGGTTGCAGCTTTTGGTGGATACCCAGTCACCAATGTACAATTCCAGAGCAACGGTCAAGGACGAAGCCAACGACTAGGAGGCCAATATGTGGATAACCGTCCCAACGCGCTGCCTATCACATCAGCCATCGAAGACCAACGCCGCCAACAAGGCCCCTGTATTCGTTGCGGTCAAACACCATCCCACCGCTTTGGCGAGTATAGATACAAGAGCTTTAAGAGAGCCTATCCCGGCATCATCAACGTCCAGACGGAGACAGAGCAGGGAAAAGAGTAGCCCTTGAGCGAAATCGCGCCCAAGGGCCAAAGAGAGATGTTTTCAGTACAGATCTGAACAAACCGCCAACAATAGAGGAAATGAAAGAGGCAGAAGGAAGAATGGACAGTTCGCCCTTCCTCATAAACGTACTTATCAATAATTGTGTGTTCGCCCAAGCTTTATTTGACTCTGGCTGTTTACCATATTCTGTATTTAGTGACAAGTTCGTCTGTAAACATCGTCTCCCGCGTCTGCCTTGTACGAAACGCTTGTTACAACTTGCGAAAGATGACAATCTTACTCAAAGGCCTTCAATATCGGAGACCACCTACGCCCTGATAGACATCAACGGCCGAAAAGAGCGAATTTTTGGATATATCATCCCCGACCTTCACTACGACTTGATTCTCGGCAAGGGCTGGTCGGAACGCAACAATGCGGTGTATAAAGCCAGCAAGCACCTGTTACGCCTTGGAGTTAGACAGTCACGCATCAATGTACGGGAAACGGGTTGGATGGAATCTCTAGCAGTCATTCAACGCACTAAACACCTCCAAAAAGCTCATCTTGTATCAGCCCACATTTTGCAGCCTCACTAAAGAAGGATCGAGCGAAAGGACACAATATCAGCCTTTTTTCTGTCACTATGGAAGATATTAACAAGGCCCTGACGAAACTCGACAACAAGAATAAAATCATCAGGGCAGAGCTGCTGAAAATGCTTCCAGAACGCCTGTATGGACTCGCACATACCTGGTTCGAGGATAGAAACGGAGAGTTACCACCAAGACGCCCGGGATGGGATCACCACATCAATCTTGAGCAGATGAAACAGGCAGAGAGAAAATGGCGCCAACAGGCCCATTATATGACATGTCTCGTAAAGAGCTACTGGTCCTGCAAAAAACACTCACAGATCTATTTGATAAAGATTAGACCAGAGCCAGCAGTTCGCCAGCAAGTTTACCAGTCCTATTTGCAAAGAAACCTGGCAGGGGCCTCCGTTTCTGCGTGGACTATCAAGGTCTCAACGCCATCACCAAGAACGATCGTTACCCATTGCCCTTGATTCGCAAAACATTACGAAACCTCGCCCGGGCAACGTGGTACACCAAGCTCGATGTCCGTGCCGCCTTTCACATAATCGGGATAGCGGAAGGTGACGAATGGAAGACTGCGTTCAAGTCCAGATATGGCCTATACGAGTGGCTCGTTCTTCCATTCGGTTTGTGTGGAGGACCCGCCTCATTCCAGCAGCTCATCAACCACGTCCTTCAAGACTTACTGGATGAGTGTTGTTCGGCGTACATTGATGATGTCATTGTATACAGTAGTGGCACGTACGAAGACCATTTGGAGAAAGTGGGAGACGTGGTATCTCACCTCAGCCAGGCTGGACTACGTTTGGATATCAACAAGTGTGAATTTGTAGTAACAGAGGTCAAATACCTAGGATTCATCATTCGTGCGGGTCAAGGTATTACAGTTGACCCTGCCAAAGTGGAAGCTATCAGGAATTGGGAAGCACCAACTTGTACAAAAGAAGTCCGATTATTTCTTGGCTTTGCAAACTTCTATCGTGAGTTCATCAAAAACTTTGCGGCTATTGCGAACCCTCTTGTCAGCCTTACCCGCCGCTTTGTAAAGTGGGAGTGGTGTGATAAACATTACAAAGCCTTCAACAAGCTGAAAGACAGGTTGATCACTGGGCCTGTTTTGGCAATGTTCCGTGAGGATTGCGAGTCAGTATTGGAGGCAGATGCCTCTGGCTCTGCCATCGGCACAGTATTGTCCCAGAAGGATGAGAAAGGACGGCTATGCCCACTAGGCTTCTTCTCCCGAAAGTTATCACCAGCAGAGGTCAATCACGAGATCTACGACAAAGAGTTGCTCTCTATTGTGACCGCCATGAAGCACTTCAGCAGCGAATTGCTGTGACGTTCTAATACGGTACAGGTATGTCCGAATGAGACAGAGCCCTGGAGCCCGTGGAACGTCAGGTATATCTACCACTATAGAATATTCAGTTGCCATCCTGAATATTCCACATCCTTTTGTGGGGAGCTTAGCCAATTGGTGTGGTGGTCAATTGCTATTCTGTGACAATATTCAGGATTCCTAAGGGCTGAGGTTCGAATCCTGGCTGCAGTAAAAGTTGACCAAAACTTTTCACGTGTACAGATATGCTGCGACCGACAGACGAACGAACAGATCTGATTGACAAGCAAGCTACCCGCCAACTTCCCGGTCCCCGAACATCATTCGCTGACACTGACAGCATTGCTAAGGCCGTGGAGGCGTCGCCCTGCAATGTTGGAGGTTCAGGTTCGAGGTGAACCTTGTGTGACCCG